CTAAACCCGGAATAGACCCTTGTTTGAGGACCTTACTGCAATTTAAGGTATACTCCTGAATTCCCTTATAGAACCCTTATAGATCCCTTTAAGGAATCTTGCAAGGATCCCTTAAAAGAATCCCTAAACCCTAAACCCTTATAGAACCCTCATAGATCCCTTTAAGGCACCTTTCAAGGATCCCTTAAAGGAACCCCCCAAAGCTGGGCTTTTCTGTGAGACCAGCGCCTCGGTTGCGACTTCGGGGGGGCCGCACACTCTGCGACTATCCGTGCCCTAAGGGTCCAGCTTTGTGGGGTTTACCCCAATGTAATCTTTTTTTTAGTTTAACCAAAACCTCTATTATTGGATCCTAACCATAAGACTGGTTAACCAAAGAAACTACAATGGAGACTATAGGTAGTGTTTAGGGCTAGAATTTAGGGTTTAGGGAGGGCCCTAGACGGCTCCGTTTGGGGTGTAGAATTTAGAGTTTAGGGTTTAGGGTTGCGGCCCTAGTATCACTGCTTGGATCAAAAGTTCATGTCCGCATGTATATAGAGTTATGTATATATATATATGTTAATATCTATATGTGTATATGTATATATATATATATATATATATATATGTGTGTGCAATATAACTGTGTATGTATATGTATAGATGTACACACATATATATATATATATATATATGTATACATACATTTACACATATTATGTATATATGTCTGTATATACACACTTGTGTGTATACATATATAACATACTGTATATGCTATAGCTATAATCTACAATGACTGATTATTTTGTATACACTGTAACGGCACATGGACCCTCATGGCTTCCTTCCGGCTGCACCTACGAACGCGTCCTAAGGGTCTGCTGGGGGTTTAGGGTTTAGGGTTTAGGGTTTAGGGTGCCTCGTTTACAAAGCCTACGCCCCACTTCCAAAACATGTTTTAGGGATTAGGGCTGAGTCTTTAGTCTCTACAACGACATCTTAAACCCTGAAAGTCTAAAGGATTTTATGCGCCGTTCATCACTTCTAGACTTGGCTGAGGCTTCACTGTTTTTTTTTGGGAGAGGGGGGTTCGGTTCAGGGTTTTGGGGATCTTGGGCTGTTCGGATATCTTTTTGGAGCTTTGGGTTGCGTGACAAAGCAAGCTGCTTTCTGTCAACAGAAAAACGAGCGTCTGCACTTGGGCGTCTGGCTGGCCACTGCACTCAGGAAATCCCGAACAGCTTACAATAGGGTCCAAGGACCCAATAATTAGGTACTCGGGTTAGCTATGCAGGTTACTATTTTTGAGAGTAGATAATGATTGAATACGTGGACCCTCTGGGTTACTTCAGCAATGCGCCTTAACTCGCAGAGGGGTCGTTCATATGTTTAAAGATATGCTCTTTCCGGAGTGGTTTTGGAGTCTCTGGGTCATCTACGAGTTTCATTCAACCAGGGACCGTCATATCGGCACTAAGTGCTTATTATTCTTGGTATAAATATATTGCTTTGTTCAGGTCATTACCAACACCATCCTTACTTCTGTGGTGATGATTGTTATTGTTACATTACTGTTACGATCAGATGCTTCTTATTACTACCAGTACTACTATTTAATACGGAAATTCAAGATAACACACATTACCAGTACGACAAACACTTATTATGTTACAAGTATAAACAGTGAATACAGATAGATAGATAGATAGACAGATAGATCGCTAGATAGATAGGTAGGTGGGTAGGTAGATAGGTATATAAGTAGATAGGCAAACAGTTAGATAGAGATAGTATAGTGAAGACCACCGAAAAGACACTGTGAAGCTTGAACACCTCTATATGAGTAGTTGTCAAAATTAGGGTCCCTTTTTGGGCACCCTAAATATTAGGTCCCGTACTATAATAGGGAGCCGAAAAAGGGTCATAATCACCCATATTTATGCCCGTATCAACCCTGGTCAATCCGCGATGAAAGCCGTACAAGCGCCCAGGGGCCCCGGAAATCGGAGAAGACGCTCTTGCCATTAAAGGCAGCCCTAGGCCCTAATGCCTAACCTCAAACCCTGAACCCCAAGCTAAGACCTTCCCAAAATCCCAAGCCCTAAACCCTGAGCCTAAACTCGAAACCCTAAGCCCAACACTCTAATTACACCATAAAGCAACACATCCTAAACCCTGAAGCCTTACACTTCAGTAGATCTGACTAACATACCGTGACATGCTGCAGATACCCACAATTGCACAAATCCTACGCGCCATCTACACCTAACTTCTTCGTTGCTGAGTTCAGAAGCCCAAGAAAGTGTAAACTGTCGATTCTATAGGGGGCAATAGTGTCCCAAGAAGTCAAAGTGCACCCATCCAACTACTAAGACGTACTAAACCGTAAACCCTAAGACCCTAAGGCTTACTAAGACTTCCTGTTTGTGCAAGGCCGGCTGAGACGAGGCCCTACTTGGTGAGACTTCTTAGTCTCTCGGGGGGCCGAGCGCCACCACCTTGCTGCAGGCTTTAGGGTTTAGGGGTTGAGGGTTTAGGGTCTGGTGGCTCTTACTTGTGTTGGGTGTTTTTCGGAAAAGTTGTTCAAGGGTCCAAGAGTGCATTTGGGGATTGTTTGGGAGGGGGTTGAGGGTTTAGGAGTTAATGGCTGTTTGAGGGCTTTGGGGTTTGTTTTGAAAAGCTTTGGGGATTCCGGGTCTTTATGCGTCCAGAGAACTTTGGGGGTATCGAGGTTCAGCATATATGGCTCTGGCCGTTTAGGGTGCAATTCTCCTACTCGCCCACTCGTAGGGTTTAGGGCTCAGGGGTTTAAGATGAATTGTCAAAACCAGACACGCCCAAAACAATCTCAGTAATAACACCTCAAGTCAATCCGTAGGAGCTCAGGCGGGGCGCAACTATGCTATATGGCCCGGGAGAGCCTGTGTTTCTTGCTTGTCCAGTATCCTAGCCGGGCCATTCTCTGGGATTGTATAGGGGTCATCGTAACTTAACAGGACATACTCCATAAACCCCAAACCCTAGACCCTGTTAAACCCGATCATGGTAACCCAAAATGGATACAGGTTACCTACTCTACTACGAAGAACCCCTCATAAACCCCTATAGATCATGTGTAGAGCCCCTTAAAGAGCCCTTATGGCAACCCCAAACCGGATAAAGGTTACCTACTCCACTATCGGGGAGCAGGGCGCAGGGTCTCGGGTCCAACTGCCCTCGGCTTCAGCAGTCATGGGCTCTGAATTTATCCCTCAAACAGGGGTTTATCCCTAAGGGTCCATGTACCCACACGATATGATATAACTATACTTCTGCCTTAATAGCACCTTTTTGGTACTTTGGGGCCAAAGTATGTAGTATGTGGGTTATGGACCCTTAGGGAATGGTCTCAAATACTGGTATTTAGGAGTAGGCATTTTGGGGTCGAAGAGGGGCAAGATGGAGGGTCGAAGGTCTCGGTTAGGCGGGAAGTTGCAGTGTATGTAGGGTTTGGGGTGTATAACCCAAAGGGTCCTATGTACTGTTATGGAGAATACTTACCCAAAACATAATAGTTATTCCTGATATAGAAACCCTACATTCTACTCTATCGGTACCTTGGACCCTTTGGGTAACCCTATGCCTCCAAGGACCTTATAGTCAGGGCCCTAGACCCCTTAAGAACCCAATAATAAGGTCCGGGAAGCATAGGGTAAGTGTAGGGTTTACAGGTCTCGATTACGGAACCCTAACCCCTAAGCTGTTTGGCGAGAGTGGGCGGTTTGGTGCCGCCGACCACCATATACAGCCTTTGACCTGGTAAAAATCCTGGATTAGAACCCATATGGGAACGCTAGAGAACATACTGCAAACACTCAGGGCCACACATCCTATGGCAGGCTGCGCTGTGATAGCACAGCCGTTGGTTCCACTAACTGCACCTGGCGGAAAGCTTGATTAGTCTAGCTTTGGTGGTTTATGAAGGCCGTTATGTGCATGTACACCGCTTCACAAGACTCTGGAGTGTAATCATAAGGAACCAACCTAAGATATCATGGTGCGGGGTAAAGACTAAAACAGAAGAACTCACCCTAGAACTCCACAAAGAAACAAAGTAGCTACTTCCTGTAAACTCCAATGTCGTTGTTCCTGTGCATTGGGAGTCTTAGTGTTGAGATACAATGCGAAGGACAGCATACTATACACATATACATACCACTAATCTTGCAATAGCAACCTTCCGATTCCCAGCAGAAACTCAGCTTCGCCTGTCGCGAACCAATAGAATAGGGCTCCGGCACGTTGGGCTCCGGCACGTTATGGAATGGAATTAAGGGAACTATCAGGAGATGCTGTTGGTGATTCTTCCAGACCTCCTCTGTGCTTGGTGTTCTTCCAAGGTTCCCAAAAGGGAATTGGGGAATGGATCCCCATGATATCCCTTATAAGAGTAGTTCCTATATGACTCATTCCCCTATTCCTTGCTCCAGGCAACTAAGGCCCATCCAACTCCGACAACCTAAAACCTTTAGAGGCGCAAGATTCCCTCTGGAACCTAGCACAGAAAAACACAGCCTATCCGCCATAGAGTTCGGGGCTTCCTGAAAATTTGGGTCCTCAGCGCCCTAAGGCAGGAAAAGGAACCTGATGCCAAGCAAAGTGTATAGCTTTTTAGGGCCAATGTTAGGGCTGAGGGTTGCAAACGGGCCATGGGCAAATGTCAATGACAAGCAGCAAATTTTTGATCAGGTTACTTCAGGAATATGCTCAACCGTCAAACATATGGTAAGTGCGATGAACTTGGAAGTCGAGACCCGCAGCTTGGGGCAGAAGACAAGGGGAACGAAGGAGAGAGACTCATAGAGTCGGGTCCGAAATGTTCAATTAGTGTTGGGGTTTACTGTTGAGGACTGCAGTCCAATCTAGCGGGACGTTTCGGGTCTAGGGTTTGGGGGAGGAATTACGCTGATTGAGAATAACAGCATGCCCAGTGTACCTGAAGCTGCGCATTCGCGCAAGCTCAACAAGAGGTCTTTTCACATCAGCGCATTGACCACGACCTGGTCAAGACAGCTGTCATGCATATTCAACGTTCCACTCTCGGGTCAGGCAGGCTCATTAATGGCTCGGATCACAGTCAATCCATGAACCCTGAACTACTAAACCCTAAACCGCTTAACCCAACGGTACGGAGTATATATAACCGCCCAGTGGATTCTCGAACACCTTTCCTCGAAGGATCCTCGAACGCTCATGCTGGGCAAGCTTAGACAACGGTGTCGTGGGGTTGAGGATGTGAAATAAGCTAGCCTGCCTTTAACTGAAAAAACGTGACAATGCCGAACAAAGAAGTAAACATTTACTTGCAGGCAGGACCGTTAAACACCAACTCTGAATCCGAAATACAGACTGCAGGCCCTAAACCCTATACTCTCCCTGGACTCAAACCTTTTAAACCCGAAGCCTGCAATCCCGAAAACTCTTGACAAAGCTCATGAGACCTATATGCCCCGAAGCTCCAAAACCAAAACTCCTACGGCATACCCTAAACCCAACAACCCAAATTCAATTCCTGAACCCTATAAACCCTTATATAAACCCTCAATTCCTAATCGCTTGCCTGGCAGATGTCAGCGCTCTTCGCTCGCGCGGAGACTCGCGCAACACAGCCCCGCTCGGCATCCATGCCAACGAGGGCCTGCCAGGGATAAGACGACGACGACGACGACGACTACTACTACTGCTACTACGAGTTGCTTTTCTTAAACCCCCAATATTAAGCCACGAAAGTGAAAAGATTTAACTTTCAGATTGCTACTAAGACACTACATTCTAAGAAGCCAAAAAAGTTTAAAGGTCGGGTTTGAGAGAGCGAAATTCTAAGTTTTTAGGCCTACGGTGTGTGAGGGACGCTGAGGTTTGGGGTTTAAAGTTTAGGGGTACGGGCTTTCGGGGTTTGGGTGTTTGGGGTTCTAGGTTGAGGGCTTCTTGAATAAATGTAGTTGTGCATCTGGAGGCTTCGTGGAACGCCTAAACCCTAACCCCGCAAACCCTCATCCCCGGCAAACCCGAAACCCAACAAACTGAGGCCAAGAAGTCAGAAACTCTGATCCATTTTCGCAGGGGGAAACGGCCATGTGCGCCTTCACCAGACAGGTCTGGCCGCCGAGGAAGGTGCCACCTGAGAAAGGTGTCGGGGTGCTGAATTCGAGTCTGCGGCTCAAGGGTTAAAACTGTCGGGCAGGTTGAACCATGAGACTATGATTGCGTAATATACTTTGCTTAGGGAATAGCAGTACTGCTTGTGATCGACATCTATTCTACAATATGGATTTGCTTCCAAACCCCCCAAACCGGGTATATCCCCATGCTTTATCCAAGCATCGGGTTGAGTGTTTGGTGCCTCAACCCTGCACTCGAACACGAAACACTGAGCCCTAAACCAGAAGAGGGAACCCTAGAGCCTCAGCCGGTCTGAAATCTCGGTTTTCCATGGCTTTGGCAAGGTTTGAAGTTAAAGGTTTGGGGCAGACCCGAAAGCTGTACCCAACAGCCCACTGGCCTGTGCCCTTTGCTGAATGCTGCAAAATTTAGGAGCCTGAGCAACATGAGGCCTAAGTATTCAGAATAGGGCTTTTGCGTACAGTACAGTAGAGACATAATTAAGGGACCTTCAGGAATGTTGTTGGCAGTTATTCAGGCTTCTACAATACCCTAACGATCCATGTGCCCATACTCAAGCTTCTGCACCAAATTACGTGTACCCTGGTAGTCAAAATGACAGGGTTGTCAGGTCCCAAACACAATGTTCTGACTTGTTTGTGATAGCAAAACACTACTGGTGTCGCAGGACTCAGAGGCCAATAATTTCCCTCAACAATTCGCAAACTTCATGCCTAGTGATGCCAGCACCACTACTGGCTTTGTTCAATGCCATGCCAAGTAACTCTGCACAGCAATGAATAGGATAATATAAGTGAGGTTGGCATCAAAGCTGTCAAAATAATAATCCTCAGCGTAGACACTGCTCTCAGGTTTCTACTGATTGTTGCTTCTGATCTTGTACGTCCGACCCCTTTCGGAACGAAGATTTTGCATGCCATTAGGCTCTATGTACCCACGTGGTATATACTTAGGCCTCAAAGGGATTCCTATGTACGTACTTTATTAACTTACGGCCCAAGTATGTACGGTATGAGCACATGGAGCCTTTCGGGTAGTGCATTTCGCCGAGGCCGAAACTCAGAAGCACGGTGTGCCCTCGCCCTCCTTGCTCGACCTTTCCCGTGTTGTCGCACGGCTGCCTGAGTTTGTCGAAAAATTTATGGGGGATTAGCGAGCCCTAAGCCCCAAACTCTTAAACCCTAAACCCCAAGCCCATTAGGTTTTCGGGCTTAGGGCGGTGAATCTGCGAGGACGGCCCGCAGTCCACTACGTAGGCTTTTTGGTCTAGTCTGAGCCTGGGAAGAAGAAGTGTATATGTCATAGGGTTTACCTTTTTGCCAGCTCTGGAAACAAAGTTCAGATCTCTCTGGATTCCAAACTTGAGCCGCTCAAGACTCAGATTTAAGGTTTTGGGTTTAGTTGAGCCTTCGCATATAAAAGCTTTCTGGAGGGCATGATACTATAAGTATACAGCGACTACAAAGGGATGTCGTCAGAACCTTATACCAAACTTTTTAAGGGTGGTTGTCAAAGTCATGGTCCCTTTTGGGGTATCCTAAATATTAGGTGCCGTATTGTAACAGGGACCCCAAAAAGGGACCACAATTTTGACAACCACCCATATACCACCCTCCTCTTACGACTCGCAAACCTGAGACTGAGAAGTGTGCCGAAACTGCCCCTATTCCATGATAAATGCTGACTCCTACCCTAGACCCCCCAACTACCTTCCAATATACCCCAAACACCCAGTATTGAGGGCTATAAGGGCTCTATTACAGGGCCTTGAAAGTTGCTGGACACGAGCAAAATCCTAAACCTCAATCCCAAAACTGCAAGTCAACAAAGTAGGGCTTTGCAAAAGGTACAAAAAGGGCTTGCATTTGATACGGTTGATAATATAAATCCTGCATTACCCATAATAAGGAATATACCGTAATTCGCATAGTTTAGGGTCCTTAAGGTAGTGCAGGATTTATATCATCAACCGTAGTGGTTTCTTAGCATGCTCGTGATTGAAAGGGAGGCCAGGTCGAAAACATCGATTAACGGCCTTCAAACTATCATGATACACTCCTGTTGTAGGTGCTGAATATAAACCCTATAGTGTCCTAGTTTAATACAGAAGGTACAGGGACCTTGCAAAGAAGCGGGGTTTTGGTAGGTTCAGGTGGGTGTTTCGTCGAAGTAGTAGACGATTTAGGTTGGTAGAATAGGGGCTGTGACTAGTACAGGAAGCATTATTGCAAACTTATTCTTAATATCCTCATAACAAACCTCAAGCAGACACTCAGCACTACTCGGAAGGATCCCCTGATGCACTCAACCAAGTTGTACCATCCACCCCACCCCATATGCTGATTATGAGCCTATGACGTACTTGGTTCTTCAGGACAAGGTTAAGAAATACTTTTTAGTGTCAGGGCATTTCCTCACCAACTACGGTCCACCTGATTTCCACGTAGAACACAGCAAACCCACTCCCAAGAAGTGCTTTCAAAAGGCCACGCAGCCGTGGGGGTTCAAGTGTTTAGGGTCAGGGTTTGCGGGTTTATGCCGAGTAGTCACTTGGTTGTTCCAACTTGGCGCCAAGGTTTGAATGTGGACGGCCACTCGGAATAGCCGCAAAGCTTACAGACTACAATGCAAAATCGTCTGCGGCAAGCAACATGTTCAATGTCGCTATGATCCAGTCCACGCCCATTTCTAGCCTCGGTGTCGCAAAGGTCGAAGCCCTCACAGAGTGTTCAGTTAATCCCCTTACAGACCCCACCCGAAACCCTAAATTCAAAGACTCTACTATTCGGCTGTATACTAGCCCTACGGTTCAAAGTATACAAATAGCACTTGCGTTGGGCTCTAAAGTCCTCAAACAATACCTACTTTGGGTAGTTGCCATGCTGCATGAACAGAAGGTCGTAAATGAGCTCTGGACGCAAACACCCGAAATCTCAATGTCCCCCTGAAGCTGCAACCTCAAGCCCTAAAGCCCTAAACCCTAGAGCCCTACAAGCCCTAAAGTCCCAAAAACTGAAATCTGAACCCACAACGTCAGGCCTAAAAGTACTAAACTCTAAGTCCTGCAAAAAAGATCTCTGAACCCTAAAGCCTTGCAATACCCAACAGTCTTAAAGCGGACGGACTTCCGGCTTGAATTTAGCATTCCATGCTTGCTGAACTTCTTCCAGGATTGATGCAGCCGGCTTCCAGGCAATTACGATGCCATTGTTACGATGTCATCACCAGTACTGATGCCGTTGAGTTCCGGATTGTGCTCAACCTTGTACATTTCGAACCGAGTGTTCAGGGTTTAGGGCTTCGGACCCTGGACCCTGCCACCGAAAACCGTGAGATACTGGGTGGAGGGGATACACTAGAGCTCTAGAAGGAAACCAAAAGGAACACGGCTACCATTAGTGATTTCAAAAAGCCCTTAAACAAAACATATAATACAGGGGCCGTCATAGTTAGAATAGGGTTGGGGCCCATTATACTATATTCATAATCTGAGTATTTGCTCTCAGTACCCATTCCAACCCTGCCGCCCTGACTGCCAGCGCAAGTAGCGTCTTGAAATTCAAGCTCAGCTTCTGCGTGACCTCCGTTCCTGCGAGGAAGTTGAGAGGGACCGGTTTTTGATTGTCTTTTGCGTTGCAGGGTTGTTTGGGTTCTGGGATTTAGTGTCTCGAGCTGTAAGTTTGAGTGTTTGAGGCTTCGAGCTTCAGTCAGTAGTAGTTTTTCAGGATATATTATGGTATACTTCTTATGTATACTTGAGGACCAATCATTGCTTTGGGCTCATGGGGGGATTAGGTGTTCAGGGCATCGGAGCTTGTGCTTTAGGGTTCGAGTGGTTTTGGAGTGCCGTATGCGTTGGCCTTAGAGGGCTCTTCTCACACAGTGTCTTTGACAGCCTAGGTACATACCTAGGCTGTCAAAGACTTTAGAGTGGCCTATGGACCCTACATGAAGCATACAATTAGAAAGTATTATGGTGTTTTCTGGAGAGTGTCACGCACTACGGGCCCGTGTTTTATGCGTTTTTTTGCATATTTTTCACCAATGGCCTGAAGCTTCAAGATCTAAATCCTGCCGGAAGTCACCGGGCCCGCATTGTGCTGCTTTCTGATTAGACAAGGGGTCGTCGACCAGAGGCCTTCGCCCTGAACTCCCAGCCTCCAAACGCAAACTCGAATCTTGAAGCTGCCCACGCGAACCCTAAGGGTCCATGTACTCATATAGTTAAGGGTCCTTTAAGGGTACCATAAGGGATCCTTTAAGGGATCTATAAGGGTTTAGGGTATAAGGGTCCATGTACTCATATAGTATATACATTGGCCTTAATGTAGTCCCTATATAGGTACTTTGGGGCTCATGTATCTCTATATGGATACATGGACCCTTAGAGGAAAATGGAAGACCCCCAAAACCTCTACAACAGCCCTATAACTACTACGGAACGAAGCCCGAAGAGCCAACAAACCCAAACCCCAAACCCTAAACCCTATAAACCCTAAACCCCAACCCTGAACCCTAACAACCCAAAAACCAACAAGAACGTATCCCCATCGCCTTGTGCGGTGAGCTGCTCCCACACGGAGCGGAATTGACCAGACTGGAGTCCCCTTGCACATCAAGCTTTGTCGCCGTTATGGAGGCATTTCTAATTGAAATTACAAAAAGGCTCTTTGCAGTCTTCTACACAAAAAAGGGTTAGTATGAACCTGTAGGGACCTCAACGTTAACCAATTTAATTACCATAGGAGTTGTGGGGTGTGTTGTTCTATTACAACCATGGTAACTTGGGGACATTTGGCAATGCTTCCGGCCTCAGTAGTAAGGGGTCTTGGAAGAGTCTCATAAGGAAGCCTTAGAGAATTCAGTCTGCTAGTTTGATAAGCCGCTCCAGGATTGCAGCAATTAGATGTAGGGCGTAGACCTCAGGGCTTTGGGGTTTTTGCAGGCTTCCGGCTCTAAGGCTTGCACTGAACCCCAGACAGGTGGAACCTGGGTTTAGGATTTAGGATGATTTGCGCTAGGATCCTGTACACTTGTACTTTACCCTACGGGCATGAGGGCAAGAATGCTCCAACTTAGTGGCTTTTACGAAAAGGCGTTGGATCTCAGGTCGCGGAGGGCTTGGGCCCCGTGGTTTCGAGATGAGGCTTCAGGAACTCCCTTGCGGTTGGCGACACTCGGATTTTGTATTGCTGGTTTTGGGACTTCGCTTTTGGGGTGGGAGCGGGGTTAGGATTTCTTTTCAGGGTTAACCGGAAGCAGGAAATAGCCGCGAACGCTTAACTGCCAACCTTCCTAAAACCCGAAACCCCGGACCTCGAGCCTTAAATCTTAGGCCCCGGAGTTCATCAAAATCTCTGAATCCTTACACACCCAACAACCCTGACCCGACGCCCAAACTTGTAGACCGAATCAATCCCCTCATGATTTAGAACACATCGTGGTACACAACTCGTGTGCGCTTATAAAAAACGATGCACGCCAAGCCCTAAACCTTAAATCCGTGGCCTTACCACAGCTCCGGATGACGCCAAATTCTGGTAAGTCGTACACAGTGATTTCCAAACCCTACAAAACCCAGGCCACAAACTACAGAACTGTATATACGTCATTCTAAATCCCGAAATGTCTATATGCAGCAGAAACCATCTCTCGCAATACAATGTGAATGCTGAACCCTTCTTGCACAGAGCGCCCAAAGAACTCCTAAACCCGGCCGCCTTGAAATGCGATGCTGTAGGAAACCAGGAATATCCCCTTCGGTTTAGGGTTTTAGGGTTCTTGGGTTTAGAGTTTAGTACGTTATCGTTCATTTCCCAAAAAGACGCCACAAAACCTGAAGAGAGAAATCTTCGGTTGAGCCAGAAGGCCGTGGGAACATGTAGTCACCGGTGCTGATCGTCACATTCTCAACCTGAGACACGAGAGTTCCTCGAACAATGGAGCTGCCTTGACAGCCTACTAAACCCTAAACCCCTAAACCCTAAACCCTAAACCCTGAACCCTAAACCCCTAAACCCTAAACCCTAGTACTTAGGGAAGTGCAGGAATGGTAGGGCTTGTTGGACCCGACCCGAACGGGTTAGGGCCTAACCCCAAGAGCCCTAAACACTTCAGCAAGTAAAAATGCGAAGTCCATGGCTGCAGACTGCTGCGAAACCGCAAACTTCATCCAAAACCGCCGTACAAGTCTTCGTTGAGACTAGCTCTTAGGGTTTAGGGGTTAGGGGTTTAGGGGTTAAGGGATTTGGGGGTTTAGAGGTTCAGGGGTTACAAGTTAGGGTTTGGGGTCTAGCTGTTGGATCCTGAATTCTGCTGATCCGAAGAAGCCCTAAACCCAAACCCCCAAGCTCGGCTCACGCTGACAACGTTTCAAAAGGAACAACCCAGGACTTTGCGCGACTATTTCCCAATGGGTCCAATGTACCGATATATATATATATATATATATATAGTAGAATGTAGGGTTTCCATCTTAGGAATTACTATTATACCTTAGGGAAGTACCCGCCATAACGGTACATAGGACCCTTTGGGTTTGTGTTCCACTTCAGTCAAGTGTTCCCTGTGCTTCTACGAGACTCGGCTGGCTCTCCTTGGGGTTTTGGGTTTGGGGCTTAGGGTTTAGGGTTTGGGGCTTAGGAATCCCAATGCCAATTCAGACTGTTCCACATCGGACAAAGAAAGCCGAAAGTTTGCAGTTCTCCGGCTGGCGACATAAGGATACTGGTTTAGAGTATCACTAGCTGCAGCGCGCTCAACCCCAATGATCCTGCGTAAGCTCCACACCCAATAAACATCTATAAACCCTTGCAGAATCTCTGTAGCCTAGCCCTTCAAGCCAACCCTACCCAGCCCCTATGAAAGGGCACAGCCCTTGGTCGTTTTAAGGCCCCGGCTGGATAATCGTCCTGGCAAGTTTCGCGCGACTATCCGATTCTGGGGAAGACGCGCGAAGATGTCGGGCTATTGTACTTTTGCTTTAACGTGCAATACAGCTTTCTCGCCGCTTTGAAGCTCAGGGTTCAGGCTTTATGGTTTGGGGTTTCGGGTATAGCTGTCAGTGTTTAGGGACATAGAGGCATAGACGCCTTGGCCCCGTCCGAGGAACCAACAGGTATCGGCTCTTTGAAGCTTCTATTGGGGTCTGCACAGTAACCCTGGGATCCTTATCTATCTAGTGTATGTAAATGTATATATATATATATATATATATATATATGCATATATATATATATATATGCATATATGCATATATATATATATATATATATACGTATATGTATACATACTCTTAAGGTTCCCTCGAAGCCGCCTAAGGGTCCATGCAAGGGGCCCGTACTTCTAAACTTAGATGTCGAGCCATGATCAGGGCTCTTATTATCAGGATACCTTACAGATTTTCAATGGATCGACATATGAAAACTGAAAGGAGTTAGTATTCGTTACAATTACAGTTGGCAAATGACAACTGAATAAAGCCCGTAACCAAAATCAACAAATTTGCAAATAACAAATCCTGCACTGACACTGCTACTTACCACCCCTTCGGATTGAAGAGACAGTGAAAAGTGAAAACTTGCCATTAGCCCAAGCACGATGGGCCCCATGAAGCCGGGGTTCATGTAAGGATACCCGGGCATCATCACTCCGGGCAATCTTTTCAACACAGACGCCTAGAAAATCTTACAAAACAGGCTGAGGTATTGTTAATGACCCCAACGGGCAGACAGGGCTTCTGGATCATGTTACGGCCCATTCTAAAGGACTACATGGGGCTATGGGAGGAAATGATCCCTAATTGTTCAACCCTCTTGGGTGGGGGGCGGTGCATCTGCAGACCCAAACGCCAATGAAGGCAGGAACACGCAAACCCTAACGAACACAAAGGGCAGCATCGATAAATTGAACACCCAAGCTTCAGAATGCGGTGGGTTTAGCGAGACTAGCGACGGGCTGATGATCTTTCGTATGCTAAGCTTCTCAAGAGGTGGTTGCAGGGTTGATCGGTGGAAGGCAGTCCCTAAATCCTTAACCTCTAAACCCTACACACTTTGAGTCTCCCAGTCCCGAGCTAGCTGTGCTTGAATTGGTGAATTGGTGAGGGTTTAGGTGGTTAGGGGTTTAGGGTTTAGGGTTAGCATCGGCAGCGGGCCCTCTTTCTGAAACTCCCAATTCCCTCTCACAGAGAGCGACTATCCAGTGCTTAAATCGCGCAAAACCCCAAACAAACATGCGCTTTAGGGCTCTACATACTGCTCACCTCAACCAGGTGAGGGTAGGTTAAGCAAGGCCCTAAGCCTACCACAGCTCCACCTCCTGAAATTACCCGCGCGGCCTCGTATCCCAGATCGTCACCCTCCTCCTGCGAGGAAGCGGCAGGTGGCGCGTTTGAATCCTTACATCCCCTGGTACCCCCCATCTCCCAGAAGGCCACCGCCTAAACCCTAAACCCTAAACCCTAACTAAAAGCCTGGTTCCCAAGCATGTCAAGCTTTACTACTCTATACCTCTGGGCCTGCGGCTCTGACCTCGACGACCCAATATGGGGGCCTTAACAATTAGAATAGGGTTTTGGGGTGCATTATACTGTATTTATAATAAGGAACCCCCAAAATAGTATAAGTATTAGTTATTAAGGCCCCGGTATTACAAACTCAGGACTCCACAGCCAAAGCCCTTGAAGGAGTTATCCTCAGACCCCAGCTTCGCAGGTAAAGCAAAGGTAGGAGCCCAGGTTCAGGTTTGGACCCACTAGCCAGGCTTCGCCCTTTCAGAGTTTTAGAGTTTGCGTTTTGAGGTTTAGGGTTTAGCGGCTTGGGTTTTGGCTCCGCCCCCAATGCAGGCTGCTCTCCAGCTACTTCGATGTTTTTTCCCCGGAAGGCTGCTCATGCCCATGCTAAATCAGAGTCTACTAGTTATCTGGTAGAGCTGTATGATCATACTTCCTGCGTGATACTCCTTGAAACTTCGTATCCAAACGGCACCAAAACCCAGAAGCCGGAAATGGTACATCCGAAATAAGATCCTACATAGACCTTTAAACCTCAACCCTAAACCCTAAACCCTAAACCCTAAACCCCTGAAGCCATACATCGTCCTTCAGAAGCCCAAAGCCCATGTAAGCCGAGAAGCCCTCAGAACAACGGTTAAGGGTTTAGGGTTTATGGTTTAGGGTTTAGGGTTTAGGGTGGAGCAAGTATCGCTAGTGTTCCTTACCTTAGGATCCCTGATGCAACTATACCAACATGTACCCGAAGCCCCATTGCAACTACCCCGTCCTTATATATTGCCGCCCAAGACACACCAACAAAAAACCTAGCCCTCACCTCACCCCCTCAGAAATCATAAACCCCAAACACCAAAAAGCCCCTGAGCGACAAAACCCCAAAGCCCTAAGCCCAAAAATCCCTTACGGCTACCTTTGGAGTTCCCGTTAAAGGCTTTCTTTAGGCTCTTTTCAGCGTGCCTCCAGAGTTCCTGTCAAGGATTCCTGTCAAGCCTCAAAGTCCTAAACCCTAAAGCTCAAAACCAAGAAAGCCCTCATAAACCCTAAAGCCCAAAACAAAAACCACCCTTAAAGCCTTAAATCCTGAAGCCCCAAACCCTCTAAGCCCTTAAAAAGCCCTCTCAACCCTCTAAACCCTCCAAGCCCTCCAAGCCCTGTAAACCCTAAATACCCTATACCCTAAACCCTAAACACTTTGAAGCCTCAACTCTAAACCCACAGCTCGCCCTGGAGCCCCCGCCTTGACGATAAATCTCAGCGACGCACCGAGAGAAGCCGAGACCACGCCGGCGGTGTCCTGTGAGGGCTTTAGGGTTTATATACTGCTTTGCATACGATTTGTATAGTCGTTTAATAATGGGCTTATATCAGTTCTACAGGGCTTACACGGGCTTTGCATGAGGATATATATATATATACACACACTTTTTTTGTTCTTAAGGTTTCAGGCTTTAGGGTTTCAGGGTTGAGGTTTTGGGGTGTAAGCCTCGGGGCTTTTAGGTAGGTGCCTTAATGCCGATGATACCGAGTTTACAAGGGCTTTATGGGGCTGTATGGAGTTGCTGATGCAGGGGTCATCATAGTTAGAATGGGATTAGGGCATATGGTGCAACATACGGATCAAAAACATTTCACACATTTTACACACAAGCATATATCAGAATGTGTGTGTGCAAGGATGCACAGTTTACCGCTGTATGTGCGTGTGTGTGTATGTGTGTGTGTGTGTGTGCGTGTGTGTGTGTGTGTGTGTGTGTGTGTGGGTGTGTGGGTGTGTGGTGTGTGTGTGTGTGTGTAAATATACACATATACATACATATGTACATACACACATACATACATACATACATACATACACACACATACATACATACATGCATACATGCATACATACATACATACACACATACATACATACATACATACATACATACATACACATACATACATACATACACATACATACACATACATACATAAATACATACATACATACATACATACATCAATATATATATATATATATATATATATGTATACATATCTTCAGACCAACCATTCATGTTATGTGTATATATATATATGTATATGTATATATATATGTGTGTATATATATATATATATACATATCTATATATATATATATACATATATATATATATATATATATATATATATATGTATATGTATATATATATATATGTATATATATATATGTGTATATAAATAAATCTAAATATATAGGGTCCAAGTAAGTATTCAAGCCAATTCCTCAGAACCTCAATCCTAGACCGCTAGACCCTCAGCCCAAACCCCCATGGAACTATCAAGCTCAAACCCTAACAGCTCTGAGCCCGTCCTCGCCGCCGTTTTTCCGCAGGACGACGTGCGCAGACCCGTTCTGACCTAAAAGGGTTGGGGGCCTTGGTGAATCTGGTGTAGGCTTATGTTGAGGACTTAAACCCTTCAGGGGTTTTATAGGCTTGTTGGGTTTTGGCGGTCATAGATTTAGGGGTTCATTACGGGGCAATGGGTTTAGGTTTCAGGGCTTGGTGTCTGTGGCCTCCCAACGGCGCACGAGCAACATGCAACTCGATGGGTCCATGCGCTCATGTGGTTTATACTCTGACTTTAAGGTAGTCCCGTAGTCCCTATGACTCTGGAAAACGACGAACCCCTGCAAGGTCTGAGCATATACTGTAGGGTTTAGGGCTTATAGGGTTAAGGGGTTATAGGGTTTACAAGGCTTGTAGAATGTAGGGTTTGTGGTTGAGGGCATAAGGTGAGCTATTATACTACCCTAGGGCTCGAGTTACCCCTAATGGATTACTGGCCTCCATATTATATGGTTAGTAACTTACTATTCTGGTAACTAACTGGAGCCCCAGAGCTATGTAAGACATGGACTTTCAGGGTAGGTAAACAAACCTTACGAAACGAAATCTTGTGTGCCAAATCCGAACATTGAATACGGTATTGGTGCACAGTGTACTTTGCTGTTTACAGTCCATTGGGGTAATGCTACGAAACTATGAAAATAGCAGCGAGGCTTGCAAAGCAGATGCCGTCTGTACACCTGCTCACAGAGCCCGTCCAAAACCCTGACCACGTCCTTCTACAAACTTAAACGGGGCTGATGTAGCGTGTTTTCAGGCCCCAAAGCCTGAAATGATGAGTCTACCTATAGTCTCCATTGTAGTTCCATTTTTCAGTCTAAATCCTAAAAAGTAAACCCAAAACGGAACTACAATGGAGACTATAGGTAGAGACTTGGGGAAAGCTAAAGCCCTAACCGTCAAGCCTAAACACCAAAACCAAAACCCTAAACCCACCCGAAACACCTAAAACCCTCACCGCTGAAACCCGAAATATGAAATCTAAAACCCTTACCCTAAGGCTCTAAAGACTCATATTTTAAGGCTTTAAGGCTTTTGGGCCATTTCGAGCCTTAGGGTTACTAAACACCTAAAACCCCTCAAAAGCTCGGGATTGCGCCGAACTCCAGCTTGTTGATGGCCGACGCACCAACTTCCGACCAGCCCGGCTCGAGACCCGTCAGGTTCACCTGTGTCGTTGCTTGTTGATCGGAGTTTCAAAATTTTTGAGGATCTTTTTAGCTAAGCCGGGGTTTTGCTTGGAGTTTGTAAAGTTTAAAGGGATTTGAAAGGGATTTGCAGGGATTCTGGTGAAGGTTTATGGTTCATGGGGGTTAAACTTGTTGCCAAGCCGTGTTAGGTCGAGGGTTACGGTTTCAACTCTTATCCGCTGCTGCTGTCGTTTCTTCTGTTCCTGCTGTTCCTACCAGTGTGCGGTTGAGCGGACGCTCGGTCCTAAACATCATCATCACCATACGCTCTGAGTCGCAACGTTTTAAACCCAAATTCCCAATAAGCCGGGCGATAGAAACCGTAAACCTTGAAGTACTCACAGGAAATACCGAGTATGCATGTATGTAGGAGGAGCCTAAGGCGCCAATGCTATGCTGGGAGTGGGGTTAGAAGAGTTTGGGATTTGGGTAAAATCCTGCTCCTGGGGCATTGGGACCATTACATTACAGAGCTTTTGCAACCCCCCTCAACCCTAAACCCTGCAAACCACGCCCACCGACCTGAACCCTAAACCCTAGAAGTGGTCGTCTGAACCGTCGCCCTACCTATAGTCTCCATTGTAGCTCCTTTTTGGGGTTCCCTTTTAGGATTCCTAATATAGAAATGGTTAAACCAAAAAAAGGAACTACAATGGAGACTAGAGGTAAACTGCAAAGAATCCTGGCAGCACGCCGAAAGGAACCTCTGAACCATCCTTGAGGGAGGGGGGGGTGTATATAACCTAGTAATTCACCTCCAACTCGCCCATTCCCTAGTACCTTTGCCCCTTGGACCACCCTCCCTCAAGGATCCTATAATAGATGGGCCTTAATACTTGAATAGGGTTTTGGTGCCCAATATACTATAAATATAAGTATGATAAGGAGATAATCGTACAGGTAATGATTCAAGCCCCTGTAGTAGCCGACTTGAAGTCTCTCCTACAGAGCAAAATCGCGAGAAACCCTCGCTTCGCCTGGACCTCCTCGAGCGTGATGCCTGACTAGGGCTTAGGGCTTAGGGTTTTAGGGTTTAGGGTTTGGCGTTTGGGGTTTAGGGCTTAGGGTTTAGGGTTTGGAGTTTGGGGTTAGGGCTTAGGGTTTGGAGTTTGGGGTTTAGGGCTTAGGGTTTAGGGTTTGGAGTTTGGGGTTTAGGGCTTAGGGTTTGGAGTTTGGGGTTTGGGGCTTAGGGTTTAGGGTTTGGAGTTTGGGGTTTAGGGCTTAGGGTTTAGGGTTTGGAGTTTGGGGTTTAGGGCTTAGGGTTTGGAGTTTTGGGGTTTAGGGCTTAGGATTTAGGGTTTGGAGTTTGGGGTTTAGGGCTTAGGGTTTAAGGGCCACAGGCACCTGTACTACAAAGGCGTGCACTGTTTTGAAGGGTTCTGATCCTGTGGGGTTTATATAGCGGCGATAGTACTTCGGGTGGGCTTTGGGGCATACAAGAGCATGCATGATAAAGGATTTTCAAACTTGACTGCTACCTAAACTCTACACCCCTGAACCCTGCACCCTTAACCCCCAAACCTGAACTCAACCTCTGTATTGCACCCCAAAGCCAAAGGGTCCCAACACTTGCTCAAAATCCGGCGCCTACATCTGAGTAGTTCTCTAAATTGGGATCCCTCTTTGGGGTTTAGGGGTCTCTATATTAGCATCCCTTTTGGGGTCCTCAATGGTGATGTACTATTGCGGGGACCAAAAATGGACCCTAATTTAGAGAACTACCTATGGGGTTAGCAGGGCTTAAGAGCACTGTGGCGTGCCAAGGCGTGCAACTCCCCGCCTGCCTGCCACGACAATGTTGTTTTTTTCGAACTTACTGACCCGACTGCTCAAGATAACGAAATTCGTTCAAATCGTCATCTATGCAGACTTGATGAACAAACTCCGTCCTATCTAACGGCCCTATGTGAGTCAGTGAGGATCCGTGTGATAACCCGTTCAAGAGTGGGAGGGTTATCCATCATGCACCTCAACCGCTTAACTGCGTCGTGCACACCAACAGTGGCCGTGATACCCTCCGGCAATTTGGCGATGGCGGCATCAGTGTAAGGGCCTGTGAGGGCACGGCCAGCCATGCTCAGGAAGGCCTTCTCGGCTGATTCCCCTTTTGAGTTGTCAGGGTACTGGATACCAGATTCGTCCCCTTTCAGCGATACGTCAGAGGGTACCGACGCTGTCATCGCCAAAGTGGCCTCGATCTGCACTGTGGCGTACGACACGTGGGTAAACGAATTTCGTAACATGGTGTCCAGCTTGGCACTTGATAGCGGGTCGCACCGTAGCACCCCCTCAACCCTTTGAGCCTAAACCCCAAGCCCCCAAACCCCCCATTCGTGAACCTGGTCGGGTCCAAGGCAGCCCTGCACCCAAAGCCGAGAGTGTAGATCTTGGGGATAGCACAAGCTTTGTAGTCATGAGAATAGGGCTTTGGGTATATTGTACCATGACTATATTGGGACTTGAACTGGATGTTGTTACTAGCTATTCGGACACCCCCATATTAGGCGTTGCGGTTTAAAGCTCCTGTGAGGGTTGCTCCAAGGCTACTCGTTGGATACTCCGGCCCTTGAGGCCAACTAGCCCGCACCCCAAACCAGACTCGCTGCATCGGTGGCAGATCGCGGGCGGCTTCATCTTGAGAACTACTCTTGGACGTTTTACAACCTTACCTCTGGTCAGTAGGGAATGGAGGAATGGGGTACAATTATAACACTATTACTACCATTCTTCCATTCCCGACAAACCCAAGGTAAGCAACTCGCCAGTCATCATTCAGCAGGAACTTAGATAGTTCGATAGATCTGAGAAGGCCACTGGCAAACCAAAGCCAGCTCAGCATAAGGCAGAATTGGGCCTTGGTATTGGTACCGTCGAGCTCGCTCTTCGCACTGTCGAGCTCACAAGCAATGTAGGGTTTTGGGGTCCATTGAACTACTGGGTTGTGCTTTAAACCGATTGAAAATTATTTATGAATAGGTTCCCTGTATAAGGAAATAAGGGAAATTAAAAATTATCCCAAAGCACAACCCAGACTATATTCATAATGAAGAACCCCAAGATATTCTAGGTAATAATTTAGGCCCTTATTAGCCTGACAACTTAGGGAGCAAGTCCGGCTGGCACGTCAAACCAGCTTGGCGAGCTGACAACCGAAAGCCGATGCACAGCTGCACAACCCCAAAGTAAACCCTAAGACCCAAACCTCACCACAGCCAGAAACCCTACAAGGGTCTAGGGTTTAATAAGCTTTAGTCTCAAGAAGAAGTTCTCCCCATTTCCCTGAGAGTTCTGATCAACGGGCTCCCTAAACCCTTAACCCTAAAACCCTAAACCCTCAAGCCTAAAACCCTAAACCCTAAACCCTAATTTCTTCTGAGACTCTCAGGACGCGCCTTGCACGGTGTTGGACACGTACAACTCCAAGACCAGGTGCTGAGCAAACCTGGCTTTGGGGTTGCTGACTTTTCATTCGCCGAGGTATAGTTTGGGTACTGCCCCCAAACAGTAACAGCCTATAATGGGGCGACTACTAATATATCTATATTGTGAATATGATCCAACTGTTACTGAGTGGGGGCAGTAAGGTATAGTCATAGTCAGCATGCACTGTTTCCATCAACAACAAACAACTGCAAACTCGTGGTGAAAGTTAAGAGTTTTGTGAGCGTGGACGTGCGAGTTTGAGTTCAGGTGTATTATAGGTGACGGTTCTGGGATTGAAGATACGATAATACTATAACTTACTATGAAAAACTACCATCTACTGGAAGATCATTGGTTTAGGGCTTTTGGCTTATAGGGTTCAGGGAAGTTCGGGAATTTGGGCTCAGGGTGTATAGGGGTTAATAGGGTTTAGGGCTGGCTAGGAGTTCAGAGAAGAGTTCAGAGTTTACAGGAACCTATAGGGTTTAGGTTCACAGGGCTTAGGGTTTATAGAGTTTAGGGATTAGGGCTTTTGGGGTTTAGGGCTTCTATAGGGCTTAATGAGAGTTTTGAGTTTATATTCTAGGGTCGTTTAGGGTTTCATTACCTAGGCATTTAAGGCTTCGGGTGGCAACGAAGGGTGTGGGTTTGGTGTGGAAACCTACTTGCTCAGTGCTCCTGGACCCCAAACTGAAGGAAGAATGGAGGAATGAATATAAGAACCAGTAGTATAGTTCAGGGGCTATATGTAACCCTAAACCCTAAACCCTAAACCCCTAACCCCTAAACCCTAAACTCGAGCAACTAAACCAATGCCATGGAGTATAGCCTTGATTGTTTGGGGTGCTAGGGCCTGGGGTGCAGGATTCACCCATGGGTTTGTTGTCTTTCACCTGAACGTCAACCCTCAACCCTGAACCCTAAATCCTAAACCCTAAATCCTAAACGCCAAACCTTAAAGCCTAAACGCCAAACCCTAAACCCTAAAACGTTGTCTTTCGCTTTAAATTAAAGTTGCGGCTCTAGGCCTTCAGAGTTTTGGATTAGGAATCTGGGGCATAAGTCGTAGATTGAGTGCCAGAAAAGACCCTAGGGTTTAAGGTTTAGGTTGATCCCTACCTGGACCCTGCAAGACCTTCGTTTGTAGGGTTCCCCATTATGGTTTCGTTCTATATAAGTCCTCAAACAGGTATGCCCCGTGCGGGCATTCACGAATAGGAGCCCTATGGTTTGGCATTTTAGAATCTACCTATAGTCTCCATTGTAGTTCCTTTTCTTGGTTAACCAGTTTTATGGTTAGGATCCTATAATAGAGACTTTGGTTAGCCAAAAAAGGAACTACAATGGAGACTATAGGTAGGGTTTAGGGGTTTAGAGTTTAGGGTTCAGGGTGTAGGGTTTCAGCTCCTAGAATACTGTTAGCAATTATCTGGCGGCGTCTAGCCTAGCATAGTTAACGCCAAGCAGCATGTGCTTGATGACCTGCACTGTGTACTCTGCCTGGCTCCAGAGCAGGGTTAACAGCTTTGGCATCGCGAGTGTAGGAATGTAGACCCCTGACTTGAAAGATACTTTCGTGACAAGGACCTTTACCGTCCTCATGTTAATCAAACATATAAGGAAACAGTGCACAATCAGGTCTTTCGAATCAATTGCTGTCAGGGCTGCGGCGGCTCAGAACGCCAAAACCGAAGACTTTAGAATTGAAGGTGCTCGCTTCGGAGTTTCGGGTTTAGAGTCTGAGGGTTGTAAACCCTAAACCCTAAACGCTGAGGGTCCAATGTTTAGGGTTTTTGGAGTTGGTGCGTTGCCTGCCAACTACATTTCAAGACAAGGCGCTTGGAACCTTAAGGCTAGCCTAGGCTTCCTATCGGGTGCCTGCAACATCCTTACAGGTTTCTCCTAGGAGTCTTATAGGTTTCTTACAGGGTTCTGATAGGACTCGTCTGTGTTCAGTCAGTGGTTTAGGCCTTGCGAAGTCAGCTTTCGGAGTCCCGCATTTGCCTTAGATGTAATCCAAGGGTAAAAGGAGGGGCCCTTAATAAGGACCCCTATAGGTATATACCCTTAATATAGCTATTATATACCATTATATAGCCCATTATAGGGTAGGTTTCAAGAACTTCTGTGTCGGGGCTAGTAGCCATATATTAAGACCCTACCAGAAGTACATTATCGTAGTTTAAGGTCGGGTTCAAGGTCTATTACCAGTTGCTTCGGTATCTTGGAAGATCTGGAAATATATGCCCACTTAACCTCCAGACCCTAACCTGAAAGATTAAGTAACTACGGTGTGCTGGAAGATCTGGGCATCGTTAAGACTAGCTCAGAAAAGCCAAAATGCAATGTTGAAAATGCAGAAAACGGAAAACCCCAACTAAACCCGTTCAGCCACGAATATCCAGACCTTCGAAACACCCCAGCAGTACCCTAGCTCCGCAGGCACCGACAATGGCCCTTACAACCCAAAAGCCTGCACCGAAACCCAAGTCCCGAAACCCTGAACCTCAAAACCCCTAAACTCCTAAGGCCCCCAGCCCTAAATCCCTAAAGCCCTAGAGCCCTAAACCCTAAACCCCAACCTCCAAACCCTAAAACCTAAACACAAAACCCCCTAAACCCCTAAACACAATCAGCCTCGTTCTCGGTGAGAGGTTTGGGCTTGCAGCTGTGCTGCAGCCTCGGAGTTGCTCTAAACCCTAAACCCGAAATAAGCCCGAAAGATCCGAAGTAGCTATGCAATAGAACGTAGGGTTCCTTTAAAGATTGCGGGCTCTTTTGCGACTGCCGAACAGCTAGAAATCCTTAAGTTTAGGGTTTGGGGTTTAGGGTTTAGGAGTAGCTATACAGTAGACTGTAGGGTTCCTTTTAAGGATCTAGCGTTCCTGGAAGGGTTTCCTACGTAGCTCGTTAGTATAACGTCGGGTTTCTATGTTAGGAATTACTATTAACGGCCATATAGTGTAACGTAGGGTTTCGATATATAGTTACCATTCTGGTTTGGGTACGTATCCCCCACATAGGTAATTCGGTCCTTTTGGGTTAGGTCCCCTCTTCTAGGAACCGTGATATGGTTGAGGGCTTAGTCGTTGAAGTTTACCCTAAGGGTCCAAGTACCCAATTCTCATAGGCTCTCAAGAATAGCAACCTACATAACTACTATCCCGAACCCGAGTACCTACGGTTGATGATATAAATCCTGCACTACCCATAATAAGGAGTATACCGTAATTCCCATAGTTTAGGGTCCTTAAGGTAATGCAGGATTTATATCATCAACCGTAGTTATTGGGTCCTTTGGACCCTATAGGGTTTAAGGCTTCAGGCCCAGGGTTGAAGCTTTGGGGTTTGGGGGGGGGTTGCCTTTTCTCGGATCCCTGTAGAAGGGGCCCTAGGCACCATGGAATTGGGGGTTTAGCGGTTTAGGGCTTAGGGGTTTAGGGTTTTGGGGTTTAGGATATGATGGTGTTGTTGTATCCGAGCCCGATATAGTTCTTTCCAGAGAAATCCTGATCAAACGGGCTTACGGCTTCAAAGGATCAGAGCAATTCCCCTTTCGGAACCTTGCAGGAGTCTGCTGTGGACAATGAAGCAATAAGGTTTTTGTTGAGGTTTCCATCTATGCGACACCGTAATGTCCTGGAGGACTCCAGCGTCAAATACGAGTCTGCCCTGAAATCACCCCTTGATTCCTAATGCCCCAGACCCCCAAAGTCTGAAAAAGAGGAGGGTGCTAATCCCTATCAGCTTATCTATCCTACGAGTATAATGTAGAGTATAGCGAACCCCAGAAAGTTGGAACATGGATTTAGGACGATTAGTGCTGGGATCCCCTATACTTTACTTTAAGGGCATGAGGCTCATGATGTTCCAACTTTCTGGCTTCTACTGTAGAACTGCTGGTTGCTTTTGTTGGTGGCGCCTGATAGTTCGAGGATTTGGAGTTCGGCTGGAAAGGTGGTGGCTCACTGCAAGGCACTGCAAGGTTGCCTTGAGGCTTGTGTCTGCTTATGGCAGGCTCAGGGTTTTTGGGGTACAGCTACAGGAATACTGAGGAGTAATGTTGGTGCATACTTGTTCCGACCCTTCTATAATACACCTTTGAAGTTGCAAGCTCAAACATACGACTTCCAGCCGACATACTTCCGTAATACACAGTCGAAGTAGCTCTTGCAGCGTATCTCTCCGGCCACTGAGCAGTGCCACAGAAACTTCGAATATGGCCAAGCAAATCACCAAAGCTTGTACTTCCCTAAGGGTCCAAGTACCGAAATAGTAGGGCTTCAAGGTCCAAAAGCCATTCAAGGTATGGATTTTGGGATCTGAAACCCTACTATTTGGGTACTTGGACCCTCTGGGCTTGAAACAGCCGTGCACATGCTTCCCAGGTGGTCGCTGCAACTCGTGCTCACCCCTAAACACTAAACCTTACAGCCCTTACGTTAAAGCTTGCATTGAAGGAACCTCCCAAAGGCACTCCGAAACCCCGAAGACCCATACATGAAGCCCAAGCCCCTGTACTTCTGGGAACCCTCAAGCCCTCTTAAACCCCCGAAGCCCTGAATCCTGAACCCTAAAACCCTAAGTCCTAAACCCTCAAACCCTCTAAACCTAGTAGTCAGACACCCCTAAACCCAAAACCCTAAAAGACGCCTTGTAGCCCAAAGGATCCTTTAGAGGATCCCATAACAGAGCCTGAAAGGAAGCCTTAAAGCCCACGTTCTCTGAGTGCCCGGACGGGCCAAGGTCGCCGTCCCCTAAGATCTCCGACCTCATTCAAGGGCTTAGGGTGGACTTCAAGGGCTTTAGCGTTCAGGGATTAGGGTGGACTTCAAAGAGGGGTTTAGGGTTTAGGGGTTTAGGATTTAGGGTTTAATGGTTGCAGGTTTAGAGTTTAGGGCTTCGGGTGGACTTTAACAGGGGTTGCTTCAAGGGCTCAGCGCGGACCTTAAAACGGCTTCGTTTAAGGCTTTAGGGTGAGTGCCCTTTTCGGGATTAAAGGGTGTCATAAGGGAACCTGAACCCTAAAACAAGGAGAATGAGGGCTTACGCTAGGTCCTAGAGTTCCTTTAACCCTGAAACCCCAAACCCTAAAGAAGGTTCCTTTAGATTTGGGGCTCTTGGGGTTTAGGGCTTGGGGGTCCATCTTCAGGCCGTTAGGGCTTCTCGGACTTAGAGTTTAAGGTTTAGGTGCGGAAAGTGCTGAAAATCCCGCGAACCCCAGGACTAGCATCCTAGACTCCAAAACCCTGCAGCGCTGTGCCATGCAGAATCCCATGAAACCCTATAAAGCCCGTACTCTAAAGCCCTACACAAACTCCTCAAAGTGCCACGCACTCCCCACGCCGAGGCACACCACACGTGCCATTTCGGAGGAGCTCGCCGCACGCTGCTCCTGCTCCTTCCGCTTTTTGGTTAGGCTAAGAGGGTTGAGGGTTTGGGGGTTTGTAGGGTTCAGGGGTTTGGCCTATATGGGAGTTTCCGAAAAGGGCCCCTGATACAGCCCCCTAAACAGTAGGATCCTTTTTTCAGGACCCCAGAATAAGGTACCCCCTAATTTTCGGAAACTCCCATATAATGGATCAAGGTGTAGGGATTCGGATCTAGAGTTGACTGTGTGGCTTCCGAGGATCTAGCACTCATAGTCTTCAAGGTGCAAGGGACATACCTACACAGATCATACCCTACCCCCTTTTCAAGGTACCTACTTTTCTATATAAGAGAACCTAACCATAAAACTAGGTACCCTAAACGAAGGGTAGGGTATGACTTCGAAGGGGCCCCCACCCTTAATAGTGGTATAATAGGAATATCCGAATATAATCCTTATAGTCACTATTACAGGGTGGAGGCAGCTTCTAGGGTATGACCCTCTAGGTACTGCAAGGCGTTGTATCTTTAGTTTCGGCGGTCTTGCAAGGCCTTACCCCAAGGACCCAATAATTAGGTACTCGGTTTTAGGATACCAGCTCGGTACCCGGTTTTAGGATACTAGTTATGTAGGTTAAGACTTTGGAGAGTATATGATTATTCGGTACTTTAGGACCCTTGGGGTTCCCACAAACAAAGCCTCAAGCCCGAAAAGCCCTCAGTCTACTTAGGGGTACGGAGCTTAATGGGTGGTTGTCAAAGTAGATGGTCCCTTTTTGGGTCCCTAATATGATACGGCACCTATTATTTAGGGTAGTTACCCCAAAAGGGACCTTAATTTCGACAACTACCCTAATGTGCAGGATACAGGGTTAGCTTTTAGGGGGCAGTATAGCATAGCAACCCTAAACCCGAAACCCCCACAGTAGGGGTTGCGTACAACTAACCCCAGGCGCTGCTGGAATTGGACTTCAGGACGCTTGGGCTTGAGGTTTAGGGGTTTAGGGCTCAGGGGTTTAAGATTGTGGGGTTTAGGGGTTCAGGGCTTAATATTAAGTTAAGGGGTTTAGAGTTTAAGGGTTTAAGGGTGTAGGGCTTTTAGGGGTTTATAATCCTTAGGGGTTTGAGGTCGTAGGGTTTACGGGTTCAGGGGTTTCGGGTTAAGAGGTTCAGGGATTGGGTGACTCAGGTGCCGGACATGAGGCATGTACGTACTCCATACAGTTCCCTGGGCTTTGAAGTAACCAGGGAGAAAAAAGTATAACCTTTCATTTCATGATGGTTCCCTTTAAGTAACAGGTTCCCAAAGAAGTGTTAAAGCATGGTGCTCCATACAGCTCAGGATCCAAGTAAAACAAACACCAGAACCTAAACCCTTAACCCTGAACCCTGACCACGCCTCCCCATGAAACAGGCTCTGTTCGAGGCCCAAGAACGAGGAACCGTATTGACAACTCCTACTAATCATTGAGGCCGAAATAATAAAACTCAGGTTTATGGAAAGGGAGCCTAAGCTCTTTCAGGGTTCATGACAGTACCCAAGGCCATCCAACGCAACCCTAAACCCTGAGGCCCTGAACCCTAGACTTCGGCAACCCCGACGTCCATGGCTCGCTTCGGGTTTCTTCAGTCTCCTGTGACCCCATCAAGCCTGAACAGGGCGTAGGGTTTAGAGTCTAGGACACACTAGTCAGCCCAAGCTGAAGTTAAACAGTTAAAGCGACAAAGCCCTCTCGGGTCCTTAGTTTCTCAACCTTAAACCCTGCAGCCCCAAACCCGAAACACGGAACATTCGTGAGACGCTGTAATTCTCAAGTCCCATCAACCCCGAATACAATAAGGCCTAACAACATATCTACCAAAGCCCTATAACTCCTATAAAGATTCTGCAATTAAAACCCGATTGGCAATGCAGGAACCCTGCAGAAATCTTCCTTCGCCCGCATAAAATCCGCTAGTTCTTTGAAGCCCGATGCCCCCTACAAAAACCTTACAGAAAGCTCGTTGAATATCCTGGGGCGCAGCGGCCGCTTTTGGCGCCGGCGGTGCGCCTGGCTTCCTCGGCTGATACTCCCTGGTAAAAGGGGTCGTGTTAAACTTTTTGTGTTTTTTGAAAGGGTAAGGGGGGGAGGGGTCGATGCCTATCATCCCTACCACCGTCTGCTGGCCTTCTGGGTCTCCATCTCGGCACACGTCTTCTGCTGGGCAGAGCACTCAAGCAAGTTCGCCACTCGCCAGTTTTCTGCGGTCAGCAGTCGCTGCTGCAAGTCTTCGTACACCTCCCATGGCGCTCCGGCTGCCTGGCGTTGGTGGAAATCCACCACTGTCTGGATTCTCAGCTGCAATTTCCAGGCGAGGGTTCGTTAACGTGCTCACTCGGGTGCAACGTGCTACCTCCGTGCCTGACTTATGGTGATCCTGCACTAGCCAAAATCTAAGGCTTCTCAATGATGACGAAAGAGAGGATCTCAGGAAAGACATCCAGAAAAAGATAGAAGCCCTAGAGTACACTCAGGGCAACCCTTCAAGAAACCCTACAAGGAACCCTTCGGGCCCCTCAGGGCTCCTTCAAGGGGTGCTATAGTAATTTAGGGTTCCATGATGAGGCCCCCTTTGAAGGGTACTATGGAGTTCTATAAGGGTGGTTGTCAAAATTATGGTCCCTTTTTGGGTACCCTATGTAACAGGTGCCGTATTGTAGTAGGAAGGGACCATAATTTTGACAACCACCCAGAATGTCCCCCTTTAAAAGAACCCTCAGAGCCCTCAACCCTAAACCCTAAGGATCCCTTAAAGGAAGCCTTAGAACCCTTAAAGGAACCCTAAAGATCCGTTAAAGGAGCCGTCAGAACCCTTAAAGGAATCCTTACAACCCTGAAAGGAAGCCTTAAAACCCTAAAAGGAAGCCTGGAACCCTTCGAACCCTTAAGGGACCCGCAGAACCCTCAAAGCCCTCAGAGCAGCCGAAGGAGCTTCTTCTCAGGCTCGAGGGCTTGCTTCGCCTGGCGGAGGGGGATTCCTTTTTGGGACTTCGATTTCAGGGTTTAGGGTTTACTTTCTCTTAAGCTCATTTTTGCGTCTGCCCATCCCTTGGAGCATAGGGTTTAGGGTTTAGGGCTCCTTAGATAAACAAAGGAACCCCAAAAGATCCCTTAAAGGACCCCTTCAAAGAACCCTACAGATCCCTTAAGGGCTCCGGATTTAGGGCTTATGCTGTCTAGTGTTTTTGTTTTGGGGTGCAGGGTATAGGGCTCAGGGTTTTGGGAATCTAGGGCTTTCGGGACTTCGATACGGGCTGCGGGTTTAGCCTGCTACAAGTAAGTCCCACGATCCTTTAAGTACCCCCAAAGCCCTAATAAAATCCTTGTAGTAACCAGTATAGATCCCTTCAAAAGACTGGGGTTGGGGCGTCTAGGGCTTCTGGGTTTTTTTTGGGGGGGGGCTTCGAAGAGGGCCCAGGGTTTCGCTTTATGGTATTTCGGGGCGCGTGGCCTGGGGACGAATAGAATACTCCTTCGTGATCCGAAACTCAATGGTGGAGGACGGAGGGCCTAAAACCTCATAGGGAGAGGAGCGGGGGGCCTAAGACCTCGTAGGGAGGACGGAGGGCCTAAGACCTCATAAATTCGCGCAGATGGCCCTTACCAAGCCCCAAACCCCTAAAAGCACTAGAAACCTGACCCCAAAACCCTGAACCGAAGAATCCACATAAACCCTACAAGCCCCAAACCCCAAAACCATACAAAAGCCCTTTCAAGCCCCAAAACCTAAACTCCTAAACTCCTAAACCCTAAATCACACCAAACCCAAAGCCCTAAGCCGGAAACGATGATCCAAAGCACTTTGCCTTGGCGGCAGCAGCATAAGCCTTCCAAGAGCTTGTGGCTCCACGACTTGGGGGCTTAAGGGTCACCCCCTTAAGGGGGGCTTAAGGGGGGGAGGGTAAGGAGTTGAGGGGGTTAGGGGTTAGGGCGGTTAGGGTTTAGGCTTTAGGGTGTAGGCATAGGGTTTAGGGTTTTCTGGCTGTTTGGGGGGGACACCGTGGCGTGGTCTAAGCCGTCAGTCGGCCGGTTACCGATTTTGTGTCATATGTTGGTGTTTTGTTGTTGTGAAAACACGCGGGTTGGAGGGGGCTCAGAGCCGTGCATGGATTTCGGGCTTTGGTAGTTTGTGGTCCAAGGCTAGCAGTTCAGTTCCTTCGGGATTCTGAGCTTGTGGTTTAGAATATTGGTTCAGGGGTTGTGGTCTGTGATGTTCGGTGTTTGGGTGCAGACCATCATTTGAGACCGTGGCTTGTGGGAGTTGGGTTTCAATCTTTCGAATTTCGCGCGGGAGCTTTAGGTTGAGATATCCCGGCCAGGCGGCCAGACCATACTTGGAGAATCAGGGGTAGTTATACATGGGGTTATAAGTCCCCTAATTAGGGTTATAAGTATAGTTACCCTGGTTATAACCCTACTTATAACTACTCATGAACCTCCAAGTAAGGGGTCCCTAAACCCTAAACCATTTAGTAAGTCTTGTTTCCTCGGTATCAGGATTTTGGATGAGGCCACGAAGCCTTCCATGTTGTATGAAACCCACATCTTAAAGCCCCAAATCCTACAAACCCACATCCCGAACCCCTAATGCCCGCAACAACCTTGCACGACCGTGGACTTGAAAAACAATCACACACCGAAGCTCTTCAACACAACTGATAAACATAAGCGCTACACAGGCAAAACCCTAAAGCCTAAACCCCAAACTGAAACACATAGCCCAACAACGATCCAGGCCTCTGCAGAGGGCAGGTTGCCAAAGTCGATAATTTGGTCCATACCTGGGTGGTTGTCAAAATTGGGGTCCCTTTTTGGGTACCCTAAATATTAGGTGCCGCCGTATTAAAAATAAGGACCCCAAAAAGGACCCTAATATTGACAACCACCCACCTGGATGGGGTTAGAGGTTAGGGTGTTGAAAAGCCGACACCCTGAACCCGACTCCTTCTGATCTCCGAAGAAAACCCTTTGGCAGCAAAGACAGCCCAGACATTCGGTATCGACCTTCGCTCCACGAACTCAAGCTCATCAAGTACTAAAGGCATCATCTGGGAGATCTTGCACAGCTTCTTTTCCTCCATCTTGGAATCATGGGACTTGCTTTAGCGAGCTTTAGCGTCTCCAACGATCGCACATCGATGTTGCCGTTCAAGCCTTGTCACAGCCAACTTCCTCCAAGAAGGTTGCCAAGAATGGCAAGGCTCAGAGGTGGTTTGACAAGAGCGGTCCAGAGCGAACTGAAGTCCAGGTGCGGCCTCAAAGGCGTCAGGAACTGCAGCGATGCGGCCTAGCAGCTAGATGAGGAGTTATCTTTAACGAAAAATTGACCGGATATCACCAGACTTGCTAGATAGCTGTTGCACATTTGTCGGTGGTTGCCATCGTGGGCAGTCCTAAGCCACCATGCAACAAAAAACACAACTTCACCTGTAGAGGTTACTGCAGGGTTGGAGGGTTTAGGGTTTAAGGATTCAGGGCTTAGGGTTGTAAATGTCACGGTGGTATATGGTCACATCAGGCTTTTGTGAGGTTTCCAAGGCTAGGGAAGGATCTTATCGTTCGTTTTGATTGGACGTTCTAGTCGCCCCTTCAAGACTTTCAAACCCTAAACCCATAGCCTTAAACCGTCTCCTAAACAACTCCAAGGTGAACCGTCTTCTACAAGTCTAATTTTGAGCAGGAGGCCCCAAAACCGAAAGGGTAGCAGGAGATACAACTGTACTCGGCCAGGAGGCTGTATACTAGCAGTATGGAGTTGGTTCCCCATAAAAGAGGGGCCTTCATAATTACCTATACTTTTTTTGGGTGGGTTCCTTATTATTATAACTCAGTATAATGGGCCCCAGAACCCTAATTTTATGTTAAGGCCCCTCTACTGGCCAGGCTACGGATGGTCTTTTGAGTCTTTTGGGGCCTAACTTCAAGATGGTATATGGAGTCTCTGGGTGGGCGAACCAATGAAGGTCAGGGCTTTAGGGGCTTAGCGTCGGGTGCTTATTCACGGATGGGGCAGGTAGGGCTAAGGGTATACGGGGGGTTGGATTCCTGGGGTCGCTAAAGAGGCGAGGCAGCTTCGGGTTAGTAGATTGAGCAAAAAACCAGTGGAATTGGGGATTTAAGCTTTAGGGCTTAAATTTTGGGGACTCAAGTTTAGGGTGATGTGCCGTAGACCCCATTTCTACTTGTGGTGACTCCTCAACCCCAACACGGAAAATGAAAGGGGCTCCTCAACCGAAAATCTCCGCCTCCCATCCAAAACCCGTGAACCCACTACGCCCGAAGTGATTTTGAAGACACCCACCTCTGAGAGCCGATAACTCCCAACAGCTGTCAGAAGCAGAGCTACCAAAAAAGAAGAAACTGGGGAACACATCTGCACAGCCCGATACATACATACGGTTGATGATATAAATCCTGCATGACCCATAATAAGGAACATACCATAATTCCCATAGTTTAGGGTCCTTAAGGTAATGCAGGATTTATATATCATCAGCCGTATCCCTAAACCCTAAATCCTATAGGCCCATCTTTCTCTTCCAGATCCGTCCGGGCCCCGGACTGCCGTTCTGCATCTGGTCCACCAAACTCTCATACCTTGAGAGGCAGGGCTTCGGGCTCATAGTTTTTTTTTGAAGGGCCTCTTTTCGATCTGCAGGCAGCGTCTCAAAAGCCCATTTGGGCAGGCAACAGACAATCACTTAGAACACCTGAACTACTGTTGATGATATAATTCCTGCATTACTTTAAGGACCCCAAACTATGGGAATTATGGTATATTCCTTATTCTGGGTAATGCAGGATTTATATCATCAACCGTAGGGTTTAGGGTTTAGGGCTTGGAGCTTAGGGTGAAAGGCCTGGGGCCTAGGGCTCATTAGGGGGTTAAGGCTTAGAGGGTTCAGGCTTGGGGTTGGGGGTTTAAGGCCTGGCTTCTTAGGGCTTAGGGGTACCTATAGTCTCCATTGTAGTCCCTTTTTGGGGTTCCTTTTAGGATCCCTAATATAGAATTGGTTAAACCAAAAAAAAGGAACTGCAATGGAGACTATAGGTAGGGCTTAGGGGGGTAAGGCTTCGAGCTTTCTTGAAGTTGGGGTTTGGGGCCTAGTTTTGAAGGGTCATACTCTCGGGGGCCTCAAAAAAGGTGGGTGGGATATTCCCAAATAAGGGTCCTTATATAAGGGATCCTTAATCCCACCTACCCTCATCCCACCTTGTGAGGCCTCCGATACTTGAAGCTTTAAACTCTTTTCAGACCTTCGGGCTTGGTGGTTTTAGACGATGAGCCTCAACCCCCTGAGCCCCAAACCCTAAAGCAAAGCCCACCAGTTCCAAACCGTCTAAGGCCCCAAAACCTGAAATCGCGAATCCCCCACACCCTGAAGCTAACCCCTCAAGTCCTGAACACCCTGACCCTGAAGCTAGGGTTTAGGGTGTAGGGTTTAGGGTGTAGGGTTTAGGGTTTAGGGTTTAGGGTTTAACCCCTCAAGTCCTGAAAACTATCACTTTGGTAACCCCACGGCCCCAACGCCCTTTGCAACTACGATAAGGTACTCAAGATCAGCTACTGCCATGTACGGCCTAAAGGCCTATGTATGTTTAGGTCGTTAGATCCGAAAAACCGAAAACCCTAATTCAGAATCTCCAAAAACGGAAGGATCCTTCATAAAAGGACTACCTAACTAAGAGACCCTGACATTCGCCAAGATTACAAACAAAACTCCCTCAATACCATGAAATGACCAAACCACGGGTATGTTGCATTCACCCTAAACCCTAACTCTAAACCCATTCTAGACTCTGAGACCTAAAGACTCAAAAAATATGTTCTCCCCAATCTGCTAGTAGACGCTGAGGCCTAGAAAACTCCTTCCGCCATGGCGCAGGGCGTCCACGGAGAAGTTGGTGTCTGCGGACATCAAGGTCTCGTAACCGACCTTGGCCACCTCAGAAGCTTTGGTACTTTCTGGTGGATGGTTGTCAAAATTAGGGTCCCTTTTTGGGCATCCTATAGATCATAGGTGCCGTACTACAAAGGACCATGATGTTTGACAACCGCCCCTGTACCTGGTGTGAAGGGGGCTACTTGGAGGGTCGGGCATCTACTTGCTAAGTCCCCCGACCCTCCAACTACGCCAGGGCAGACCGAGGCCTTGATCCCGAGTTCTGGTGCTTGGCTTAAAGGAGCTCTTGGCGTGGGGGTTCTCGGGCCTTTCGGGGCCGTTCGAGGGGGCTTTGGTGTTGAGTTCCGCGATCTGCTTTGTTAGGGATTCAGTGGATCAAACCCGGAGCACAAACCTTCGAACTCGAAGTCCTTGAACCTTATAATCCTTCAAGGGTAGGGTCTTGGGTTTTGGGTTTTAGGGGTTTAGGGGTTTGGGGGTTTTGGGTTAAGACTACCCTGAGGGTCCATGTGCCCAAATGCGCTCCCCATATTATTTAGGTACATTGGGGCCAAAGAGTATACTATTTGGGTACATGGACCCTTCGGGTATGAATCTGATCAATTCCGCCAGTAGATAATCCCCCCCCCCCAATAGAACCCTTCCATCATTCAGTTGTAAAAACATTTAAAAGGGTTTGAGGCTCGTTGGGCCACCTGGTCTGAAACCCAACCCCGGTAAAATGGGGCCCAGGACTGCTCTGCGGGTCCAGGGCGTATGGGCAGTTTCTTGCTGGAATGGGTACTTTAAAAGACCATTATAAAATCAGTCCATGATCCTACGGTTTTGGGTCTATATTTCGGTGCCCTACTTCCTGAATGTGACATAACCTCAGAGGTCCTGCCGATGTCTGCCAGCCCAGGCACATCGTTGGTCTCCTCCACGCACTGCTTGAGTACGTTGCCTTCGCTTCGAGCAGGGCTTGTTGGTCGAGGGTTGAGCATTCAGGGTGCAGAGTTTGGGGTCCAGACGTAGGGTCTAAGGGCATTTAGGGTTTAGGATGTAAGGTTTTGGAGGTTACAGTTAAGGCTTTGGCTTCAAGACTAAGTGACTAAGGCTTGTGGCCGTGCACGAGTTCGTTCGAAACTAAGGCTGCAGCTTTCACTTAAGCCGCAAACCCTGCACACACCTAACAAGTAGGATGCTCTGCACCTCTGCTGCCGAGCTGCTGTAGAGCTTGATTCTATCTCGCACCTCGTCGTCATTGTCGTTGGCTCCGAACCTCGAAAAGGCGAAAAGGCTCACCAAGCCTGCTTTAAGGCCTGCGGTAATTTGAATCGTAATGCACGGTATAACCTTGCCAGTTTTGTCTGGCATAGCATGGAGTAGGATAGTATAGTATAGAAGCCCCACATGTGGGGCCGGAAATGAAGGCTTCAAACCTTCATGGCGTGCTAAAAGGTAATTATGGGATTTAATGTAACCCAGACTCCTGCGTTGCCGAATGTCCGCATACAGCACAACAACATGCACATGATAGTCAGTACGCCTGAACATAGCGAAACAACTGCATGGCTGTACGTATGGACACATTGGTCAGGGATCTGTGCAGGCAAGCCGCTGAAGCAAAAGAAGGACGTCCTTGCGAAGCGTCGTGCATTTCCTGAGTTGGGCTTACAGCGGCGGCGTTCACGGCCCCTGGAATGCACGAATTGAGGTGCAGGGGCGTCCCGTAGCTCCAAACCCTGCAAAATACTAGGTTAATCCCTTAAGAATGAGGCTTTGGGATAGGCTATTGCTCTAAATACAATACCCTGACGAATACTGTTGGTAATTATTCCGACCCCTGTACTATCCACATGCAGGAACCTGGTCGGTAATTGGAACATACCTATAGTCTCCATTGTAGTTCCTTGTTTTGGCTTGACCAATTATATATATATATATATATATATATATATATATATTAAGGATCTTATAAGGTAACCTACAATGGAGACTATAGGTACAGCCTCAAAGTCTTAAAACCCTTAACCTGTAAAGCCCCTCCTAAGGGTCCAAGTACCCAAATAGTAGGGTTTCAAGGTCCAAAAACCATTCAGGGTATGGATGTTGGGATCTAAAACCCTACTATTCGGGTACTTGGACCCTCTGGGAAACTCCTAGACCCTAAACCCTAAACCCGAAACCCTAGCCCTCAAACCCTAAACCCTAAACCCCTAAACCCCTAAACCCTACTATTCGGGCACTTGGACCCTCTGTGGTAGTTGCGTAGCACATATCTGGATCCCCAAAGTCTATAATATAGGGGCCTTAATAGTTAGAATAAGGTCTTGGGGCCCATCATACTACACTAATAATAACAAGAAACCCGCAAAATCGTATTGGCAAGTATTAAGACCCCTATCATACTATCTCACTCCTTAATTACTTGGACACTTTGGGGAAATCTTCAGCCCTAAACTGGAAAGCCGCCGCCCTTACGAACGCCAAGCTCCAAGGCGCTTGTTGCGTGACCTGAGCCCCCAAACCCCGAACACTGAACTCCGCATAAACCCCGAACCCTAAAACCCAAAAACCCCAAAACCCTAAAACCCTGGAGCCCTAAAACCCTGAAACCGTAAAACCCCAAAACCCTGAAACCCCAAAACCCTGAAACCCTGAAACCCTAAAACCCTGACACCCTAATCCCCTAAAACTCTGAAACCCGAAAACCCTGAAACCCTACAACCCTATAGTATAAACTCTGAACCATGTGGGTCCTTGTCAAAAATATGGTCCTCTTTTGGGTCCTTGTTATATTTGGGGTACCCCAAAAGGGACCATAATTTTGAAAACCACCCATGTGCATCCAAGCAGCATCGCGATCTTCGACCTGGTGGCCCCCAAACAGATCGGGAAAAGGAGGCTTGATTTTTCCTATACCTGAAAAGAACTCTAGCAGATCCCTTCCCTGACAGAAGGGCTCCGGATTGAGGGTTTATGCAGTCTAGGGGTTGTTTTGCTTTGGGGTGTAGGGTACTATACTGAACTTAGAACCCTAGCAAAAATTATAATTTTAGCTGCTTCTTAGGGATTATAATAACCAAAAATTAAAAATCTTTTCGACGTACCTCTAAGTTTCGCCGTGCAACCACGATCCAAGGTTTACAAACGGCCTTGCTAACAAAACAGGGCCTGAGGGAAGAGATATTGTACATTGTACACACTGCAGCTATCTAACACCGAGTGCGAAAATGCAACCTCGGAAAACTTCAAACCCTGAACAAATTTGTACTCCAACCCAACCGCTGGGGACAATCCAACACTTGGAATGCTCCGTTGTAACACCTTGTGAAAGCCTTTCAAACCCTCTTGGAACCCTGTTGCAGTCTAAGCCTAAAGGCCCTGAACCCTAAACCATCACCCCTACCTGTAGTCTTCATTGTAGTTCCTGTTTTGGTTAACCAAAATCTCTATTATAGGATCCAAACCATTAAACTGGTTAACCAAAAAAGGAAACTACAACGAGAACACTGAACCCTTGAACATAAAAATCCCACTTCACTTCCGAGCCGGAGGGCAGAGCGTCCACCGCAGCTGCACGGACCAGGGCATTCTCTAGGATCAGGCCTAGTTCATGGTTGGGATAGGATTAAAAATCTAAACTTTTATTCCTTACCCTAAGGCTTCATGTACCCATATAGTGCATACTTAGGCCTTAAAGTACCTACATAGGGACCCTTTAAGGCTTAAGTATCTATTATAAAGGTACATGGAGCCGTTGGGTTATTGGGTTTAAGTATCCATAAAAATGTAGAATGTTACCCAACTGTGACAAAAAGACCCGAAGAAGGACTTATCAGAATCAGAAAATTTCAGAGGTTGGTTTTCTGCCACTGCGTGTTTAGTTTAGAGCTTGCAATATACTACCATTAATATAGAGCCCCAACAAAGCACATAAGCAAAAATCAGGATAGGGATATCCCAAAAAGGTCGGGATATCCCTATAACATGCTTCTGCTTATGTGTTTTTGGGTCCATAATAATACAAGTAAATGATATTGCGAATGCGAGGTGATCGTATTTGCAGCAAATTCAGGACCCCAGATATGAGCTTCAGGTTGGGGTTTAGGGCTTCTGGCGTGGATTCCCTAATGTAGGGGCCTGAATAATTAGAATAGGGTTTGGGGGTATAGAATACTATATATAATTATAATAAAGGAACCCCCCAAAAAAATCGTATAGGTAATTATTTAGGCCCGTCAAGTTTCTATCGGTTCAAGTGTTTCCGACTTGCTGCAAGGCAGGTTCAGGAAGTGGGAGAGCGTGTTTTTAGGTTCAGGATCCCGGCTTCCTGGCTTTAGGCTTTAGGCTCGTGCTTCGCGATGAGAGGAACCTAGGATTGCAAGATATTTCAAGCCGAGGATTCACGATTTACGGGGGTTTAAAATATCTGGAACTTGGACGTTGCGGGTTCACTTGGGAGCTCTGGTCCTTCCATGGGTTGATACTCTTTAGAGGTTTGCAAATTTTGCTTTTTAAAAGCCTCTGTGGATTCTTCCAATCGGGTTCCACAAGGTGCCACAAGTGCCGAAGTCTGGCTGCTTTGGACGGCTTTAGTTACACCACATCTTGTGCTATGCCTGGTTCTTCGTGTTGAAGACAATCGCACACGCAAGCCAACAAAGACAACCGAATAACAACAGTGAAGAGAGCACTGCGCCTGAACCCTCACACCGCAGCTCGTGGAGGGTTCGGGTATGGGGCTTTGGGCTACAAGTATGTTAAGCCTTCGAGGTTAGGGTTCAGGGTTCAGGCTCTAGTACTCTAAACCTCTGAACACTCAACCCTACACCTGAAAACGGCTTTGGTTTTAAGGGCTCAGGGTTTCGGGCTTAGGGCTTGGATTCCAAAGAGCCTGCAGCCCTAAGTGGGAGTGCAGGAAATAGGGAACTCGATTGTGCAGCCGGATCTTAACTCCCCAACAAAAGAACTTGTACTTTAGAAGCTGCCCCCACCCTGTAATAGTGACCATAAGGATTATATTAATATTATATTAGGGCCCGATTGTATTCTATAAAACCAACATCACAGGGTGGGGGCAGCTTCGAACCTGTACTGTTCTGGAACCCTTGTTGGGGTGCCCTGTAAAAACATGAAGTTTCTGTTAGCCTTGCCAAGTGCATAAAGGCTGCTGAAGTTCTTTTCAATCAATCCCACAAAACCCTAAAAACCCTAAACCCTCAACCCTCCATTGCAAAGCCATGCCATAAACTCTCTACGACCCACAACCACTTTTCAGTTCAGTAATCATAAACTCATAACTCTCAGGCACAACACCAGCAAACAAACCTCGCGAACTCCTGCATTCCTCGATGGCAAAACCCTATCATATCTTTCGAATAGCCCAACACCCTAAATCCAATACACCCTAGACCCAGAAGCCAATAAACCCCTAAGCCTTAAATCCAAGAAACCTTAAACCCGATGAGCAGGCTTCTTTTCCAAAACAACTGAAACAGGCAAGGGGCGATTGTAGATAAATCGCACATACTTCGCTGGATGCGAGGTGCTGGGAACCTCCACCGAAGAGGCGGCTTGAGGGTTGAGGGCTTTAGGGTTTAGGGTTTGGGGGTTTAGGGTTTAGGCTTTGGGGGTTTACGGTTTAGGGCTTTCAGGGACTAGCGTCGAGTTAGCCCCAAGTACTTATATAGGATTACTTTAAGGCTAAAGTATATACGCTTCGGGCTCCAACCATTCTTGGACAAGGGATCTCAAAGGAGCGTGATCATGGGGTTTAGGGTTCTGGGTGCTCGTATACCAAGAGACGTTATGTAAACCTCCTAACTCACGGCTTCCAAAATCTAAACAAGCTCTAGCTCCTAAATGCATATTGAACCCTTAAACCCTAAACGGCCCGAACCACCTTAAAGCCTATAGACCCTCCCTGGAGCCCTTAGAAGCCCTGAGCCAAAGTTGGCCCCCTAATGCTACATCCCGAAGCGCTGAAGCCTTAAATCCCAGAACCGATGAACCCATCAAGCCCTGTCGTCCTACAGAGTCCCGTAGAACCACAATATTGCCTCTCCCAAACCTTCAACCCTACACCCTAGACCCTGAACCCGAAACCCTTGAGATTCCTGGGGCAAGCCCTAAGACCACCGGATCGTGTGGAGGCCTCCTCACCGAGAAATCCAAGGATGCGTGTGCAAAGGTTCGGATACTCGCAGTCCTTTCCGTTGAGGTACAATTAAGGGTCTAGGATAAATTAAGGATATAGGGCCCCAGAAATAAAATAGGGCTTTGGGAACAATAGTGGCAACTAAAGTGTTCAGGCTGCTATATTACAGGGTTGGGCAAGGTCGTTTTATAGGGACTTTGGCTAAAGCTCATAGATCAGAGTTCTTTAAGGGGGTTTACGGTTCTACAAGGGATGATGAGTCCAAGGATAAGGGGTTTCAGAGCTGGGTTTAGATGGCCTGAGGCTCAGGGCTTCTTGTGTTTGAAACTAAGGGGTTTCGAGGTCTAGGGGCCCTACAGGGCCAAGTTTGAGGATTTCGCGTGTTAAGAGTAAGAGGTTTAGGGTTTAGGATCTATGAATTTGGGGAGCTTGAGGTTCGCCTTTGCCTGCTTGCTGCGTGCTTAGGTGGCACCAGACGTCTGCGCACCCTGAACACTCCAAATCTAACACTAGACACGAAAGTGAGTGCCAAACCTAAACAGCTGCACACACCGAACCAAACCAGATTCATCATAATGGAACGCTCAGAATCGAAGAAACCCTGAATGCACAATCCCAAAGCTAACAGCTAGGGTTTAGGGTTTAGTGTTTAGGGGTTTAGGGTTTAGGGTTTAAGGGTTTAGGGTTTAGGGCCCCTGAACCACAAACTCTGAAGCCCAAACCCTGCGCGCGGCTTTTCAAGGAAGCAGTGGCCAAGAGGGGGTTGCTGAGCTTTGAGCAACATAGCCGATCGCCTCCCCGTAGAGAAGAGTAGGGACAGGGTTTCGGGGGTTCAGGGCTCGAGGTTTAGTAGATCTGGGGCCCTAAACCCTAAACCCTGAACCCCTAAACCCCTGAATCTCAGAGGATGTTGGCTGCAAGTGCGGCATCAGTCCTTTGGACTCTTGGGGTTGGGATTAATCAACCCTTGAGCCCTCACCCACCGAGGTAGGACTCGGGATAGCCGTCGTCCGCGGGCCAGCGACCTCAGCTTGGAGAGCTTCAGTTTTGTTCAGGTTTGGAGCTTAGGGCTTAAGGGTTTAGGGTTTAGGGGTTTAGGCTTTGTAGCACTTAAAGGGGGTAGGGTTCTCATTAAATTCGCCTTGACATCTAGGATAGGGTTCAACTCAGGGCCCTAAACCCTAAACCCTAAACCCTAAACCCTGAACCCTAAACCCCTAAAGGCCCTAAACCCTAAACAGGGTTCTGTATGCGCTACTGCTCGGCTGGGGTCGGGCTTAGGGGCTTTTTATTTAGCGGCCCTTTTTCTGAGCTAAGGGTTTTAGGGTTTGGGGAAGGTTTAGGATTTTTGATGGCTGTAGGGCTCAGGGGTTTTGGGTCTAGGGTTACAGGCTTCTGGGGGGTTTGGAGGGTACACCCAAACCCTCAAGGCCCAGAAGCATTCAGACCCTGAACAGAAACACAAATCAAGCCAAAGACCAAATTTAACAACCCTAAATGCTACATCCCAAACCCTACATTCACCTACCTTTTAAGGACTTATACAAAGAAGTCATATTAGGGAACCCTAAAGAGGCAGGTTCCTTAGGGTCCAGGTAGACCCTGAACTCTAGACACCTAAGCCTAAACCCTAAACACCCGAAACAAAACCCGGAAAAATCCGAGGCCAACTCCGGGAAAGAGAGAAAGACTTCTTTCTTCAAACCGACCATGTAGGGCTCAATAGCCTTACAAGGCGTTGAAGGGGTTATATAAAGCCTACTTGTCTGGTATCATGGGGAACTGAAGTTGAACCTTTTTGGTTATATAGGGGATTATATAGGGACTCTACTACCCAACAAAAGGTTAAAGGTTACAGGTTACCTGCTCCTAGGAAAGCTGTTACAGGCTTCTATGAGGATTTTGAGATTTTTGTTGCGGCCTTGAAGGTGAAGGATGGTGTGCCATGGCTTCTGACAGCGGGGTTACTCCCTCATCCTGGTGGGCCATGCCTGCTTGGAGGGTCGGGGGACTTAGTAAGTAGATAATGAGTAGAGTTAAGTACCCTAAACGGGATCCTGATTGGGGATATGGTCATTATAACTCTATAAAATAATTACTGTAAGTCCCCCGACCCTCCAAGTGGGCATGAGCCGAACGTTGGGCATTCGGCGCTGTGCGTCAGTCCTGCTTGGTACGTTGCGATCTCCGTCTTGTCCTTGGTGTCGTGCAAGAGCCGCATTATGAGCTCCTGTTGAGTCGCACAATTCCAAATCCCGCGTCAACGCTAGCTGTCGGCTTTCTGGCATCTAGGGCTTCATAAACAGAACTTCTGGTTCCAGGTTCCAGAACGCCCATATGGAGCATCAGCTCTGGCTCTGGCAAGAAAACCTTGTCCACCACGCACATCCAACTGCCAACCAGTACGGAACGCATGCGGTTCCTAGGTGCGCCCCTCGTCGTCATGGCTCCAAAAACTTGCGAAAATGCGGTGGTCTTGTGAAAAATAAAATTCCGCTCCTTCAAAACCCCAACCCCTGCTGTCCACCCAAACACACAAACCAAACAAACCCGACAATCCATAAATGGGTAGTTGTCAAAATGATGGTCCCTTTTGGGGTACCCTAATTATTAGGTGCCGTACTATATCAATGGCCCAAAAAGGGACCATAATTTTGACAACCACCCAAATGTCAAAAGAGAACCGGCCGTAGCTCCTGCCACCCGAAACTCTCAAACTCTAAGGAACACTTTAAAGGGATTCCGTTACCAAAAGGGAAACGAGTAAAATCAGTTAAGATTTAGGGCTGAGTCCTTACAGTAAATCCGAAAAGCCCCAGGCCCTGAACCCCGAAAAACCGTAGACTCTAGAAACCCGTAAACCCCTTACAAACCTTAAACTCTTTTGAACCGTTGAGACAACCCCTCAAACCCATAATTTTATCGCTTAACCCCCAAAGCGCCAAACCCCTACATCGGAAACCCCTCAACCCTAAAAGCCCCAAGCCACTGAAGAGGCCTCTAAAAGCCCTTAAAGAGGCACTCAGAAGCGAACCCCTTAAAGAACACTACAAGCCCTTAAAGACCTCAAACCCTTAAACCCTTACAGGGACCCCCTAAACAGCCCCCTAAAGAGCCATTGAGGGAACCCCTATCTTTAAACTTTAGGCCCTAAACTTACCCTAAAGAGCCCTTAAAGAGCCATTGAAGGAACCATGGAAAAAAACCTTTGAACCCCAAGGTAGAACCTTATGAAGGAAGCCCTCAAGAGCACTTGAAGATCCCCGTAACGAGCCCTTAACAGCCCTTAGAAGGCCGTAAAAGATTTAAAGAATCCTGAAGTTGCCCTTGAAGAGCCCTTTCAAAGTAAAGGAGGGACCCTTAATGGGGACCCCTACCCTATAATGGGGCTATATAACGGTTATATCATAGCTAGATTAAGGGTATATACCTAGGGGTCCTTATTAAGGGTCCCTCCTTTTACCCTTGGATTTTAAAGAATCCTTAAGTTGCCCTTGAAGAGCCCTTGCAGCAGCCCTGAAAAAGCCCTTATAGAACCCAACAACTTACCCCTGAAGAGCCCTTACAGCCTCTAAACCTTGTTACAGAACTTAATCATACACCGAAACCCTTAAAGGGTATTTAAGGAACCCTGCAACCCTTCCTAAAAGAGCCCAAAACCCTAAACCCTCTAATCTTTACAACTTTAAGCCTTAAACTTGCCCCAAAGAGCCCTAAACCCTAAAAAAGAACCCTAATCGATATCCTTATAGGAGCCCTTAAAGGAACCCTAAAGAGCCCTTAAAGAAACCCCTTGAAGGAACTCTTAAAGAGCCCTTAAAGGAACCCCCAAAGAGCCCTTAAAGGAACCCCTGACAGAGCCCTTAAAGGAACCCCCAATAGATCCCTTAAGGGAACCCCTAACAGAGCCCTTAAAGAGCCGGATCGCAGGGCCGCGGGTCTCCGGCGCTGGCCAGCAGCCGGCAGGCGGGGCAATGGGGCGATTGCCGCGGGATCTCCGCGACCTGCGTGTGGGGTTTGGGATTTGGGGCTTGGGGTTTAGGGGGTTTAGGGTTTGGAGGGTTTAGAGGGTTTAGAGGGTTTAGAGGGTTTGGAGGGTTTAGAGGGCTTAGAGGGTTTCGGGTTTCGGGGAGTTACGGCTTTAGAGTTAGGGGTTTGGGGTTTAGGGTTTAGGAGTTGAAGGGTTAGGGAGTTCAGGGCTTAGGGAGTTTAGGAGTTAGAAGTCGAGGGGTGGGGGGGCCGAGGGTTCTTAATTGAAGGTTTCAGAAGTTTCACTATTTAGTTTGGGTTTTAGGGTTTAGGGTTTAGGGTTTAGGGTTTAGGGTTTAGGGTTGTATCGGGTGTAAGGGTTTCATCCGGCTGTGTGAGGGCTTTTCTACGGTGCAAAAAAGCTTTGCCAGGCCTTATAAAGGGTCTGATAAAGGTCTTGTATGGATTTCTGTAGGTTATATACGTTAATGAGGCTTTGGGGAGAAGAGCTTGAATAGTGCTGGGCAGCAAAGCCTAATGTGGGAACAACACGCACAGACACAGGAATGAACACGCACACACAAACCTACAAATACATGTGTATGTGTGTATATATATACATATTCATTTATCCATTTATTTATTACGTATATATATATATATATATATATATATATAATTATAGGCATATGTGTATGAATATATATATATATATATATATATATACATATACCTTTACACAGGAATCATACCTTAACCCTAAACCCCTAACCTTGTAAACAGCTAAACCCTCAATGTGATACCACGCACATGTCGTCATGCGCAGCTGCAGCGCAGGCCACTGTATACAGCTATGCCGCAAGCAGGGAAGCTCAGAGGTAAGCTTTGAGAATAAACGTCGTGTATGATGTAGAAACCTGATTAAGCAATGCTGGGTTTTCAACCAGGGTTCTTTATATGAGCCCTAATATATTCGGGGTTATAGAGCCAGGCTTTGTTAATCTTCCTACAGTACCTTGCTTACAGCTTTAAGGGTTAGGTTTAAGCTTGCACAGCTAACAGGTCGTACGGCTGGCGCTGCATTCACCTGACAGGAACCTTTAATGGTCCCTCTAGGATAAAGAACCCCTTCTGGAACCTAGAGTACGGGCAGAAAGCATGAAACCGAAGGTTACAGTCAGAATCCCTGGGCTCTGCCTCATGGTAGGGCGTGTGGTAACGACAGGAGGGCTTGTGCCACCTGTCTCCGTCACCGTTGGGTTTAGGGTGTTGCGTTTGAGGCGTTGCTGTCCTAAAAGTCATCTGCACTCAAGCGTTTGGGTTTTCAGGTTTAGGGTGAGCAGCAACTGCCGGTGTTTCTCAACTCGGAACGGATGGACCAAAGTCGGGACAACAGCTTCCTTGGGAAGCGCTTCTCCGTGTTCATGGTTAGGGGGTTCCGGGGCGTACGGTTGAGGTTTAAAGCTTTGGGAATGAAGTGTGCAGACAAACCAATGCTTTGATCTTGTCATTTACTAATACTGTTCTTATCATCATCACCATCACAAGCAGCACCAGCATCATCATCATCATCGTCGTCATTCTTTTCTTAAAATTTTACCAGTGCTACTAAGTTTTGTAACAGCCCCGAAGACAAGGTCTCAATACAAAGCACTGTTCAAGATGAACCCAAAGCCCTATCCCTCAGACTTGAAACTGCCCAAAAGCTTGATTCGGTCCCGTCTGTAGTCCTAAACCAAATGACCCGAAGCCCTTAACCCTACAAACGTTAAGCCCCGGAAATGCCCTACAGCATCCCTTAACCCCAAACCCTAAAAGTCCCTAAACTCTGAGCCTTGAACGTTAAATATGGGTACTATGACCCTCAAAATCCGGAATCTTCTGGATTCTAGGGCCTGTTGTCGTGGGCCAGTGGTACGCGCCGATCTACGCCGCAATCCCAGCAGAACTCGAAACCGCACTCGCAGGTCACATGGTCGCACTCCTGTAACAGCGGCGGGGGGTATGAAAAAGGAGACATATGGACATATCTAGGAAAGATCATGCTTTGTAATTCACAAGTTTTCTTAATTTGTATCAGCATGCAGAGAACCCTTGCCTTGACCGGCCCTGACTTCACTAGTCAAACCCGCACAATTGCTGCGTTTGCCTTTGGGCACAAGGTTTGCAGAATTGTGGATCTGGGTTTACGGGTCGTTGAGTTGGTTTAGGGGGTGCCAGCGTCGGGGGTCCGGGCTTAAGGTGTGGATGCAAGATCTTGGGCTTAGGGGTTTACAAGGCTTTGCGTGTGCGGCACCGCCGGGTTGGCACACGCGTCGGAACAGTCATGATGGCTACAGCGGCTACAAGCCACTGTCAACCCCAAAATTCGGCATCGTAACAGGACACATGCGACACAGGAACTGATCCCTAACCAGCAACATAGAACATAGAGGACCACTCAAGCAACCGGAAGCCACACCGGTTAGTTTGTCCTGCTTATCCATATTTCGATCTGTGCCGCAATGCGACTATATGCAATATACCTGCCCACCCCAAGGTAAAAATGGTACAAATATTTAATATAGATTGAACTCCATTCCACCCCCCGGCGCAAGCCATAAAAACCTTTGAACCCTGAACCCTAAGCCCTTGGACCCTACACTAAACACCTGCCTGAAGCCTCAAAGGCAGCCGCGGGCCCTAAGCCCTAAGTGCTTAAAGCCTTGACCCAGGGGCTCGAGATCCTTAAGGCCTGCCGCCGTTAAACAGGCTGCGTTTAACGCTTCGTCTGAAGGTTCTTTCAAGGGGTCTTTGAAAGCCCTGGGATGCCATGCGTTGAGGGCATTCCAGATGCAGAACAATCGCTCTTGCATATAGCCGGAAGCACACATGACTTCGAACTTACTGTATAGGTTGCATGGACGGCTTCACCCAAAGGACGATCAATCACATGAGTCGTGGAAGGAAAAGTGGTATCGCTATATCGGAAGGTCCAGTCTCCACCGTTGCTGATTGCACTCTGGAACAAGTAATGTAGCCACTCCCAAATCCCCTTCACAGTCCAGGTGGGGGGCAATGTCGACAGCAACACCACAGGTGCCACCAAAGATCAGGCAAAGGAAGCGAAGCGCGAGCTACAAAGTCGCCAGGGCGTTCTTCAGACGGCGGCGGCGGCCGTCTGTGCATGTGTCGGCCCCAAGTGGTCACGTTGCCACCTTGGTGGAGGGCGCCGAACCTCCCCTGCGTGCAGGAGACCTGCCTCACTCTCCGCATGGACTGCAGTCTGCGCCGCAAGCATCGCACGCCACCACGCAGCCATCTTTCAGCCTGTCAAGGATATCCCAGCTTTGGAGGGCTTCCCAAACCATGGTGCCTGGGGGTCGCGCAAACGCACATCCATACAAACTCCAAATTGAATCTATCGATCTCGACCGTGTATATAATTAATCTGTAGTCTATAACTGTTCAAGTGGGATGTTGTTACACAACCTCCTAAGGTGGGCTGCCCTGGTGGCGTGCGAAGGCCTCCGTCATCGCTTCTCCTGGCATCGAACGTTGTGCAGTTGCCGATTTTGCCATTCTGCACAGCTTGATGGGCACATCTCTGCCTCAGCTGCTGAAGGTGCTCGTTGCGGCAGCTCGAGTGCGGAAACCCTTGACGGAGCTGCGGCCTTGTTTTGGCATTGCATCCTTGCTGCTCCCTTGCAACAGGAACTGCGGAGGACTTTGACGAGGACTAGCATCCCACGCCACCATGCAGCCATCTTTCAGCCTGTCAAGGATATCCCAGTTTTGAAGGGATTCCCAAACCATGGGGGCAGGGGATCCCGCAAACGCACATCCATACAAACTCCAAACCCAAGCAGAATCTATCGATCTCGACCGTGTATACAATCTGTAGTCTATAACTGTCCAAGTGGCTGTTGATACACAGCCTCCTAAGGTGGGCTGCCCTGGTGGCGTGCGAAGGCCTCCATCATCGCTTCTCCTGGCATCGAACATTGTGCAGTTGCCGATTTTGCCATTCTGCACAGTTTGATGGGCACATCTCTGCCTCAGCTGCTGATGGTGCTCGTTGCGGCAGCTCGGGTGCGGAATCTCTTGAGGAGCTGCGGCCTGGTTTTGGCATTGCCTCATTGCTGCTCCCTTGCAACAGGATTGAGAGGACGTTGACGAGGACTAGCATCCCACGCCACCATGCAGCCATCTTTCAGCCTGTCAAGGATATCCCAGTCTGCGCAAACGCACATCCATACAAACTCCAAACCCAAGCAGAATCTATCGATCTCGACCGTGTATACAATCTGTAGTCTATAACTGTCCAAGTGGCTGTTGATACACAGCCTCCTAAGGTGGGCTGCCCTGGTGGCGTGCGAAGGCCTCCGCCATCGCTTCTCCTGGCATCGAACATTGTGCAGTTGCCGATTTTGCCATTCTGCACAGTTTGATGGGCACATCTCTGCCTCAGCTGCTGAAGGTGCTCGTTGCGGCAGCTCGAGTGCGGAAACCCTTGACGGAGCTGCGGCCTTGTTTTGGCATTGCCTCATTGCTGCTCCCTTGCAAAAGGAACTGCGGAGGACTTCGACGAGGACTTTGAGGTAAAATCTTATGTATCAACATGCGTGGTCTCCGCGCTTCTCGAATCCAAATGAAGTCCGGACCTAGCCTTCCGAGAAGTAGCGCGGCCCTAAACCCTGAAACCCTAAACCCAAGCCTGAGCTTGCACAACCTCACACGAAGACTTCGCAGATTGAAAAGCCACAGCAGCATCAAGGTGAATCTTTTTTGCATCCGGGAGTCCTTGTTTACTGCAGCCTTGTGCCAGCGGGGCCTCCGGATGCTCTGCTATGCTGTTCGATAGAAAGCCAGCCAATGCAACTTCAACAAGCTGCATCGGCCGGCGTTCAAGTGAGCTACTGCGTTGCTGATTACCATCCCTGATCAACTTCAACAGTATTCCCAGCCCCATCCCCGCATTGCAACGTCCGGCATTCATGCGAGTCTCTCATGAAGCCATAGGCCACAGCTTCAACAGTATTCACAGCCCCGGCCGTGTTCAACATGCCTGGCCACAGATCGAAGGAATCTGCGCCAGAGGCCACTGACTCAAAGTGGCCTCAACCCGCGGAACCGTAATTTCAGAGTTCGTCCCGGAACGCTCACCCAGCATTGTATTCGCGGTGGCACTGAGGTGGATCAGCCCTGGGCAGGTCGTGCAGCACACCTGCTTGTTTTGCATGCGTGACCGCTGCAGCAATCCTCCTGGCCGCGATACCCCAGTTTCGCCCAAAAGAAAATGGGCACCGAGGTTGAGTAGCGGATTCCGAGGCCATGAGCCCGGTCCTCTCGGTCTCTGCATCCGACTCTGCCTGCTCGAAAGAGCAGCACCCGCCCATGGACAACTGCTCTATATACTCTACTCGCACCCTCTGGGGCTCACAGTCAGAGCCTTAGGGCTTAGGGTTTGGCGTGCAGGGTTTAAACAGCCACCTGCATAGCTAAGACAACAACTTAGAGATGCCCCAGTAACCTGTAGGAATAAAAAGAGCTCCCCTTTTGGTACTGTATTGGGTAGCTTTATAAGGAAGCTGAGACCAAAAAGGGGAAAAAGGACCCCCAAACTGAAACTTTATGAACTGTCAGCCATGAGCTATCCATGAAGTCTCAAAAGCTATGAGCCGATGACAACCCTTAGAGTTTAGGGTTTAAGGCTTTAAAATGGCGTAAAGTTTAGGGTTTGGCGCTTCGGGGGTTCAAGGTTTCAGTAGGCTTAGGGTTTTTGGGTTTTGGGTTGTTGGCTCAGTTTGGGATTTGGGGCGGCCCGTCCTCCTGAGATTTGTAGCCGCCGCCATATTTACCTCGACAAAGAAGAAAGGAAGCAGCGAGGCAGCTCTGAAGAGAGCAACCAATGTGTCATACCAGTATATAGCAGAGCTGGGTACAGCCCATATAGGGGCCTTAATAGTTAGACTTAGAAAAGCTTTAGGGGTAGATTACTCGATAATGGTCATAAGGAACCCGCTCGAATTATCAAGGCCCCTACATTATGAGCTTTATTTAATGCTTGTGCAGCAAAGTTCTTTCCCTCGGGCCCGTCGTCTTGGAGCACACACAGGGTGCCCAACGATAGCCTTTAGCCCTGCAGCATCGTAAGGGCAACAAGGTATGTCAGTTAGAAGCTGCCCCACCCTGTAATAGTGACTATAAGGATTATATTAGGGCCCTATCTTATTCCTATTATACACTATTACAGGTTTGGGGCCCCTTCTAATATGTCAGCGAGTCTTTATGAAGTTCATTGCTGAGTCTTTAAAGCTCGTTTTGGCCCTCAGCAAACCGACCCAAAACAAACCATCAAGAAAACCTGGGCAATAATGCTACTTGCCTCCACAGCCAATTACTAGATCCGCAACTCTGATCCATGATCGCGGCCAAGCAGCATCTCTGAGGGCACGGCTTCCAACCCAGTCTCAGTGCCTCTTTGCAAACTTCACTTTCTCAGACCGCAGGATGTACATGTGGGCGGTTATCAACTCTGTTTGGGTCCCTATCATAGTACGGCACCTAATATTTAGGGTACCCAACAAGGAACCCCAATTTTGACAACCACCCATGTGTATATGTATACAAACACAGACTACTCCTCCTGCGAAATGGGTGAAAGAGGAGAGTCAGAGTAAGTGCTTTAGAAAATGTCTTCAGAGTCATACAGTTTGAAGTAACTCTGGGGAACTAAGAGAAGATGTCAAAATGCCTCCACCAGAGGTTCTCCCACTTCAACTCACAAAACAACAACACAACAACCGCCCCAAACCCTAAACCCTCAGACCTTAACTCTAAACTCTAAACACCAAAACCCTACTAAACCCCCTTAAAATGCAGACCCCACTGAATTTTCCACCCAGACGCCTGGCGAAAAGCCTCCGAGAAGCCATACTCCTCCTGTGGCTTCGGGCTAGCTGTTAGGGGTTTATATAGGGTCTGCTTCATAAGGTTTGTAGGGTTTCGTAAGCATTTATACGGTTTCATGTGGATTTTTCGGGTTTCATGAAGACTTATGGTGGTTTCATAGGAGTTTATACGGCTTCAAATGGACTTAAAGGATTTCATAGGGATTTAAAGGGCTTCATAGAGATTCATAAGGGTTTCATAGGGATTTGTAGGCCCAAAAAGCGCCAAACGAGAGTAAACTCCACCAGTAAGATGCACGGGGATCTGCAAGAGACCAGGGTTCGGGTTTAGGGTTTCGGGCTGGTCGACAAGCGACGTTGTCCGTCCTCAGAAGCATGGACCGTAAGTCTCAAGCCAAAGACAAGAGACTTCTCTTGTGGAGCTTTAAGGAAGGTGTCGTGAGGTTTTTGAACGGCTGTAAGTTGCGAGCTGTGAAACCCCAAACCTAAACCCCGAAGCCCAAGCCGAAAATACCGTTTCCACCCGCTCCTGCAGCTGATTCCGCCTCGCATCGCAAGTCATGGCAGGATGTGGCCCATTGTCGCATTTGGCGCAGAATCGGTGGCCTCTGCTCCCAAGAGCTTTGACCCCAAGCTTGTGGGTTTTAAAGGGCTTTAGAGTCCATGATTTAGGGGGTTATGAGCTTATGGGTTTAGGGTTCATGAGCTTTGAGCTTACGGTTTACGGGTTTACGGGCTTAAAGGTTTCGGGGGAACCAAAGATGGCACCACATGTTCTAACTAGGATGCCCAGTCACCTAGGAATAAAAGAGCATCCTGTTTGCTCTTAGGTGACTTTGTATTGAACCTAGGACTACATAAAGGGTATGAGGGTACTACTGGGCATCCTAGCTAAAGGTGTAGGCACTCCTGTAGCGCTCTAGGTCTCTCGACAGCTTGTCGGTACCAACATGGGATTTTCCGAAAACTAGGGGTACCTTACTTTGGGGCCTTATAATAAGGATCCTACTCGGGTACTATATTAGGGTCCCCTGTAATTACTCGGAAACTCCCATATCTTTAATAAACCCTTAGGGGCATTCCATCCTATCAGGGCTTTCAATACGTGGCAAAGGGGGTTCGGAGTCTATGTGGGCTTATGTTTTATGACAGGGACCATCGGGGCATGTTCCACAAACTGTTCAAACGTGCATCGCTCAAAATCGAGAAGACAACACCGGGAGACTTGGCCACTGTCGGCAGTTGCAATCCCACCGACAAGCGGTCTAGGATTTAAGGTTTGGTGGTTAGGGTTACATGAGTTCTGGGAGCCCTTTAAGGAACCTCTAAGGACCCCTTTAAGGAACCTACCTTTAAGGATCCCTTTAAGGGAACCCTTGAAGGACCCCTTTAAGGAACCCTTCAAGGACCCCTCTAAGGAACCCTTTAAGGATCCCTTTAAAGGCACCCTTGAAGGCCCCCTTTTAAGGAACCCTTGAAGGAGCCCTTTAAAGGAACCCTTGACGGACCCCTTTAAGGACCTCTTTAATTCAAGGACCCCTTCAAGGAACCCGAAACCCAAGGTCTGGCCTTTGGGGCACGTCAGATCTGCGAAGTTGTCGCCTTCTTCAACGAAAACCTCACAGGACTTCAGTGGCTTTCGACGGATTAGCGGTGAGGAAGAAGGGTTTAGGGTTGAGGAGTTTAGGATTCTTTGTTCAAGGGTTTAGGGCTTAGGGTTTATAGGATTTGGGGTTCTGTGTGTAGGGTGTAAGGGGTAGTAGGCGAGACGAACATTTCACAAGACTCTGCTCTTTTTGGCTTGGGGTTTAGGGATTCGGGGGGACAAAGGGTTGGGAGTTTAGGGTGGTGTTGAAGAGTGTAGTAAGGGCAAGCGATTCTCTGGGGGTTCACTGGATTTCCGCGGCATGCGTTGCTTTGTAGGTAGGAGTTGGGTTCAGGGCAGTAAGTCATTACGATTCAAGGTTGAGGGCTTCCAGGTTTAGGTTGAAGGCGTCGGTTTGTGATTGAAAATTGTGCAGTCCGCGGATCGGGTGAGGGTTCTAGTCTTACCGAGTGTGGCTTTGGGCTTCTTATTCTTGGTGGGTATAGTAGCCTACAGCTTTCTGAGGCGAGCCAACGACTCACCCGGGCGAATGCACACCCAAAGCATGATTATACATGTAGCCCGTAGCCATTTTGCTTAGTCAGAGGGGTTGGAGTCTCGTGGCATAGGCTTTAGAGCTTCGGAGTTCGAAACCCTAAACCCTAAATTACTAAACCCTAAACCCTACACCCTAAATTACTAAACCCTAAACCCTGCACCCTAAATTACTAAACTCTACACCCTAAACCCTAAGCCCAAACGACTGTGAGGATGCTTGCTCGACTACCGATCGGGTATTATGCTGCAGGGCTTTAGCCCCTTACACAATAACTCGACCAAGACCAGGTAGGCCAGACAGTCTTCGGGTCAGATCTTATTCAACAAACCCTAGTTGAACCTTCAAGTAGCTTTTACGCAGGATAAAAAGGGTTATGAACAACCATACCCTGCATCTGTGCATACAAGTACGCTGCATAGAGCCCATCTTAGAGCTAGCCAGGGTCGCCTTAGAACGATCCGAACCCTGAAACCCGTAAACCCCAAAAGCAGACCCTAAAATGCTACATTCTAAACCCCTGTGACCCTCAAGCCTCAAACCGCTGAACCTTCACACCTGCATAGATCGACATGCCTCCCATACACCACCCCATATAAAAGAGTTCGCGTCAACCCTGAGCCCAAAGAGAAAGGTGAACGTCGTAAAACTATCAAGTTTCTTTTCACGATAAGCATGCCAATAACAAAGATGCAATAGACACCGTAAGAAAACACACTTAACCTAGAGGCTCCTCATATACTACCATTATGGAATTAGGACGATTAGTATATGAGGAGCCTCTGGGTAAACGAACAAAAACTACTAGTCAGGCCCAGGCGACGCGCTCTTCGCAACCTCTGGCGCGGCAGTCGACGATCCGCGGGTCATCCCGGGTGAGAAACTCCAGGAGCTTCAGGTACGAGGCCTTTAGGGTTTTGGTTTTGAGGGTTTGAGGGTCGCTTAGGGTTTAGGATTTTGGCTTTGAGGGTTTAGGGTTTGGGTTTTGGGTTTGGAGGATTTAGGGTTCAGGGTTTAGGCCACTCGGATTTGGGTTTTGAGGGTTTAGGGCCGTTCAGGACCTTTAGGGCTTATAACGTCTAAGCCCCCAAAAAAACCCAGAAGCCCTGTGTATGGGAGACCGCAATAATTAGAATAGGGCTTCGCCGGGCATGTTGTAGTATAAACTACACCAAAAACCTGTCACTTTTGGGCACATGCTTGGAAGGTCTCAAGCAATCCAAGCGTCCTCTGGCAAACACTGCCTCGGCATACAGAAGGTGCTTTAATACTTAGGCTACGGTGTTGGTTCAAACCACATGGAGACTTTAAGGGGGGATTATGCCTGACTAAATAGCCAGGGCTCTGCGTCATCAGCTGGCAGATGAAAGACGCAAACTTGCTGAGGGGGCGAATCGGATCTTGTTCACTACATTCAGGAGCCTACAAGCTTGACTTCAAAGGTGGCGCTGTGCTTGCCTCAAGCGGTCAATTTCTGAGACTTGACACCGGTATACTTTCCACTTCAACCCCCGTCTTTCTGCACGTCGACGTCTTCTACCAGAGCCACTAACACCTAAACCACGAACCATCCGTCCAGAGTCTAAGCCGGAAGCCCCAAAGCTGTCAACTCTACCCGGCCCTTCCATCTCAACCTCACTCTAAATGCAGGGCGTGAACAGACCAGGGTTTCGGGTTTAGGGTTTAAGGTTTACAAGTTTACAGACTAGGGTTTTGAGGTAAGCTATGGTGGAATCACCTATCTAGCATGCTAGTCTGTTACATTACACCCAATTCAAAACAGAAGCCGTAGGACCCAAGCAAAAGCCCTGCTCTTATACCCTATACCAGCCCTGTCCACCCAAAACACGTCGAGGCGCTGGAAGATGGGAATCGATTCTTCCGACCTGCAGCAATCTCCCCAGACCCCATATACAAAGCAAGCCAACAAACGCCTGTCGGAGTTTCATCCAGCTTCAGGTTTATATCATTTCGTCAGAGATCCCAACACCCCAAGAGCCGAGGTCCATTACACTATAATCTTCATAAGGAACCACCAGAATGGCATTGGTAATTATTTAAGCCCCTATAGTAAAGGATCCCAACACCCAAAGAGCCAAAGCAAGCCAATCTCGGGCCTTTGGCCCTGGACTTGGCATCCTCAACCGGGCCCTTAAGTCTGAGGCACACCCCAAACCTCGAACCCGAAGACCCCACACCCCAGAGAGCCCAATATCCCTTAATTAAGGAATATGGCTTATATTATAAAGGGCTCCATATGATGATTTAAGCTAGATTCTTTGATTAGAGGTATTGGGCTCTCTGGGACCGTGATATGTAGGCCTGAATACTTAAAAGGAGGCTTCAGCGGTGTTTATAGTGGAGACGTACTAGGGATACTGTGAAAAGCCGAGCCTGCAACCCCAAACCCTGAAGCCAAAACTGGATTCCGAGATGCCGAAGATTTCGTCCAAAGCCACAGCGCTGGCTGAAACTCCCAGCAAATACTATGCATGCACGCATGCATGCAGGTGTATTTACTTCTACACACACATACGTACAGACACACATACATACTTAAATACTTAATTACATACATCTAGACTATAGCAACGGCACTCTGACAGCTTCGACGAGGAGCCGGAGGTTGTAACCGCAACCTTCTGCCGGGCAGGTCCTGAGTAGAGTCTGGAGGAATTTGCGCTTTCAGGGTAGAAGGAGATTTTGTGAGCTTTGCAAAGGCTCGCTTATGAGAAGCTTGTCAAGTTCGGGCTTAACTCATGAATAGATCAACTAATTTGGGCCGAGGATGAGGGTCGACCAAAAAAACGAAAGTACGGTACTTAATATTTAGGGTACCTAAACAGGGACCCTAATTTTGACAACTACCCACATAACCACTCCCAGACTTCTGTCAACTGTAACGCGGCCTAGAGGCCTAGAAGAGTTTAGGGGCATTGGGGTATAATGTAGGGGCATTCATAATTAGAATAGGCGTTTTGGGGGTTCCTTATAATAACTAGAGCATACTATATACCCCAAACCCTATTCTAAGCAACAAGCCCCCTATGATACTTAAAATCAGGATTCAGCCCCTACTTGGAGGGTCGGGGGACTTACTAAGTAGTTATTTTAGAGAGTGATAAGTACAATAACCCCAATTAGGGTCCCTTTTAGGTACTTATAACTCTACTCATTATCTACTTACTAAGTCCCCCGACCCTCCAAGTATGCACCCTACAAGCCTCCACCCGGCTTTCTGCTGCCAAGCGTCAGCTTCGCCAGCCGCCGCTCCCGGACAATGAGGTCGAAGTGGTACTGAAGGCTCCTTTGACGTTAGTGTATAGTGCAGTTCTATAGGGACTATACGGGGATACGGCTGATGATATAAATCCTGCATTTCCTTAAGGACCCTAAACTATGGGAATTGCGGTATATTCCTTATTATGGGCAATGCAGGATTTACATCATCAACCGTAGGAACTATACGGGGATCTTATTGCGAGTTGGTGCGACCCCTGAAAGCTCGCACATCGGTCGGTCGTTCTCCTATGTTTACTCTGCCTTGGGTCTTTGATTTAAGAGTCAACGGTTTACAGGGAACTCCAGAAAGTTGGAATATGGTTTCATGGTAGGATCCCCTATAATTTACCTTAAAGGGGTTACGATAATCATATTCCAACTTTCTGGCTTCTACTGTAGGGTTTTAGGGTTTAGGGTTTAGGGCTAAGAGAGGCTTCTGGGTACACGTCTGGATTCTACTTCATGCGGGGGTTTGCATTTAGTGTCAAACCAGGAGAGGGTTTAGGCTCCCTCAGTGGAGGCCTTAGGGTTCCTTAAGGGCCCCTTTAAAGGGATCTATAGGGATTCTATGAGGAGGGTTTATGACATGCAGTTGTTATTGTTGGCGCTTTTATCCCCACAGCTCCATGCACAAGAAACACTCACCAAAAGTCTCAATACGTCCCAACGAGCCCTGTATACACTCATCAAAACCCCGAATATAAAACCGACTTGTCATATGGGAGTTTCCAAAAGTTAGGGGTACCTTATTTGGAGTCCTGATAATAAGGATCCTACGATTTAGGGTGCTATATTAGGGTCCCCTATTTTCGGAAACTCCCATATGGGGTGCCATGACTTCAGCAGTCGCGTCTGGTGATTCAAATCTCCGAGAAATGTCCGAACCCTAAACTCGAGGCCACGCATTCCAGGCACGGGACTCAAAAAGGGTTAACCTTTAGAACTTCAAGAATGCTGTTGTATGATCGAAATCAAGAGCCCTGTAGGGAATAATGTTGGTAGCTTTTTTTGGCTGGAATTAGGTGCCCAAAACCTTCAGGTCCTGCCTCCGTAAGGTCTAAACCCTAAACCCGAACCCAAAACCCTAAACCCTAACCCCAAACCCTAAACTCTGGGGCTCTGGGGAACATCTCTCCCCCAACAGGGCCAAGTCTCTCGAAACAGAAACGATGCTGGCAGGGCAGCGTGCAGCAGCCCTCCACCTCGTCAGGGGGCCGAATTCAGGGGGTACCTTTGGGTTTGGGGTTTAGGGTTTAGGGTTACCGAATTTAGGGGGTACCTTAGGGTTTAGGGTTTAGGGGACCCCAGAAGCTTTTAGAAGATTCTGCGAGGGACAAACACTGTAGGGAGTTTAATGTGTTGGCGTTAAGAATTGGAACCGGGTGTTGGGGTACAGCAGAATTTGACCGTATGGGGACGAACCGACAATATACAACTGCTGACCATTCCCACCCCTATTGTACCGGAGCAGTTTAGTTGAAACAGTGCCAGTACTATCAACTACTATCATATATGCTTTCGGGCTGTTGGGGGGAAGACGTAAAATGAGGCGGTGGCCATTACAATAGGATTTCGGGATAGATTGTATATTATACATACAATATGAAGGAGCCTTCAGGAATAGCCCTAATTTATGGGCATCATTCTACCATACATATATTCATGAACCATATCAACTAGCACTCAAAACCTAGCCCTAAACCCTAAACCCCTAAAGCCCTAAAGCCCTAAAGCCCTAAACCCTAAACCCTATACACTCTAACCAGTGAGTCTCCCTGCACGACACATTTTGGAGAGAAGCTCCGGGTTGAGAGTCCCTACGCCACGGTTTAGGGTTTAGGGCCAAAGCATGGTCGGTTCGGTTTAGGGTTTAGGGCTCAGGACTTCGGGTTTAGGGCTTAGGGGTTTAGGGTTTAGGGCTTGGGGTTTAGGTTTTGTTTGAGCTCCTTTTCCCGACTGCAGACTAGGTCCCAGCAAGAAGGCCATTTGGCCTGTTTAGGGTTTCGGGCTTAGGGGTTCAGGGTTTCGGGTTTGGCGTTTTGGTTATGCAAGTTTATCCTCAGGGCTGAGGGCTTGGGGCTGACTTATGTTTAGGATTTAAGGTATCGATTTTGGGTTCGGGGTTGTGGTTTCTGCCCTACGGCTCGAAAAACAAGGACCCCTCCCCAACAAACAAAAACGACATGGTCTTTGGGCCCAAAACTCTGACGAGGGTGTGTGTCTGGCAGGAAAATGACACAGGACGATACTCTGGAGATATGACCCTTCCAGCAAAGCACCTCGTGATCCACAAGGCAGATGGCGCAGCGAAACGTCGGCCGATACTCTTCGCTTTGCCGGCGCAGTTCCTGTCCAAGCAAAAGCTTGCCTGCAATACGAAAACCGACCGTGTTACTACACTTGGCAGCACTCGTACCGCAATGAAGGATTCGCTATGACTGCAGAACATTTAAGATTCCAAGTAAGAGCCCTACATCCCACAACTCAACCGCGGGTTTGGGGGAGCCTGGGGCTTGTAGGCTAGGGTTCTTGGGGTTGCTCAGGGCTTTGGTGGGATTAGAGCTTAATGCTGAAGCTTGTGGCGACAGAATTTCTCGTTTAGACTTTACGCTGATCTTCGGGAATCTGAACCCCGCAGCCGCTGGTATAGGGTTTAGGGTTTAGGGTTTCAAGTTTAGTCTTGCTATATTCAACTACTCTAGTTCACGTTCAAGCACTTCCGTAGTTAATCGTGGCCCCAAGGACAGCGCACATGCTCTGCAGGGGTACTTGGACGAAGGGGTGTAGCACATAAGTTCGTATAGCGCCCATCAACCACACAGTGAAAGTCACTATCGTGCTTTCCCCAGACACCAGGCCCCAAATTGCGAAGCTGGTCTGTACATACATACGTACATGCATACATACGTACATACAAATATACACGCAAACCAAAACTTGTGTTGCACAGGCTTCTACACCTCAGAGCACTAGGGAACCTTACAAAAACAAACAAACTACAAACTACTCAAAGCCCTGAATGCTAATGCACCTCAATGAGTCGTGCGTTGCGGTCGTCCACGTCTTTGATCCGGCGTTGCGCTTCCGCCAGGTCCTTGTGCAGGGTTTAGGGTTTCATGGGTCACTTCGAAGTTTGGTGGAGCTTTCACAGGGCTTTAGGTCACGGGGCATTTCGTGTCCTGTGGGGCTTATTTGGGTTCATAGGGCGGTGCACAGTTCGTGTAAGGGGCTTAAGAAGGCTTGCCAGGGCTGCTAGGGTCTATACTGAGCTGATGTAAGGCTTGCATTGGGGTTGTGACGTCTTTTTGGGCTCATATTGGGATGGAGTGCTGTTACGTCTGAAACAGCTCCAGGTCTGCTAGTAGCCAAAGATGTTGGAGTATACCTGCGGATCCGAAAACCCTACTGTTCCAGGGGTTGCGCCCCATGAGTAAGGGGTCATATCCTACAATTGTGTAGAGTTTGGGGGGCTATAGGTACACCTGATATCATAGAGTCATGAAACTCTCTTACCCTGAAACTCCACATGCACGACGAACGTGTACTGTGGAGTTTATACTGAATACAGCACTACTTCGCGCCTGTTGCAGTGTTGCAGCGGCCCGGCTTGGTGGGTTATGAGTTTATGGTTTAGAGTCAAATCAATCCGTCGAGTTCTAAAACCCAACCCGAAACGTTGAAATTAAGCACCTAGTTTTTTCAAACCTCATTTGATCCCTATGAAACAGACATGTAACTGTAACGAACACCATGCAAGAAACCCTCCGAACCCTGCGCGACCATACTCACTTGTGAAAGCTTACAAACACGCGGGCCAAGAAACAATACTAAACACGACCCTACAATGGAAACCAAAATCCCGTACGAGGAAACCGCAGGCACTCAACCCTGTAAACACCTACTAGAACCCTTTAACACGCCTGACATGAAGCTTCCTAAACCCTATAAACTCTCCAAGCCCTGAAACACCAGGTACTCATGTAGCACATACCTTGGCCTTAATGAAGTCCCCTTTTGAAATACTTTGGGGGGGCCAAGCATGTACTACATGGGTGCTTTGACCCTCAGGGTTATGTAGATACCCTAAACCCTCAACCCTTCAAGCCCCAAAAGCACACCGACGAAAAAACTCTAAACCTATAGACTCTACAAGCCCTACAAGCCCTATAAGCCCTATAAGCCCTATAAAGCCCTGAACGCCCTGAAACAAAGCCGTACAAAGAGACGCCCGTCCGCCGTCCTCTGCCGAGATGACGCCTCGGAGGTCGCTCTCCGAAAGAAACGCCGAGCAGCCGGAGAGTTCCTCGGAGGCTTCGTTGAGCGTTTTTGGCTGTTCGGGTTTAGGGTTGGGGTTTAGGGGTTCGTGGTTAAGGTGTTAAAGAGGTTCAGGGGTTTAGGGATTAGCGGTTTAAGGGTTTATGGTGGTTTTTGCTTCTGTTATGCTCGCTAGATTTTTGGCTAGTGTTCTTCTTGTTCCCGACCTCTCAACCCATAGAAGATGGTTCAAATCATGATCTTAAGAGTCGAAAATGCCCGCACACCCCCTCTAGTCACAGCCAAAAACGCCAAACCCTAGACCCCTCAAGTAACCCAAAAAACTCGCAGAATTTGGCCAATGGATCCAAACACATCGAAAGCAAGTAATATAGGGGCCTCAATGATCAGAATAGGGTTTCCGGGCCCATTCTACTAATATAACTATAACAAGGAACCCCAAAATAGTAGTGGTAGTTAGTTAGGCCCTATCTTACCTAGAGGCTCCAAATATAGTACCATTATGGCATTAGGTCCCCAAAGCCATGATATGGATGGTCTTTTGGGACCTACTTCCATAATGGTACTCTATATATATATATATATATATATATATAGATAGCCTCTGGGTTAGTCAGTTCTGCCAGGGCACGTCTTCTCCTTAAGCCCCAACCCTGGACCAGACGGTGAACTTGGTTAGTAGGGAATGGAAGAATGGGGTATAATTATAAATTGTAGCTACCGTTTGAAACCCCCAGCCCTAAAGTGAACCCTATACTTACATTTGGTTAGTAGGGAATGGAGGAATGGGGTATAATTACAACTACTATTACTACCATTCCTCCATTCCCTACTAACCAAAGGTAACTATCCAGATGTACCGGTAATCCAAGATTCAACATTCCACACCCTGAAGCTCCAGGCCGATATGAAACCATCTAGAAGCTTGAGTACTGCCCCCATGCTGTACTAGTCTACAGTCGAGCCAGTAGGGGCTACAATAAGGGCCGTGTGTAATTATACTATTAATACTATCGAACCGTTACTGACTGGAGGCAGTGCCCAACAAAAGCCCTTCAACAAACCCACGGAGCGACTAATGAACCCCTTCTGGCACCCTAAACCCTAAAGCTGCAAACCCTAAACTCCAAACGCAAGCCGTGCCACGGCTGGGCAGCGGATGTCGGTGAGCCGGCAAAGCGTCGTCACCTCCGTCAAGCCCATATTCAACGCCGGAAAGATTCTGGGCTTAGGGTTTGGGTACTTCTTGCCGGCAAGCAGGGCTCTGCAGTTGCCAAGGAGTTATCGGCGTTTTAGGGCTTGGAGTTTGCAGAAGTAAGACTTACACCTAAAACCCTAAACCCCCGGGCTTGGGGCTTGATTGGGGGCTGTAAGGTTTGAGATATAGGGCCAGGTACCTGCCTGGTGCGTGAAGTAAAAAAACTAACACATCCTCACAGGGACTGAGGATCCTTAAGGAAGAAGGCTCTGAGTTCCGAGGGCTTTCCAGGTAGGGTTCACGTTTCGGGAATCAGGGTCTCAGGTAGTGTAAGACCTGAAAACCCTGAACCCTAAACTAGGTTTAGGTTTCAGGGTCTCAGGTTCTCGGGTTCAGGGATCAGGAACTGGAGACTCGGGCAAACAAGCTCTCTATGCCGCTCGCAAGAAATAAAGAACTGCCAGCACTCTGAAGACTTGTAGCACGTTTATACAGGGACAACACAGAGGGTGATTTAGCAAGGCTCCAAGACTAAACGAAAAGCACATGCTCTGACTGTCCACCTTTCTCAGAAAGAAGACTCTGACGTCACCCCTAAAGCCCTGAATCCTAAACCCCAATGCGCTGGTAGCCTAAAGTCCCTGAATCCTAACCCCGAATAGATTCGATCTGGAATCCTTATCGAACACCCTATGAACTCTTCTAGAGCCGAACCCTAGCCCTAAGGGTCCATGTACCCAAATAGTAGATACTTTGGGCTTAAAGTTTAAACTAGTTCCTAGATTGATATGTTGGGGCCAAAGTACTTACTACTTGGGTACGTGGACCCTTGGGGCAAGGCGAAGACAGGAAAGCATGACCCAAAGCTCGTCCAACCTGAACCCCCCGCCCCGTGCCTTCTGACACCAAAAATCCTTCAGGCAGTGGACATGTACTTTGAAGCCGCAATGCAGGGTCTTCAGGAGGTTGTCCTCCAGGGTGTTGGGCTGAGAGAGTTGGCGACTTCGCTTGTCATGTAGGGGTCGGAACACTTGAGAAGAATACTAATACAAATATGATAGTAAACCCTATAAAGTTGGAAACCGGATTAAGGCCAAATAGTGCTGGGATTCCCTTTTCATTACTGTTAAAGCTTGAGAGTGGGCTGTCGTGGGGCCTGGGTTTTCGCGCTTTGTAAATTTATAGAAGATGTTTCCATGTATAGGCATATGTATGTGTATATATATATATATATATATCATATCATATCATATCATATCATATCATATCATATCATATCATATCATATCATATCATACCATACCATACCATACCATACCATATCATACCATACCATACCATACCATACCATATCATATCATATCATATCATATCATATCATATCATATCATATCATATCTGTCTCCAAGTTGCGACTGCATCTCTCCAATATACCTTGGCTGTGGGTTGGCTTCAAGAAAACAAAAAATAGGCAAGTCATACTTGCCAGATTTACTAATTACCCGGGAAGTAGCCGTCCATATTGCGGGCCTGTATCAGGTAGCGAGCCACGGCCATGACCATGATGATCGCTGCAGGAGTCTTTCCAATGCCTGGCTTTCCAAGAATGATCAAGCCAAAACTCAACGAGGTCGGCAGAATCATTGGTACCACCGTCCGCTGGAACTCGCTGTTCAAATCACGGAGGAGAAGGGGAAAGAAGTACTCCGGTTCGGACTGGCTGTTACCGGTGGCCTGTTGCCACACGGTTTGCCGACAATATGAAGCGGCCAACCACAGATGGGGCTATCCTTGTCGCGAATGTTTAGCAATGACCACAAGAACTGCTCATTCTTGGCATTGGCGAGTGGCGCGTGGTTGTTGATGTGCTCAATGCCAGCCCTGAGCTCTTCAGGACTAGGGTCCCATTTCATCTCACCATCACTGTTGGTTTTCACCTTGGTAATGCTTTTTTGCCCAAGAGCTTGTGTCATCCACATCTCACCTGGTATGCGGGACAAGAGATAGAGGAAGGCCTTCTTCAGCAAGTCGGAGTTATCGGAAACAGCGTAGTTCAAGACTTTGACCTCCTGGGCGCAAAAGGCTTTGGCAAGGCCAAGCGGAACAGGGACCTTCGAATGAAAGAACTTCATCACGGTATAGGTGTCGTTGTCCTGATTGGGCCAAATCACAATCTGGAGCTTGCACTGATCCCCAAGCGCATCTCGTGGACGAACAGAAACGGGTAAGTGACCTATGCGGTTTGGGTCTGAGTTCATGATCTCCACGATGGTCTGGTAGTCTGAGGCAGAGACATTCTTGACTACGTGGAAGAATTCCTTGAACTTCTTACCCTTGACGAGGGGCGAATCTACAAGAGGAAGATCTTGGATACTGTGCTCTCCTTCGGTGATCTTGCTGTACTTATGAATGTCATAGTACTGGACATAGGTGTATTTGGATGCGGCCATAGCTTGGTCCATCGCGCGGAGGGGCGAAAGTGCTAAAGCTAGCTATGTACGGCTACACGATTTCCAGCTAGCTTTCTTTTGAGAGCAGCGAATCAGACGTTACATTCAAGACAAACGCCGTGTTTATAAACAAGGCGGGTGTTTATAAACAGCCTTTGTGTGCAGACAGCGGTTGCTCAACATGCGCAGGCGCCAAATGAACAAGTCTCACACTGGTTTGCTACGTGAAAGACGCCACGTCTCGATACTGCTGCAAATCTCCTGCTCAGGAGCTATCCGAATCTAACTCATCAAAGCGATGCTTTGCGGCATAGATGCTCTTGAAGAGATTCTTCAATGCCTGTGTCCGTTTGTTTGAACCGGCGCAGTGCCGATTCAAGACAGTCGTGTGCTGCCAAAGGTCATGCCATTCGGACCCCCATTGACTAACATCTATCACGGGAAGCGAACTGCTGCTGGACGAGTCATCCGAAGAAGTAGACGCGCACTCCGCCTGATCGGACTCAGCAGTGGCTTGCAGGGGAGTCTCTCCATTCTCCGTCAGGGGCTGCTCATGGTCCATGTTCTCCAAGGTCTTGGAAGAAGAGGGCTGCTCTACGTCTTTGATCGCTCGGGCCGCTGGGGTCTTGGAAGAAGACGGCTGCTCCACGTCCTTGATCGCCAATGGCTTTGAGGAGGAACTCTTAGCCCCTTTCTTCGATGCTGCGAACCAACGAAGTAGTGGTTCTTGAGCCTTCTCAGACCAACCGCCAGAGATGCCGGCAGTCAAAGAGAGCTTGTTCTGCAAGTAGCACATATGGCTCTGCAGCTGTCGCGGCGTGAGACCGATCTTACTCTCGTGTGCACAAATGGCACCAGTTGAGACCTGGTCCAAGAGGTTCTGTGGAGTGGGGAGAGGCACTGTCGTCGATATCGTCTGCGTCGTCCCAGATGTCGTTGTCGTTGCCACGGTCAAGTTGGCCAGCTCCAAGCGGCATGTGCCGTCGCCTATCTCTATGAAACCAGCTACGGCAGCAGATCTTTTCATATCTGCGAACTCTACTGCTACAGGACTGTACTCGAGCAGAATGACTGCCCAGCGTATAAGATCAGACCTTGCGCGATGGCATGGAATTAGTTCTTGAGCCGTAGGCGTAAAAAAACAAAAAGTTCCATTGCAGCCGAGGTGCTACAGTAATGTATAACAAGACAGATAATTAGGTATTTTAAGTATAAGTCGTATAAAGAATCGTAGTCTAAATGTATTATAGAATGATATAATGGAGCAGTTCAATCACAGCATTGCATTCGCAAAACCGCAAAATTGCAAAGATAAACAAGCGAACCGAAGGTGTTGATGTCGTTGCTGTCGGCGTACCTGACGCAGTAGAGAGAGGGGAGGGGGGGGAGGGGGGTAGCAGGTCTCAACATGTCAGCCCCAAACCCTCAGCCCCCCCCCCCCCCCCCCTCTTTCATCTTAGTTTGTAAACACCAGCCCTGGTTATAAACACAAGCCATGCTTATAAACACAGACACTGTTTATAAACACAGGCCCTGCTTATAAACAACAACATTATTGATAAGCGACATAAATGTCTACAAGTACGAACAATACAGTAAATAACCCAGAACTGTTTATACAAGCATAGGATAGCAAGATGATGTGAAACAAATCGCTGCGAAACCGCGAAACGTGATGTGTCCCAAACGCAGGCCCCATGGTAGCCCTTTCTGTAAAGCTTGAGGCATCTTGAGGCTATTGGGTTTCCAACTTTAGGGCTTCTACTATATCCCCTTCTTACTCCCAAAAAGAAAATAATATATAGCCCAGGCCCAAAACCCCCTCAAACCCTAACCCCTACCCTACAAGACCTTAAATCTGTGCTAAGAACCCTAATCTGATTCTGAAGGCAGTTGAGGCTCAGGGCTTAGGGTTGAATTCAGGATCGCCAGGACTAGGGCCGATCGGGGGTCAGGACGTCAAGTTTCATGATTTGGGTTTAGTGTGTAGGGAGCACGGCTTCGATCCCTATGCCCATAACGTGCCGATGCTGCAGTCAACCCGACGGAATTTGTTGTTTCGGCTGAGGGTGATGCTGGCTTGGGTTTTCATATCTTATAGGTCAGGGTTTGTGGACATAGTAATGGGGCTTGTGTTTAAGGCTTAACAAAGAGCTGCTCCGGCAGCTTTACAAGCCGGTTGTGAGTATCACAGGTGGGCGAGTGCATGGCGGGGTCCCCAACAATCTCCGCCATGACACTCACAAGCTTTTTCATGCTGAATCCGGTGACCTTGCATTTTCGAACGGCAAATGTAAGAGTCGTTTTCCGACTGCTTCTCGCCCTTGAGGAAGCTGACAGGCTTGCAGACCAAACAGAAGGCCTTGAACCAGTCCTCGGGCTCTGGAACGTGGCCATGCAGCAAGGCCTCGTCAGATGCTTCCGGCTGGACTGAGGCAAAAGCCAGAAAGTTGGAATATGGTTTCAGGGTAGGATACCCTATAATTTACCATAAAGGGTTTAGGATAATCATATTCCAACTTTCTGGCTTTTACTTTAGTGGCAGAGGGATCTTCCAAGCTCTTGATGGCAGCTCGATGACACTGGGACATCTCATGGTTGCTCAACGCTGCCGCTTGACACTGCTTAGAGGATCATGGGACTTAGTAAGGTCATAAGTCCCCTAACTGGGTTTTAAGTAACTATGAGTACAGTTACCTTTTTTATAACCCTAGTTACTAAGTTCCCATGAGCCTTTAAGTGGGACAGGCTGCTTATCTCGAAGCGCCCCCACTTGCAGTCCCATGTCCTTTGCTGCCGCCGACAGCGAGGCGAAGCTCTGAACTCGCACCATCCCCTAAGGATCCATGTACTTAGATTGTAGATATGGTCGATGATATATAAATCCCGCATGACCCATTATAAGGAATATACCATAATTCCATAGTTTCGGGTACCGAAGGTAATGCAGGATTTATATCATCAGCCGTAATTTGCGTACTTTGGGGCCCAAGTACTATTTGGGCACATGGACCCTGAGGGCCTCAGGGTCCTACCACCATCCAACACTCTTAGCCCCAATTCTTTTACTGCCTACCTGGCCTGCTGGAGCTTGCTACAGCGAAATCTCTTAACAAAAACCCCTAAACCCTAAACCCCTAAACCCCTAAACCCTAAACCCCTAAACCCTAAACCCTAAACCGTTACAACAGAAAACGGAAACCTTCATCCTCAATCCCGGACGTACGAGTTCCCTGCGTCCTCCCCGTAGCAGATGAGACCTGAGAGACTGCAGGGCACAAGAGCATTCTGAGTGGCTTTTGGGGCTTCGAGTTTCCAAATTAGGGTCTTTGCCAGGGTTCCTTCAAGGCTTCTACAAGGGTTCAGGGTTTGGGATTTACAAAAGTCTGCAGAAACACCAAGCGAGTAGCGGGAGTAGGCGCTGGGATCTTTCGGGTTGGGTTTTGCGGTCGGGCGTTAAGGCTTTCAGGTTTGCTTTACCGGGAAACCAGGAACCTCACTCGGATCCGTTCGGGTCTTGAGTTTTTCGGACATGATCTTAGGGCTTATAGAAATGGGGGTTTCCGGAAATCAGGGGTACCTTACTTTGGGGTCCCTATATTATTTAGGCTACTATATTAGGGTCCCCTATTTTCGGAAACTCCCAAATCAGGGTTTAAAGGTTTCGGGACTACGAGTTTCGGGCTTGGGTCAAGGAGTGCGTAGCCCATTTTGCCCGGCAAGTGGCATGGGACGCCCAGCGCCGCGCCCACATTGCCACTTTGCCTCAGCTGCGCAGTCGACTGAGTTTTAGGGTTGGGGTTTCGGGTCTATAGGGTTTAAGGTTTGCCTTAACCTACCAAACCCTACCTTTTTGTAGGTTCTTATTATAAATCCTAATATGGAATTTATAGGGCCCCTACTTTTTTGTAGGTTTTGGTAGGTTAAGGTAAGGTTCCGAAACCCTGCCACGCCGAAAGAGATCCCGACTAATCCAGTTCCGAACCTTCATCGCGGCCCGAGAATAGCAACTGAAGCCACTGCAAATCAAACCTCATAGACATCAAAACGGTTTAGGGTTTAGGGTTTATAGGGTTTAACCCTAAACCCTAAACCCGCACCGTCGGGTGGCGGCAGTACGCGGCCAGAGATTGATCGTTCGGGCGACGGCGAGAGGGGTGGCCTTGAGATGCTTTCTGGTTTAGGGTTTAGGGTTGAGGGTTTAGGGTTTAGGGGGTGTATCTGTACCCCAAGGCTCCTTCATTAGTAGGTCCTGACCGCTTTGTTCTACTTTCGGGTCGACCATTCAATAGATAGCAGCCTTTAATGAATAGAATGGGGTTTTAGGGCCCGTTATACAATACTTACAATAAGGAACCCCCCCATAATAGTAGGTAGTTATTAGGCAGGCTCTTACACATAACCCTTAGGGGACCCCCCTTTCTTACATCCCCCTTTTTGATACCCGTATAGTATCCTTTATTAAACCCTAAACCCCCAAAACCCCTTATAGGTCCCTTTAACGGACCAGGTCCCTTTCAGGAACCCCTTTATAGATCCCTTTGAGGAGGAACCCCTGCTTGCCTCGTGGCTTCCCCTTAGATCCATTTCAGAAACCCTAAACCCAACCCCAAAACCCTAAACCCCAAAACCCTAAAACCCCCAAAACCCCCAAACCCTAAACCCCTTGAGGAACCCCCGTATAGATCCCTTTAAGGAGCCCTTTAAAGGGAACCCTGCCGGCCTCGTGGCTTCCAGATCCGACGTTCGGAGCACCGTCGTCGGGGGCAGCGTGAGCTTCCGGGTCTCGGGCGCGGAGGGCGAAACGTCGCCGTACCTGGGGCTTTAAGGGTTTGAAGTGTTTAGGGTTTCGGGATTTCGGCGTTTAGGGCTTTAAGGGTTCAAAGTGTTTAGGGTTTAAAGTATTTAGGATTTAAGGGTTCGAAGTGTTTAGGGTTTAAAGTGTTTAGGATTTAACGGTTCGAAGTGTTTAGGGTTTAAAGTGTTTTTTTTTTTTTAAGGGCCCCTTTTCGATCAGCATGAAGCATCTCAAAAGCCCATTTGGGCAGGCAACAGATACTTACTTTTCAAGTACAGGATTCAAGGGCTCGAAGTGTTTAGGGTTTAAAGTGTTTAGGATTTAACGGTTCGAAGTGTTTAGGGTTTAAAGTGCTTAGCATTCAAGGGTTCGAAGTGTTTAGGGTTTAAAGCGTTTAGGATTTAGGGCCCGAAGTGCTTAGGGTCTCATGTCAAGTGTTTCGGATGTAAGGGCTCGAAGTGCTTGGGGTTTAAAGCGTTTAGGATTTAAGGATTCGAAGCGTTTAGGGTTTAAAGTGTTTAGAATTTAAGGGCTCGAAGTGCTTAGGGTTTAAAGCGTTTGGGATTTAAGGGCTCGAAGTGTTTAGGGTTTAAAGTGTTTAGGATTTAGGGGTTCGAAGTGTTTAGGGTTTAAAGTGTTTAGGATTTAAGGGCTCGAAGTGTTTAGGGGTTAAAGCGTTCAGGATTTAAGAGCTCGAAGTGTTTAGGGTTTACAGTGTTTAGGAGTTTCGGGTTTAGGGGTTTAGGTGCTTAAGGGTAGTGTCTTGGGTTTAGGGGTGTAGGGGTTTAGGGGTTTCGTTTCGGAAAGCTTGTTTGGTAGAGTCACGTATTGTAGGGCCTTCAAGATCCTCAGAGTGTGGGTTATCTTGAGCTTTCCCAAAGGGTCCAAAGTACCTATATAGTAGAATGTAGGGTTTCTATGTTAGGAATTACTATTACGATTCGGCGAAGTATTCCCCATAACAGTACCTAGGACCCTTTGGGTTTTTATGGTAATATAGTGTTGCGGAACGGGGGGGTATAAAGCTATTGATAATATAGGTTCAGCTTCTCTCCTCCCCTATAGCGACGAGGGTTTCGGGGTTTAGGGTTAGTATGCTGTAAAGGGGATTCGTAAAGGATCCTAAGTAAGTAGATCATACGAAGCAGCCCCGACACCCTAAACCCTAACTCTGAAATGGAAGTTGCTGTCCGTAATACTTACAATGAGGGCGCTGGGAGTTTTACTGCGTTAGGGGTTTGGAACCTTAGGCTGTGGATTGATGGCGTCAGGGCTTCAGGTGTACAAACCCTACATACTACTTGGATAGTTAAGCGGACCCTACACGGGTTGAAATCCTGCACTGCGACACCCCACCCTCAATCCTGATTTCGAAACTATATACCCCTAAGCTTTCTCAAAACCCTGAAACCCTGATCGTCCAAAGCCCCAAAACCAAGACCTGCAAGTTGCTTTCCCGGAAGCCTAACCCTATGGGTGCAGAGGACCTAATAATTGAATGAGGTACTTGGGATTAGAAAAGTAGTTTTGTAGGTTGATATTTGGGAGAGTATATGATTATTAATTATTAGGTATGTGTACCCTGATTATGGCTAGGGCTCGTTATCATTACACATCGCTGCCATTATGGTTATTGCTGTTACCAGTCACCCAGTCTTGTCCCTGCTATAGTATAAAACATACCTAAACCTTCAACCCTACTACACTCTAATCCCCCAAACCCTAAACCCCGAAACCCCCCAAGGTCTTGTTACTATTATGGTATAATATACCTGAATCCTGAACCCTAATTAGACCCTAAACCCCGCAACCCAAGGTCTTGTTACCATTCTAGTAAAACAAACCTAATTAACCCCGAACCCTAATCAAACCCTAAACCTCTAAACCCCGAACAACCCAAAACCCAGGCCCTAAACCTTATATAGTATGATGTAGCCTGAAACCCTAAACCCTGAACCATAAACCTTAACCCCAAAACCCCAGGTAAACTTCGGAAAGAGGTGCCGCGCGAGGAAGTCCGGGGAGAAGAGGCGCTGGTGGAAGCGGCAGCTGGGCTGCTGCCCGCGCGTGCGCAAGTCTCTGAGGTAGGCCTGTCGTCGGCGTAGGGTTTAGGGCTGAGGGTTCAGGGTTTAGGGATTTAGGGGTCTAGGGTTTAGGGATGAGGGTTTCCGATTTAGGGATGAGGGTTCAGGGTTTAGGGCTGAGGTTTCAGGGTTTAGAGATGAGGGTTCAGGGTTTAGGGATGAGGGGTTTAGGAAGTTTAGGGTTCGGAGTTTAGGAAGGGTTTAGGGTTTAGGGCATGGGGTCTTGGGGGCAGGGAATGGGCATGAGGGATTATAGGATAGACCTTTAGCCTTTCCCTGTCCCCGAACCAAGATCCGGCTCTAAAACCTTTACAACCCAAAACCTAGCATACCAGCCGGGCATGCGCATGCCGACGCTGAAGACAGACGACAGTTGAACCCTCAGGGTCCCTTTGCGCTCTGCTATAGACTTAAGGTCTTTCAGGGGCCACTACATACATACTGAAGGGCGGGGTATAGTGGGCAAGGTTCGCTCAACGCTTTACACCCTGAATCCTAATCCCTATAAGCCCTCCACCCTAGACCCCATAGACCTGCATCGTAAACCCCATAAACCCTGCACCATTATCCCTTGAAGCCCTCAACCTTGAGCTTAAGGGTTTACTAGCAGGTCAGGAGGAAAGCCTCGCCCAAAAACTACCCAGAAACCCCAAGAGCGTGAACCCCAACACCTACAGACCAGAAAACCACAGTACCTCAAATTTCAATGCCAAGTGAGCAAGCAAAAGTCGCAAAGTCCTAGTCTCAGGCTTACGCCAGCGTTCACAATCCAGAACTGTAGGCTTGGAAGGCTACAAAACCGAATGCCTTCCAAAACTTCAAAGGACTGTGGCCAAAGAGACTCCAACTATAACAGCCCCCGTGCCTTAAAACCTAGAACATCACCGAAAAACCCAATCAAGCCTTGCTGCCTGACCCAAAAGGCTGAAAGGACCACTACAGAACCCTTATAGAACCGTATGGCTTAGGGTTTATATAAGGGTAGTCTATAGAATGCAAGGGCCTGAAAACAGCTGATCAAAATAGGGTTTTGGTGCCCATGCAATTCCAAATACAATAAGGAACCCTCCAAAAAAGTCTAGGTATTTGTTCAAGCCCCCATGTTAGACGCCCCAGGCACCTGAAAACAGCTAAGATGGTAGCCGCAGCCGCAGGCAGCAACGGCGGCTGGGTTCGGCTGCCTGCATCTCGCAAGATCTCATGGCTTGCGGCTTCTTTTGAAAGACTGGGTTCTGCAAACGGTTCTAAAAGCGTTCCGGGCAAGTTCTATCAAGGTGTTTTGTGGATTTCAGAAACAGGTTAGGATTCGGGGTCGGGGTATTAGTAGCTACTGTTCCTGTGTTCGCCCAGAGCTGTGGACTTCGTGGCGTCAGCAAACCAGCATACTGGTATTGAGATGATCTTCATAGCAATACTCTAACGGTCCATGTGCCCAAATAGTAGATATTTCCGGCTTAAAGTAGTCTCTATACAGGTACTTTGGGGCCAAAGTACTTACCATTTGGGTATATGGACCTTTACGGATACTCATTTTGACAACTATCGGAGGGATTTCTGCAACCCCATCCCAGGGCTCACCGCAAGCACCCTCAACACCCTAAACCCAAGAACCCAAACCCCTCGATCCCAAACCTCCCCCTGAACTAAATCTACCTGTACCCAAAATTGTTGGAGTATCTTACCATGCGTTTTGCCTTAGAACCATGTATATATGTATATACACGTATACATCCGTCCATCCATCCGTCAATGCTTGCAATCCATACATACATCCATCTCTCCATCCATCCACGGATGCATGCAAGAATGCATACAATATAAATCCATCCACGCATCCATCCATCTTTCCCTCCTTCCATCCACCCTTCCACACATACGTACATACATACATACATGCATACATACATACATCCATGCATGCATGCATTCATTACTATAAACACGTATGCATTGTATGTATATGTGTGTAGATGTATGTATATGGAGGTATATAGGTGCATGTGTATAGTAATGTGTGCACATGTATGTACATGTATGCATATGTATGCGTATGTATAGGTATGTATAAGCATGTGTATGCACCTATGTGCATGTATATGTATGCACATGTCGGTATATGTATGTATATGTATGTACAAGAATGTATAAGGATGTATAAGGATGGAGAGCTATGTACAAGTATGTATAACTATGTATAAATGTGTATAAACATGCACAAATACAAATATGTTTTATGTATAATGTATATGTATGCACATATATATATATATATATATATATATATATATATATGTGTGTGTGTGTGTGTGTCTATATACATATATATATATATATATGCTAGCCCCCCCCCCCGAAGACCAACCCTGAATTCGCTAAATTCCCTAATTCCCTACCCATTGGATTTAGGTATTTCCCTAAATTCCCTGAATTCCCTAATTCCCTACCCCATGTGTTGGATTTGGGGAATTCCCTATTTCCCTAAATTCCCTAAATTCCCTAAATTCCCTAAATTCCTTAAATTCCCTAAGTTCCCTAAATTCCCTAAATTCCCTAAGTCTGACCCCCATGGAGAAGATTCAATGGTTTCCGTTCATGGGTAGGGAATTTAGGGAATTTAGGGAATTTAGGGAATTTAGGGAATTTAGGGAATTTAAGGAATTTAGGGAATTTAAGGAATTTAGGGAATTTAGGGAATTTAGGGAATTCCCCAAATCCAACACATGGGGTAGGGAATTAGGGAATTTAGGGAATTTAGGGAATTCCCTAAATCCAACACATGGTCCGGGCTGGGAGTCAGGAATGTTAGGGAATGCGCTAAAACCAACACATGGGGCTGGAAATTAGGGTATGTAAAGACTTTAGGGATTTAGGGAGTCTGCAGGAACTCACGCATTCTGTAAATTCGAGGCATGGAAGCAGTGATTAGAGAATTTAGGGAACTCGACCTCGCGACGTCGCCGGTTGACGTGTCTGTGCAACTGATACTTGTAGTAATATTGATATTATTTTGAAAACTTTGAAAACTATAATACTCATACGAGTACTAATACTTATAGTAATACTACTGGTGAAACTGATAGTATGCTAGTATGAATACTGATGTTCCCAAGAATACTTGAAATCATGTACATTGTATGAATAGTCTTGATGCGAATACTAATATACATACTATAGCTAGTATTATCGCTAGTATGAATATTGGCTATGCATATTCGTGAAATTACTCATTTTTGGAGTACTCATATTCATGCTAATATTAGCACTAAGGCTAGTGCGAACGTGCATAATAACATGCTCATACATGAATGTTAGCATTCGTATTAATATCAGCATTGGTATGTTTTTCAGTAGTACTAGTAACTCATACGAAGTGTAACCTCAAGTTTCATATTCCGACGAATACCAACACATGTTTTGTTCATACTAATTTTAATTCTACTACTAGTATCTACTCCTAATATTGAAAAAACTGTACTAATACCAATTTTAGAATTGATGTGAACACGAACTTTAATGTTCTTGCCAATACTAATATGCATAGTAATATTAGTTAGCATTAATGTATAGGAAAACTAATGTTCTTACGAATACTAATAATCATGTTCCCCTTTTATATTCATATAAGAATCGTCATGCCTAGATACGTACTAATGCTAGTACTCATGCTAATACGAGTATTAATACCAATACAAGCATAGGTATGAATATTCCTACGGGTATTTATGCTCATGTTCTTAACAAAATTATTCTCAGTACGAATACCGACATTAATAGTCTCTTTAGAACCATATTGATATTAATATGAGCACTAATACTTCGGCTAATACGAACATGCATAATACTAGCAAAATTATTTGTGCTCATACAAATATAGAAAGATTATTACATACTCATATATGTCAATACCAATATGAACTTACAAACATCATATTAGTGTCAATATCGTTTTTGTAATGTATACTAAAGAATACATCAGAATAAGGCACAAGGAAATGAATGCATCAGATTGTTAAAAACTCAATGTTTTCATTTACCAATATGTATGGTTATAGTATTATACTAATATACTAATAAATTAATATACTAATATACTGAGAAACTGATATACCAATAGACCATTGTTACTAATATACCAATATACGAGTATACCCAAAATTTTTTTTATTAATATATATGTTTTGTTTATATACCAATATACTGAATATACACATATGAATACTTATACACATAATGTACTAAGACTAAGTTTTTAAAGCCCAGCCCACGTCTAATATTAATACGAATACTAACACGAACACTAACACTAACACTGCTATAGACATATATTAAATTAAACTGGAGCACTAATACTCATATTAATATTAAGACTAACACTGGGTTGACACTGACACCAGCATCAGCACTAACAGGAACACTAATCAAACGAACAGTAATATTGGACAGATACCAGCAGCATTGTTAGAACTTCTAAAATTAGTAATGACACAGAACTAATAATAATGCTAACGCTAGCAAAAATATTAAGGTTACTGCTCACAATAATTGAGGTTCAAACTTAGAACAAAATTAAGTCAAGACCAATGTTAACACTGTTTTTTAAGACTGAAACTAATAATAAGACTTTGACAAGATGACAACTCATATTAATATCAATGCCAATATGAATTTACAAACATCATATTAATGTCAATAGCGTTTTTGTAATGTATACTAAAGAATACATCAGAATAAGGCACAAGGAAATGAATGCATCAGATTGTTAAAAACTCAATGTTTTCATTTACCAATATGTATGGTTATAGTATTATACTAATATACTAATAAATTAATATACTAATATACTGAGAAACTGATATACCATTGGACCATTGTTACTAATATACCAATATACGAGTATACCCAAATTTTTTTTATTAATATATATGTTTTGTTTATATACCAATATATACACATATGAATACTTATACACATAATGTACTAAGACTAAGTTTTCAAAGCCCAGCCCACGTCTAATATTAATACGAATACTAATACGAACACTAACACTAACACTGCTATAGACATATATTAAATTAAACTGGAGCACTAATACTCATATTAACATTAAGACTAACACTGACGTTGACACTGGCACCAGCATCAGCACTAACAGGAAAACTAATCAAAGAACAGTAATATTGGACAGATACCAGCAGCATTGTTAGAACTTCTAAAATTAGTAATGACACAAAACTAATAATAATGCTAACGCTAGCAAAAATATTAAGGTTACTACTCACAATAGTTGAGGTTAAAACTTAGAACAAAATTAAGTCAAGACCAATGTTAACACTGTTTTTTAAGACTGAAACTAATAATAAGACTTTGACAAGATGACAATAATTAATAAAGGATGAGGCACACAAACTGGACTCTGTCTTTTACCACTCCGACAAGACGCGCCGAGAGTGTAAATGGTGTCCATAAAACTGGACCCTGTTTTTTACCAGTCTGTCAAGAGGCGTCGAGAGTGCAAACTTTGCACGGGAACACAAACACCATCGGTATTTACAGTGGTTTCGGCTCTTATTCATGACGCTGTGAAGACAGTAATGAGCAGGACAATGGCCGAGGTTGGTCCTGGGGGGGGGGGTTACCATATATATATATATGTGCATGTGTGTACGTATGTATGTATGTACGTATGTATGTATGTGTGTATGGGTATGTGTATGTGTACGTGAGTATATGTATGTATATGTATGTACATGTATGCATATGTATGTATATGTATGTATATGTATAAGTATATGTATGTATATGCATGTATATGTACGTATATGCATATATATATATATATACATATATATATATATATATGTGCATATATGTATATATGTATGTATGTATGTACGTATGTATGTATGTATGTATGTATGGCTATGTACCTCTAGACAAGTTTTTGAAGAGGTGTTGGTGCTACTTTGCAAGATCGCAAGGAAGCCTGCAAATACAACAGGTCGATCCCGGCACTTGCGACCTCTGCAGAAGTTGAGGGGCTTGGAGCTTCGGCAAAAGACGTCGACACATTTTGTCATGTGGGTTTAGGGTGTAGGGAAAGGTGCACTAGGCCAGGCACCATGCTCGTCCAAATCACGATCGTGTGCTGTCGCTACAACCACAGTGCGTCACATGGCCGAACGACATGCGGCGCGAGCTGCGACTGGTTGGCCTCCAGGCCGGCGCAGCGTGGGTATGCGGAAGTTTCCAACTTTGTGGCGGGGGCTACGAGGTTTCCAAGAACTCCGCGTTCACCATAACCTGACAGCATGGTGTCTCGTGCGTTGGTGCCTCCACCTGGACCGCTCGATCAATGCGAAGTAGCGGCCTGGTATGCACGGCAGTTTGAAGGCAAGCGAAGATAAAGACGTATTGATTTGAACATGTCCGCAAGATGGGCGCTGGGATCCTTGTTTGCAACTCAACACGTGGGAGCATAATGTTGAAAGGCCTGCCTCTTGGCCGTAAAATGCCGTAAAGTTTCACACTACCTCCTCCCCGAAAAAACGCAGCTCATGCAACAGATGAGGCCCATGCTCAAGCTGTCTGGAGCGTCCTGGCAAGCAATTGCCCAATTCAGCTCACAGCAACTTAAACTGATGATCGCCCGTGATCTAAGCTCTGCACATAAAAGAAGGTAACTCGGATTCGGCAGAATCCTTATGCGACAGATCGAACATCACGACGAAGACTTGAAGGTCAAAAAGCTGAGCCCAACGCCAGGGAAGGCGGACGGCATCAAGCAAGTAACGATCGCTTCGTGTCTTGCCGGCCAGCATTCTGCGGGGGAGGGATGGTAGTGTTACGGGACCAAGATCTGTTGTAAAAGTAGGCCTGCAATATTGAAAATCAACACAGGATGGCAAGCTCCATTACGCCGTCTTTTTCTCTTTCGTTTTTTCTCGGGTCGAGGCCAGGGCGTCCGAGGGCATCTGGCACAAAGAGAGAGATTCCTTGTATGTGCACTTAGCGGGATCGGCAGTCCAGGTCGGCCCGAAGGCGATGCAACTGCCCTTGTGCAATTTTGGGCAGAACCCATTTCACGAATCATCGGACACCCGACCGCATGATCCCACGGGCATCCTTCTGGCCATCACATCTCGTGGAGGCGAGGAGCCCATTGCTGCAACGTTGACAGTCTTCAGCGAAAGAAAGTCTGTGTGTGTGTGTGCATACACATGCTACGCACTCCGCTGTTGTCTACCTTCTTGCTGGTGTCTATGCCTGCTTTCTGCAGGTGCTATGACGAAGCGCGGTTTTGTGAGAAAACAATGCCGAGATTACGGCAAGGATAAAGATGCTTGCTGCTCGCCTCTGAAGCAGCTGGAAGCACATGTCAGAAGATGAAAATGCAGAGAAATGCAAATAAGTAGATATGCCTTTACTACGGCCCCGGGCATCATGGTTCGAAAACGGGCAAATCACGGAGCACCCTAACATGGCCTGGACAGCTGAAGTTGAGTTGCACGTTGCTGGCATACCAAGAACCAACATGCCCACCACGAAACTGCATCACCTGGCCTGATTTTTCCTGACGTCCGAAAGACGTGTGCTGGACATGGCAGGGGGTCAAGCTGAGAAACATTTCCATCTCAGGAACAGTGGAGCGCCACAAAAATCATAGTCGAGGCAGAATGGAACCCTCAGTTGGGTCCGTGGATAACCCAAAACTACTCTTCCAAACAAAGTTTGTGGATGCATTCAAAATGGCCGAGCGCTGAAGGTCGTCAGCAAATCCAAAACGTGCTGGTCAATGACCTGCTCCTTACTGATAGAGAACACACTGCGAAGAGTGGCGGTCAGGTCTGCGACCGCCTTCACTGCCATCTCCACCTCGCTCTGGATGCAAAGGTCGGCTCGGGCCGGCGGGAATCAGCCAGCCCGGAAGCACTTGAGCCAAAACAGCTACGGGGTTTACGGTTCAGGGCTTATAGGGTTTAGAGTTTAGTGTTTAGGGTGTAGGGTTTAGGGGTTTAAGGATGTAGGAGTTTAGAGGATTTTTGGGTTTAGGGTTTAGGGTTTAGGGACGGACAAGACATGAAGGGGAGGCCGAGCCCAGATAGAACCCAAGCAGTCGCAGAGCTTCCAACACCGCCGTTTTTTTACAGGATCTCCGAATATAATATTATATAAGGGTTTAGGGTTTCTCCGAATATAATATTAAGGGAGCCCGCTGTTGTGTTAAGCCTTGGGAACCCTCCGAACGAAAAGCGTAGAAGGTGTCGGAGCAAAAGTTGAAAGAGATAATCTTTGAGAAAAGAATATCGGAAGATCTGCGTACATAACTCAATAACCCTAAGCTCTACAAACCCCCAAACCCACGGCCAAAAAACACCTAAATCCCATCCCCCAAAACCCGAAACCCTAATCCCAACACTCCTAAAACCTACAGCATGCATCGAAAGCAAACACTAGTTCATTGTTGAGGTAGGATCAAAAATGTACATTTCGTTCCTTATTGGGTTCAAGTACCCATAAAAATGTAAAATGTTACCCAACTATGACAAAGGAAAAGCAACGCAGGCAAGGCTCGGTGTTTGCGCCACAATCGGAGAATGGGCAGGGCACTCCTCAAGCTTGAATAGCATGGTACTGTAGGGGCCTTAATAATTACCTATACTATTTTGCCGGTTCCCTACTATAATTATAGTATACTGAGCCTCAAAAGCCAGTTCTAATTATGAAGGCTCCTATAGTATTTGAGCGGCTTGGGTGTTGGGGCTTAGTGTCTCAGGCCCTAGGAGCTTAGACGTCTTGACTTTCCTTTGGTTAGTAGGGAATGGAAAAATGGTAGTAATAGTAGTTATAATTGTACCCCATTCCTCCATTCCCTACACACCAATGGTAAGTTGAAGGTTGAGGGTTTCGTGTAGGCTTTGGGGTTTGGTGTTTAGGGCAATCTCAACTGGTTTAACGGCCTTCCTGGGTCAGTGTAAGGCTTAAGATATGGTGCGTTTCCTGTTCCTACCACTTCAGGATTTATGGTGTGGCCTGTGGACCTGAACAGGGACCCTGATTAGAGAACTACCCATTTAGAACCCTTACAGTACCCTTATAGAAGCCCTGTAGAAACCCTTATATGTGCCAGCATCCGCGCCCCCCCCCCCCCCCTCCCCCCCCCATGGTAATCCCCCTCCCCCCCCCTGTGGTTCCTGTGGTTCCCCCCCCCCCTGTGGTTCCTCTTGGTTTTCCCCCTCCCTTTTGTGGTTCTTCTGGTTCCTGTCTCCCCCCTCCCCCCCTGTGGTTCCTGTGGTTCCTCCGCGTGGTTGCTGCTGCTTTGTTGTTGCTGCTGTTCTTGTTCTTGTTCTTGTTCTTGTTCTTGTTGTGTGGTCGCCCGGGTCGGGGGGGGGGGGGATACCATTGGGGGGTGGGGGGTCGAGAACGCGGAGCGCGGGCACATATAGAACCCTGAACCCTAAACCTTAAATCCCGTTAAAAAACCCTAAACAGGGACCAAAAATTAGAGAGCTTCATACCCTCTTAGAACCATATAAAAAAAGGCATATGTTCTATATTCTCCTGGGTTTTATATGAACGAAGTAAATATCCTAAAATTAATTCGGAAGGTTACTATACAAACATGTAGCTTCGAGCTTCGGCTTTCGAAAGTGATCCTTCCTGGTACAGAAACTTCGCCCAAGGGTTGCAGATTTGGGTGTGGGGTTTGGGGGTTGAGAGGGTTTACGGCTTTGGGTTTAGGGCCGTAGGGTTAGGGTTTAGTGTTCAGGGTTGCAGATCACGGTATCTGCGTACCCCAATATCAGAGTTTCGTAACTGGGACCTCGAACTCTTCTATTTCCGTAAAGCATTACATAAACCTGTGTGACCAAAATAGCGAAACCTGTAAATCCCGATAGACCTCTACAAGAACTTGGACGAAACAAACCCTAAAACAACCGATGACACCCTACAAGTACACAACCCATCTAGTAGACCCCCAAAAGTTGGAAACCTGATACAGGTGCTGGGATTCCTTGTGTACCACTCTAAAGGATTGAGGCTATTGGGTTTCCAACTGTTGGGCTTCTACTACAACTGAACCCCAAGGGTCCAAGTACCCAAATAGTAGGGTTTCAAGGTCCCAAAGCCATTCAGGGTATGGATTTTGGGAATCTGAAACCCTACTATTTTTTTCCCTCGTCCTTCACAGGCGGCGAGGGCGCTGACGGAAGTTTGCCGTTCGCCGCCTGGGCGAGCCGATGCGCCGATGCTCTGATGGGAGGCCTTTAAAGGGGGGGGTTTAGGATTCTAGGGCTTAGGGTTTAGGGTTTAGGGATCCCTTAGTATGAACCCTATTATGGGAACCCTCATCCCTACTAAACCCCCATAGGCTAAAACCCCTTTTGGCCTCCTATGATTCTCTGGCTTCTTCTTCGGAGAGGTAATCTTGAGACAGGGAGACCCGCGTTCTCCCCGGACCACACCACTACACCTCAAGCTGCCCTGTTACACTTTTTGACAGATTTGGGCCATCTGCCAGCAGTTTCCAGGTTTTCCGAGGATGTTGTAGGATTTAAATACTTGCTACAGTTTGTGTGATGTTTTTGGATGTCTCTAAAGGGGGTTTCTATGGCCGAAGTGGCACCGGCTTACGGTTCTTCGAGTGTCCTACAAGGGATCTATGAAGGTCCAAATACCCGACTAGTCGTGTTTTACAATGCAAACAGGCGGTAAAAGCACAGTCTTTTGGAAACCTTAAACCCTAAACCATTTAATTTGGTGCATAAACACAGGAACTGAAAGTAAGGGCTTTAAGGCTTCATTCTGGCCACAGGAACACCAAAGGGCCAACAACGTGTACTTAGGCAGAAACCGTATCGGATGTCGCGACACCGAAACCCTTCACCTGGGGTTCTAATGTAGGGGCCTTGATATTTGCAGTAGGTTTTGAGGGTTATACCATACTTATAGTGAGAAACCCCCAAAATAGTATAGGTAACTATTAAGGCCCTTTGGTAGGGCTGCAAGGCTTTGGGTGTAAATCCCAAAGCATAAAGCCAACATGGAGCCCAAAAAAACCCAAATCCGACACCTTGGCACATCCCTGACCTGCCGTGCCGAGCTGCCACCGCAGCAGGTGCGCTGAGGAATCGGTCCTCCGAAAACGGAGTGGTCGAAAAAAAGGTTTAAGGTTTGGGTTGCGGATTCGCCTGCTTCGGGACAGGGGGCTTTATCATTCAGGATCTGGGGCACGGGGCTTCGATTCTTTTGTCGTTCTTGCTCCACCTTGGCAAATTCTTCAGCTCTCATGATCTTGAAACTCCCTGCCCGGTAAACCTCAACATGTTTCTCACTCCAGTGCGCTGACCCCACCTGTAGCCGCCAAGCTCGGCAAAATCGTGGGTTCTGACTCCTTAACTATAGACTCTAACCTCTGGAACAGTGGGATTCCTGGATCCACAAGCCCCGGGTTCCTTTAAAGGGATCTATAAGGGAGTTTCCGAAAATTGGGGCTACCTTCTTCTGGGGTCCCTGTAGTAAGGGATCCGACTAGTTAGGGTACTATATAAGAGTCCCCGATTTTCGGAAACTCCCATAAGGATTACTCTAGGGGCTATGAGAGGGGTTTACTTTAGAAGGGGCCCCCACCCTGTAATAGTGACTATAAGGATTATATAGGATTATATTAGGGCCCTATTATAGTCCTATTATACCACTATTACAGGGTGGGGGCAGCTTCTAAGGTTTACTGTAAATAGCCAGACCCCTAACCCCGAAGCCGGTGCTCCAGGAGTGGCAAAAGCGAGCGCAGCGCAGAACCGGGCTCCACCTCAGCCGTACCGGGAGGGCTCAGGGGGTTTAGCATCTGAAGGTTTAGGATTTAGGGCTTCTGGTTTAGGGAATTTAGGGTTTATAGGGCGCTGGCGGATTCTAAAAGATCAAGATTTCAATAACCAGGGGTGTTCGGGGCATGGGGTTTAGGATGCCGTTTCAGAATCATGGGTGATGCCGGAGTTTCTGAACACGGTGCTTTGGGTAAGTGCGTCCGTTGGGCCCCTAAGTGTCAATTTAGGGCCGATAGGGGTTAAAGTGTAAGCCTAAAAACAGCTCATGCCCTGAAATTCTTTGAACCCCTTTTCACCAGATAAAGAATTATGAGACCCTGAGAAACTGCAAGAAAAAACGGCTTGCAACAGCCTAGGATCCAAATGCACCCTGAACCCGCAACTGTAGGACCCAAACCCAAAAACACGCTAACCCCAACACCCTGAACCCTGTGCCCTAAACCGTCCAGTTTACGATCTAAGCCTCCCGCTTTGCCCGGCTGCAGGAGCTCATGCAAGGGCTCCAGAACGCTGATCAGCTGCCCGAGGAACAAAGACTCCTTGGCGAATAAATAGCAACAGCAGCAATAGTGAGAATAGCAAGAAAAGCTAATCATCAGGGTTTAGGGTGTAGGAGTAAGGAACCCCAAAACAGTTTTGGCAATTAAGGCCCCTGTGTTATAGTTGACTATTTGATCCCCTTGCCCTTACAGGCCCCTTTAAAGGAACCCTAGGAACCCCATAGGATCGAAGTAGGGTTCCGGGTGTAGGGTTTGGGGTGTCGGAAGGGTGGAAGGCATGGTCCGGCTCGGGGTCTTCCTCGTCCACATCGGGCGCATCGCACCCTTCCAAAATCTCGGTAAGGGTTTGGGTTTCAGGGTTTAGGGTTCGGGGTTCAGGGTTTAGAGGGGGGTTTCCGAAAATAGGGGCCCAAATATGAATAGTACGCTAAGTAGTAGGATCCTTCTTATAAGGACCCCAAAATAAGGCATCCCATTCAATTTTTGCGAGGGTGGACAGATCTCGATTGAAAAGTGGCGAGCCATCCTCAGGGCTATCTTTGTCCAGCTGTTTGCCAAGCTATGTGAGGTGCGGCTCTGAGCGGATAATCCCCAGGTAGGGGATGTCGGCATCCATAGCTGCGCGAGCCAATGTTCCGCTGCCGGGGCTAGCATCCACGATTTGGCGCCGGCTAGGGTTTAGGGTTTAGGGTTTAGGGTTTAGGAGCTCTATGATGGTACTCCAAAAGTCTTCGCTCTTGGATTCATTCTAGTACATCGGCACGGATGCGCTGGGCCACTTGACGGGTGCTTGGGCATTTTCAACCACCCTTCTCACTCAGCTGAATGCGTGGCAACTGTCTGACGTTGGGGGCTGGGACCCCTATCAGGTTGGGGTCGTGAGTGGTACCCTAAACCCTAAACCCCTAAACCCCTAAACCCCTAAACCCCTAAACCCCTAAACCCTAAACCCTAAACCCCTAAATCCTAAACCCTAAACCCCTAAACCCCTAAACCCTAAACCCTAAACCCCAAAACCCCTAAACCCCTAAACCCCTAAACCCCTAAACCCCTAAACCCTAAACCCCTAAACCCTAAACCCTAAACCCCTAAATCCTAAACCCTAAACCCTAAACCCTAAACCCCTAAACCCTAAACCCTAAACCCCAAAACCCTAAACCCCTAAACCCTAAACTCTAAACCCTAAACCCTAACGGAGTCTTTAACCGTCGGCCCAACTCATGGAGACGGCAATCGCAGAAAGAGGCCCTCCAGAGCGCTGCTTGGTGCTTTGGGGTTTATCTATTAGTAGGGGCTCCTTTAAGGGATCTATTAGGGGTTCCTTTATGGGCTTTTTAGGGGTTCCTTTAAGGGCTCTTTAGGGGGTTGGCAGTCTTGCGGGCTTTAGACTAAGTATGAAAGTGACCGAAGTAAGATAAGACTCGAAGATCGTTTTAGGGCACACTGACCCTAGACAATGTTCAAGCGCTACAGCTCTGTAGCCCCAAACCCTAAACCCAAACACTCCGGTAGTTGAGAGTTCACGGGAATTCTTGTTACATTTTTCAGGCCACCCGGGTTATTTGGTTGGAACCCAAACACTCAGCCTCACACCCTAGGTCAGGAGCCTTAAACGCCAAATAACAAAAAACAGCAACAACCTAAATTCACAAAAGAATCACAGATCCCAAAGCCTGTGAACCCAGCCCTATGCTAAACCCTCAACCTGAATCCCAAACCAAAAGCCAAACCTCAAATCCTCAGCCCAACTGACAGGCAATTACAACCCTCAAACCCCAAGTGTACATCCCTCAAGCCTGATGCATACATACCTGAGAATGGAACCCGATTTACATCCCAAGCCGGCCCCACAAAAAACAAGAACAACTAAGAACAGAAGCGCGGACGAGCCTGACGCCACTTCCAACATCGCAAAGTCCAACCCTAAACCCTAAACCCTAAACCAACCCTTGACCCTAAACCACAAGAGCCTTGAAAGCGTTCACACCCAACAAGCCGTGGCGCATCACAGCTCCCGAGACGCTGGCGCTTTCCCTGCCTTACGGTACAAGTTAGAGTGTATGGATTAGGGCTTTAGGGTTTAGGGCTCTGGGGCTCTAGAGCTTACAGAACGATTTGAGGGTTTAGGGTCTTAGGAGAACGATTTGAGGGTTTAGGGCGCAGAATTTCGTTTCAAATGCACTTCATTTCATGCCCTGTTGTGCTTCCTAGCACTTCGAACGCTTTTTGTGATGGGAAGTCTTTTGATTGCTCATTTCCATTGGGCAGTTTGGCAACTGCTTCATGCCCCGAAACGGACTGCAGATGACCTTGCAATTCTATTTCCGGAGAAGCTCATGCCCAACAGATGCAAAATATCACGGTCCGAGCCTGAGGTTTAGGGTTTAGAGTCTAATGTCGGGGCCTTAATAATTAGAAAAGCTTCGGGGCCAAATATGCTACAACCATAATAAGGAACTCCCAAAATAGTAGTGGTAAGTATTTAGGCCCCTATCTTAGGCTAATTACGGCGACTGAAGGAGCCCGGAAGAGCCCATGAGTTCTGAGTCCCCAGTACAAGACACGCCCGAAACCCCAAACTGCAAACCCGACGCCCTCAAATCAAAGGGGAAAAGGAGGAACCCTTAATAAGGACCCTCAGGTATGGAACCTGAGAACCTGAATATAGCTATTATATACCCATTATATGGTCCATGATAGGGTACCTATAGTCTCCATTGTAGTTCCTTTTTGGGGTTCCCTTTTAGGATCCCTAATATAGAATTGGTTAAACCAAAATAAGGAACTACAATGGAGACTATAGGTAGGGCCTAGACCCTAAGCCCTGAGCTCTGAACCCAAATTAATGCAACGCCGAGCATCAGCTCCTCAACGAGCTTCTCCTGGCGGCGCTCGGCGGAGCGACTTTTAGGTGTACGGCTTTGGCTTGGGGGCTGAGTCCCTTAACTTAACAGAGTTCAGAGGCTAAGTCCCGCAAAAACGGTCTAGGGTTTAGCAGCTAAGTCCTCCAAAAAGGTTTAAGGGAACCCCTCACTGCTGATTCGTAGGGTTTGTTCCTGCCCTAGCAGGTTCAAGAGTGCCCCCTTGCAGTGGCTGTTATGGAAAATCGGGCTTTTCGGGTTTAACTTCTCATCCCTGAAATCCTACACGTAGATTACAAATCCTAGAACCAAGCTAAATCGCCAAACTACTAAATCCCATATCCCTCGCGGATCTAATCCCTTAAACACGCCGCCGTCCTCTAAACATCGGAGGACAGCGCGGAAGCCGGATGCGACGTCCTCGAGCATGAAGGAGTGCACAGTCAGAGCTTCGACTACCCCTAACCCGAAACTCGATCTACGACCCTTCCAACCAAAGAAACCCTTCCAAGTTTAAACCTCCTGCGCCCGAAACAGGTTGCAAGATGACTTTCTACATCCCCTGGAGGGGAGCACGAGAGAATCCCGCAGCCAATCGTCCCAAGCGGATGCTCAAACCCTTTATGCAGTTTACGGGACACCCCCCAACACCTCCCTCCCCCAAACAAGAACAGAAGAAGCGTGAGGTTGTAGGGCCATAAGATACCCAGAATAGGGAACCGAGTGAGAATTCCTCATGCTAAGACCAAGTTGCAGCAAGTTGAACAAGCCTATAGACCCTTTAGACCCCCCGACCTCTAAACCCCAACACCCTGAGCACCCCAAACCCCTAAAGCCTGAACCCAAAACCCTAAACCCCCAAACCCTGAAATCGACACAAAGGCCAAGCCCCTTTGCCCTCCATCGCGCTCCTCCAAGGAGGCTCTGCCCCAACCAACTCCAGGCTTTACAACCGAGGGAGGAGCCTGCCCACTGGCAGGGGTTTTCAAGGGTTTAGGGGGGGGATTTGGGGTTTTGGTTTAGGGTTTAGGGTGTAGGGTTAAGGGCTCTATGAATCTAGGATACAAGAGGAAACTGAAAGTGGCCAACACCCTGAAGCATGAAGCACGAACACCTCAACCCCTGACACCCTGAGAGAGCCAACCAAACCCCTATACAATTCTAGGCAACCCTCTGCAACAGGGATACCTATAGTCTCCATTGTAGTTCCTTTTCTTGGTTTAACCAATTCTATAAAAGGAATCCCAAAAGGCAACCCCAAAAAGGAACTACAATGGAGACTACAGGTAACTCTCTGCTTGCCAAGATTGCAGGAGAGCTCGAGATCCTCCATTCCCTACCTATGATACCCAGTAACCTAAGAAAAAAAGGCCTCTCTTTTTGGTATTGGGTAACTTTATAAGGAACCTAGGACTACAAAAAGGGAATAAGGGTACTACTGGGCATCCTAGGTATGCTACCAGGTTAAAGATTGCATTCCCACGTCCCTAAACTAAATCCTACTCGCCAAACTCTAAGAAGCCTACAACCCAGGGAAACTCCGAAACGTAACTAGGGGACCCTAAGATAGGACCCTAAAATAATAGGATCCCTATTATAAGGACCCCCAAATAAGGTACCCCTTAGAAGTTGCCCCCACCCTGTAATAGTGACTATAAGGATTATATAGGATTATATTAGGGCCCTCATATATTCCTATTATACCACTTTTTCCAGGGTGGGGGCAGCTTCTAAGAAACCCCCCCAATTTTCGGAAACTCCCATTTGAAGCTGGCAAGCAAGGCCCGACCTGCTGCTCAGCAAGAGGGGTGGGCTCGAGGAGCTGCCCCGCCTGCCCCAGAGATTCTCAAGGTTTATAGTAGAAGCCGGAAAGTTGAGATTCTTAAGGTTTAGAGTAGAAGCCAGAAAGTTGGAACATGGATTTAGGAGGATTAGTGCTAGGATCCCTTATACTTTACCTTAAGGGCATGGGGATAATGATGTTCCAACTTTCTGGCTTCTCCTGTAGATGCTTTTGAAGAGCCCGTGTTGAATTTTTGTGCATCCAAGCAATGCCTGGAAGCCAGGGGAGTTGAGACTATTTTGGGTGCAGGGTCTGGGGTCTGAGTTCAGGGTGTAGGCGATTAGGGTTCAGGGTGTTTTAGTCTAGGGTTACATAAGGTCCCAGAAGTGTCTAGTTTGCCACGCGCACTATAACGCCTAGCCTTTCGGACAAGATAGGGTGCTTGCGACCTGCTGATTACTAACGGTTGCCTACTGGTCGCCTATACTTACTTCACTCCGAGGAAAACCCTGAAATTACTCCAAGCTTTACAGGTCAAATCTTTCGTGCCACTGTCTTCGCAAATTCTGGCCTGTCAAGCCCCTACATTGAACAGCCCTAGTTACCACCCTTTGAGGCCAAGACCCACAAGCCCACAGTCCTCAAAGCGCCGCAACCGCATTACCAAATTGCCGGGGCAAAGCACTGAACGAAAATCTTGAAACATCCTCCAAGCCTTTGCGCTCCGTACAATAGCTATGATGTACGCCCAAAATCCTGGTCTGATTATTCAGGCCATGGTTTGAACAAACCAGCGGCCCCTTATGTTCGATCCCAGCTGATCCTGGTCGCGAGCTACCAGGATGTCATAGTGGCCGGGCTTGAGTAGCAGGAAAATCTCCTGCACCCAACTCTGATCCCAGGGCTCGGGCGTAGGGTGTAAGTGCTTGAGGGTTTTTAAATAAGGCTTCATTCATACTTAAATTAGGTGTCCCCATACGGTTTACTTTAGGCTGCAAGAAGGCATGGCCTATCGCTATGCTCAGAGAAGCCACGACGCCTGTGGAAGAAGGCTTCATTCATGGAGTTTATACACAAAGCGCGTAGAAGGAATTTGCGCAAGGCTGTTCCGATTCAAGGCTTAAAAACCAATGGTCCGATAGAGCCCTGGCCTTGACGCGTTTCGGATGGAGTTCGAAAACCGGGGGCCCAGTTTAGGTGTCGGGTTTAGGGTTGAGCGTGATTGTAGGGTACATATGGGTTTATGGGGCTCAGCGTTTATGCCGACTTCTTACTAGCCCTCGGAGATATGGTGGGTTTCCGGAAACAGGGGACCCCAGTATAGTACTCTTACTAGTAGGATCCTTGTTATAAGGGCCCCAAAATAGGGTACGCCTACTTTAACTCCCATATTGCAGCGGCAGACGCATTCCCGCTGAAGATGGAAACCTCCAAGCTAAGCTCGAAGACCCGATACCCCGAAACCCTAACAGGACCCCTCATACGGGCCCTTTCATAGAGCCCTTATAACCCTGAACAGTGGAAAATTCGGGGTACATTAGAGGTCTAAGTACACCCCTCAGCCCTTTAATGGAGCCCTTATAGCCCTGAATAGTGGAAAAATTGATGTATATCAGAGGGTAGCTGGGGGGTCTAGGCACACCCCTCAGCCCTAAAACCTCTACGGATCTCTAGCCCTAAGGGTCCAAGTACGCAAATAGTAGGGTTTCAAGGTTCAAAAACCATTCAGGGTATGGATTTTGGGACTTAAAAACCCTACTATTGGGGTACTTGGACCCTCTGCCCCTAAACCCTAAACCCTAAGCCCCTCTGGGTAGAAGACCGAAGGGGGCCCGGAACCTGAAACCTGAAAAGGGAACACCTAAACCGTAAACCCCAAACGCCTAAACCTTAGGTACGGCCACCACTCAGCAATAGTTGAATAATATTCAGGTTTAGGGTTTAGGGTTTAAGTTCATAATTAAAAGAAAAAGTACCTAACCTAACCCCTAAGCCCCGAAACCCTGAAGCCCTAAAGCAGCCGATCATCCGGTCCGGCGCTCTCTGACCGGTAGCCGTGGCGAGCTGAGCGGCGGTCTTGACCTCAGAAGGCAGGGAGAAGGGTTTAGGGTTTAGGTGTGCCGGGCCCGGCAAGTCCCACTTGAATGTGTCATACGAGATGGGTAAGCCCTTGAAAAGAGGGTGGTTGACAATCCAGGTGGGGCTTAGGGGGGACTTAAAATTGCAAAGTAGTTAATCGTTTTTATCGAGCTATAAGTATCGCCACCCCAACTACGATCCTCCTTAAGGTACTTATACCTCTACTGGTGGCCTAAGTCCCCCGACCCTCCAAGTGGGGGGTTGGAGTGTAGAGGGCTCCGGATTCGATGCTCAAAACCCGAAACCCCCAAAATTCTAGATCCCGAACCCTAGACCCCAAACCCTTAAGCAGCACTAAAGCCCTATACTCCGAAATAAACAACAACACCATGAATCCTAACTGGGAATAGGGCACGGTTTAGGGTTTAGGGTTTAGGGTTTAGGGTTCAGGGTTTAGGGTTTAGGGTCCGCCGACCCTGGCGGTGTGTTGGATGGGTTTCGATGGGCTTGGAGGTGTTAACCTCCCTTTTTCCCTCCTCCATACCAAAAATCCCGCAAACCGGGCGCACCCTTGGGGGGGGGTACCCCATGGCTGTTTGCAAGCAGCACCCAAGCCCTCAAAAGCATCACACCACAGCCCCCTCTCCCCTCCCCCTCGCCTCCCCCCCTCCCCGCCTCCCCCACTCCCCCCCTCCCCGCCTCCCCCCCCCCCTTCCGCCCCCCCCCATGTGCCGATACACCCACAAGGAATACTCCTTGTGAGGAGGTGTATGACCAGTTATTCCCTAAGGATCAAAGGGCAGCGCCCTGCACACGGACAGTAGTTGTTTTGTCTTGCTACGCAAGGAGAGCTTGTCTTGTCTCAATATGGTAAAACCACTGTGAGCCAATGGGCAGCGGAATGTATATGTATGAGCATGCAGCCATTGCTGTAGGTACCTGTTAGAGCTACCCCTTTAGAGGTTTATGGTTTCAAACAGACACTAATTTTCTTTTACCGGAAGCATGGCCGCACATTCACACATATACTGTTATGCCCACTGTCACAGTTGCGGAGTTTGGACTCATGATAAAAACAGCATATTGTTTATGCTAGGTATAGCACTGAAGTACACTGTTGAGGTCACTCCTTTTGCACACACTCATGCATGTTGGTCAGAGAGATCATCTGTACAGGATCAGGTCTGGTAATGTTCTTCTACCGAATTATGCAGCCCTTCATTGTGCTCTTGTTAGAGCCTTGTGATTCACTGTTGTGAAACTCTGAGAATTTTCTTATCTCAGATTCGGATCCAGGTTTGGATCATAGGCTCGAGCATAGACGTTCGGATGTGGCTCATCCGGGTCTGAGTGATCTTCTTCGGAACTTGAAAAGATTCCGAGTAATCTGTTCTCAGCCCTGGTGAAGGCGGCGTCTGCAGTATCATATCCATGGTTGGATGTTGTCGCCTTTGGCTCGGCCTTTGGAGCAGCTTGTGAGCTGGCTGGAGTTGCCTTGGCTTTAGCCGGTTGCGGCTGCTTAGCCTTTGCCCGTTCAGCCCTTCTTCTTTCAAGCTGTCCGTCTGAGGACGCCCATGATCTTTCACTTTCATCTCCTGAAGGAGATAAGGCGTGGGCATAAAGGCTATTCCAGTACTGTGCTGCAGAAGGAGTTAGGACTTCTTCATTGTCAGATTCTGACTGGTCTTCCTCAGAGCTTTGGTCGTCAAAAAGTGTCTCGAGGACATTTTTGAGATTGTTATTTCTTCGCTCTATCTCTAGTGAGGAATGGACCAATTGGTTAAAGACTGTCCTTGAGTCCTTCAGTGCTGTTAGAAGGATTTCCACTCTGGATAGAGTATCTTGGATGGTGTCAAGATGTTCCTTCCTTTCCTCCTTGTCTCTCTGGATAGAGCTTCGCAATGATTGTGCGATTCTGAGGAGGTCTGTGTATTTCGCAAGAGGCATAGTTACCGTTTGATTGTCATGTATGACAGTTGTTTCGTCGCCGCTTAAGTTCCTGAATAGGACTTCCACGACTGGTAGAAACTCCGTGCTCCACGGTTCCTCTTCATCATATGTTTCTACGTGCTGTAGCACGCGTTGTGTAAACTGGCCGGCTGCTTCTACCGTTGCATCGATAGAGCTGACGTGTCTTGCTGCCATGTTTCGGCACGTAACGTTAATTGCCTGGCCTTGATTGGCTTCGTTAAGTGCAGCGTCTGCATAGGTGCAGAGTCCACTGTTGTGGGCTTCTCTGGCTGCCTTTCGTTGAATGCGCCGATTTTGACCTCCTCTTCTGGTAGGACCTTTTGGTCTCGGAGGATCTGAAGGTACTGTTCCTTTCGCCTTTGGCGGAGGACTCTTAGGTGGAGGTGACATGTTTGCCTTGTTAGGCCCTGGTGGCATTGCCTTGGGCGCTGACGACGATGCGGCACTTGAGAGTGCAGATGTACCTTTGGCTTTTGCCGAGGATCCCTTGGGGATCGATGTATAGGTAATCTGCATGGCTTCTTCGGCCATTTGTGCATGCAAGGCATCTTTGAATAATTGTGTCATATGAGGAGTGGTACTTGCATCATCGTAGGTCTGGAAGCGCTCAATGTCTCTTTCGGTGCCACGTGGACGTGTATCACCTCTTTGGAAAGGATCGTTCCTGCGAATCTCCGCAACTTGTACTGCATGGAGGCAGTTTTTGCACAGCACCTTCCTGCAAACATCTCTTGCTTGCTTGAGCTGGTAACAGCTGTCTGAGAGATGGTAGACTTCGCTTCGGGAAGTATGCCAGATAGGTCGCAGATCAGTTGTTTCTCCGGAATTGACCCTGTTGGGTCCTAAAGGTTCACGCGTCTGCGGTTCATCCTCGGGTTCGAGGAATGGAACTCTTTGGTTCGCTGCTGCTTTTGATTTTGGTTGTTGGCGCTCCATACATCTGATAGGAGGCCTGGTAATCTGCTTCCACATCCAGTGTAAGCCCATTAGCAGCAGAAACACATTCCACGCGATGCTGAAGACGGAGAAGTCCTGCTCACTGGTTAGTGAGTTTGGAAGTGAAGTTTCATCAGTCTTGATAGACTCTGCGTTCGCTCCACCTCGGTTGCGGTGTCCGAACCAGCCCGACAACCCCGCTGCTGTAGCAGCTGTTCTGAGTGCCTTGCCGCTCGGAGCAGACGGTGGACGCGATGCCTTCCTTCTTCTCCTCCGGCTGGAGGATTCGTCCTCTTGTTCCTCTTCATCTCTCTGAGCAGACATCAAGTTTGATGTTTCTCTTTCGTGTTCTTCGATGTCACTTTTTGTTGGTGACGGTTCTTCTTCTAGTCCATCCAGCTCTTCCAAAGACATGTTGAGCTTGTCAACAATATTGGTTCTTTGAGGCCTGGACCTTGATCTTGGTAGATCTTGTTGTGAAGAGGACGATGATTCCTGGTTCCTTCTTGGAGGAGGACCTTCAGGCTCGCTGGGACGTTCAGGCTGTGGCCATTCCCAGAATCTTCCGTATCTGTGATGGCTACCTGATGGTTGCGATTTGTCGTACCAGCTGTTGCCGGATGAGTAAACGAATGAATCTTTGTAACCCCAGTATTCAGCATTACGCTGCTTGAAAGCCTTTCGCTTGTCAGCGATCTTCTGAACCTGGGCATCTGACCGGTTGTGTTTCCCTTTTGTAAGGATTGGTTGTATCGTGAAGCCCAAAGGGCTGTGCCAATCTTTGTCAGAGGGACTCAACCATAGGTCAAGGTTAGAAAAAGTTGAATAGTACTGCTTGACTGAGACAAACAGACGGATATCAATATCCCTGTTATTGTTCATGTCCTGCCACATATCTGAGATTCGCTCCCAGTATGTTCTTTCGGCGGCAGGTGTAACATCTCTTGGACTAGGTGACGCCGTGTGCGGCGTTTTACTCCAGTCAAGGATATAACTGTTGATACAGTCAAGGTCAGCAACTTTCTTCGCCGGGTCCGCCGGTAGACGATCTGCACGTGCCAGTCTGTGCTGGTCGGAGTTGTTCAAGCAAAGATGTCGCACTTGTGAGTGCCTTCCTGCTATTTTGTTGAATGCTGCAAGTTTCTTCTCCAGGTATAGAGAAAACAAACTGTTTCGCGGGTGAACGTCTCCACCTTTTAAGGTGAGCCTCGACGCAATATTATTGAGATCTCCCGCTATTACATCCGGTTTAAAAGGGAGAATCTCGTTGAGGAACGCGTTCACCAGTTCGCGTCTCTGTTCTTCCTTATGAGTCATGAATGAGTTGAAATGGACGATCGCGATGGTGATGACCTTGTAAGGCCCTTTTGTACACCACATCTCGTCAAGATCGTTCGATGCTTCTTGTGAGAAGATCTCTGCGTATGACTCAAAGTCTTCCTCTGGTGGCTCATCACCCTCGACATGGCCGTTCCATTCACAGAGAACCGGCGAAGGGTCGAGGTTCGACAGTGTCAGGCACGCCTCTGGTGAGAGGTAAGAGCCATCAGTGGGTCCATCCTTGTCAGGATTTTTGCCCTTGAGTGGGTCATATCCGATAATCTGCATGAACTCGTCTCTCGTCATCCTTTGGCCAGAATATGGGTGGACCCATTCTTTTGCCTCTGGGATGGTACTGTGGTACCCAAAGGTGAGGCGGCATACCGCACCGTGGCATGCCCACAGTCGCTTCTTGGGACCACCATTCTTAGGCTTCATTGTTCGATGACGGTAAAAGTGGTGGACGAGAGCGATGTCTGTTGTTGGGTCACCCTTGACTCCAATATACATCGAGGGTGCCTCAGGCTCCTTGGGAGGAGAATGGATTAGCATCCCCCTGTATTCATGTTGTCGCATGGTTGCGATCGAATACTCTGACGCAAGTGCTCCTGCCTCGAGTACGAGGGTAATATGAGCTGAATTGTTGAAGCACATGTCAATAAGAGGGTGATAATCGAATCCCTTCTCAGGTTTGAGCTTCTTTTTGGGATTCCCTGCGGGCACCGGCGCTCGATCCATATTTCCCCAGTTGAATACCACTAGGTTTAGCGATACGC